AAAATTCGGAATAAAATAAATAAATAAATATATAATTCCGAATTTTCATAATTTCGAAAATTACTTAATAAACAAAAAACAACCTTTCAAATAATAAAAAATTAATAAGATAACCTTACGAAATAAGATAAAAATATAAAGGGATTAGTGCTAATTAAACCGCGCACCCGCACGCGGGTATTGTGTGGACTAGCACACACCCCATTGTCTTCACTCTAAAGAGCAAGAAGATATTCACAATTATAAAGTGGCCCACTTTCTCAAAACTTTCCTACGTGGGACAAAGGAAAATGCACTATTTTGTTTGTTTTACAAACAAACAACCAACAAGAAATGTAAAACCAATAGAGAGAACAAGACAAGAGAGCATTTTCTGAGCTTTTTCTGGCACGTTGAATGAAGAAGAACGTGTTGATATTTATAGGAGAAATAGGCTGACTGAAAGCTGAAAATACAAGGCAAGCATTATTAACACAGCGGCTTAGAAGCACTTAGCATATTGAGTATCGCAACCACTAGTTTGACGAATCGCAACAACTGGTCCGACGAAGGTTCACGGCATGAAAATCAAAGGTTTAAAGTTAAGGATATTTGGTTTTACTCGTGTATAGGCTTTTTCGGATGAAGGCCTATAGATAAAAACTAAAAACTCGGTGAATAAGAATCTTGGACTCGACCTCGTGTATATTTTGCGTGCGGGAGAGCTAAATCCAACTTTATACTTGGTTCGGTGTAAGAAGCTGGAGCACGCTAGTCCAATATTGTTTTCTTGTTATTACCAAGTAAGTAAAAATAAATCAATTAGTAAAGTGAACAAGAGAGCTTCTCAAACAATACATGGCACAAAGAAAAGCAAGAGAAGTTTTGAAATACTTTTCTACAACAAATATCTCATTGAACTATATAATACGAATGTGAAAATTGCGCACGACCGCCTCTGGGCAAGCAGCCGAAAAGTCCTTTTCCTTCCCTCCCTCTCTCTTCTCTCTCCATCGTCTTCTTCAACCTGCAACCATGGAGTGGTTTCTCAAAGATCATTTGAAAATAAATTTAAATTTTAAATAAGCTTAGATTTTGTTCGAGTTTTCTTGTTTTTTCCTTATTTTTTTCATCTCTCCTGATCTAGATTTGGGAGCTCATTCGAGGTCTAGTTCAATCTCCTAATCTATTTCTAGATCTAAGAGCTATTCTCTCCCAATTTAAATATGAGTTTAATAATGTTTTCAGGGCTTTGATACCTCGTGCTTTGTCCGTATACAGGTCCTCTGCCTCCAATTTCAATGGTGATTGTAGGAGCTATGGCGCTTCGCTGAACTATGAAGATCTGCTCTTCCAAAAGTTAGATTTGTATTTATTCAACTCGTTTGAATGTCTCCGTATGGCGATGGTATAGAGGAAGCGTGCACCACCATATGGCAATGTTGTAGTTATTGGATAAGGAACTTCCGGCATTTGCTTATCATTAACGATTATACGAGATTTAGTGATTGGTCGCCGATTATTTTGCCTGACGGATCAATTGTTATGGAATGATTGTATGTTTAACCCAGTTGGTGCTATATTGATCCTCATTTTTTTTTTTCTGGATTTGGCTTTGTTTTGTTCTATTTTAATTTTCTTTGCAATGAAAGCCTATGTACTTCACTACTTCTCAAGTATGCTTTTGAGCAATAAATACGATTTTCTTGCAACAAAAATAAACTATAAAATGAAAACAAATTACGTAATCTAAGCTTAGTTCGTTGCCGACGCGATGGGTTCACCCAGTTATAACCGAAATCCACGCGGGTTCATGTCTTTATAACTTGTCAAGTTCGAATCGCGAGTCCCACTTGATTTCGGAAACCTTGTTGCTGATTGGATCTACATGACCAAATTCGGGCAAGCTCTCCCCCAATCCGATATTGAACGACACGAATCTCGTTCAATAAAGTCGAGCGGCGAACGAGAGAAGCGTACGTGGAGAGGGATTCCTTGCAAAAAGTAAAGCCGCGGAATCAAATAGCCCTTTTCCAATTTGAACTTTTTCTTGACTTTATTCAGAACGCTCTGGATGATGGGAGTGGCCATGAACGAGGGCCGCAGAGAAGGCATGAGATGCAAAGCAAAAACTCCCAAAACGTAGAACACCGCAGAAAAGCAGGAAACTCGTGGCCTCACATATGGCATTTTTCACCTTCGCCACTGTCTTTCTTCTCCTTTTTCGCGGAATTTATGTGCTTTGTCACTAAATTTCGAAGCAGCAGTCGAAATCGACGTACGAAAGAGAGAAAATACCTCGAAAAGTTCTAAACTACGGCTTTTTTTTTTTTTTATGTTGGGAAAACCTCCAAACTAGTAGCAGCATGACAAAAATACCTTCTGTCTGCCACAGAAAGATCCTAAACTTTGGTCATTATTGACACCAATGTCCTAAACTCTCGCCGGTTTGAGAAAAATATTCCTTGTCAAGTGGGTACAAGTCGAAAGGTCTTGGCGACACAAAAAAAAAAAATTGGGATATTGTGTTACGCGGGTATAGTTTAGGATTTTTTGGGAGATGATAAAAAGTGTGAGATATTAATGTTATTTAACATCTATATTATACTTATACCAATTTATGATCAATTTACTAAATATAACTAATCAATTTATGATTCATTTACTAATATATGAGTTAAGAAATGGGTTTATGACCTATTTTAATAGATCTACAAGTATTGGTGTCCATCGTGCTCTCCTGCTCTTGCATGGGAACGTCAAAGCTGGAGCCATTGTTTGATCATGTGGAGTAAAAAATTCTATCCGAAATTCAATGGCCACAGTATTTTCTGTTTGGTTGTGGTCGTGGTCGTGGATGGAAGTGGTCCATTTTAGGATGCAACTTGGTGCAATAAGTTTCCAACAGCATGTTAAATTGTTCATGACAAATAATTAGTTTGAATTAGCAACCCCCCCCCCTTCCCCAAAAAAAAATTTCCATTTATTTCGTAAAAAATAAATGATTCGTAAAACATTTTCCTGAGTGGTTGTTTTTAGGAAAATGTTTTTCAAATTATTTATTTTTTACGAAATAAACGGACACTTAGCAATTGTGAATTCGTATTCAACTTTTTAGCGTACTTAATAAACTCAAGGTTGATCATGACACAATTTCACATTCGGGTATAAGTCAATAAAATTGCATTGCGCATAAATTGTTCATAAACGGGTAAATGGGTCCATTTGGGTCAGACCATTTATGACCTGACCCAAACCCGGTCCAACCCACCCATTTAACAGGTCTAAATTCTTGAAACTTTTCAACAGGTCACCAATAACTCTAAATTGTGCCCGTTATGACACCATTGCCCTAAAAATCGTATCTTTGTGACAACAAATTCTTAATTCATCGTCATATTAAGACAAGTTTGGTATTGGCGACAACAAAAAATTAGCGTGTTGGTGTCGCAGTGGGTAAAAGTTTAGGATCTTTTGTGATAGACAGAGGGTGTATTACATTAGCCTCTAATTGGGATATTGGTGAAAAAAAAAAATTAGCGTGTTGGAATTGCAATTGCAATGAGTAAAGTTTAGGATCTTTTGTCATAGACCAAGGGTGTATCACATAAAGTTAGAGTTTATAGACTGAGCGTGTATTGCATAAAGTTGGTGTTAAATAATTGCATTAGCCTTTAATTTTTTTAGCCGGGATTTAGCCTCTAATTGAGTAATTAAAAGAAAACACTTTAGTGTATCCCATCTTTATGAAATATTACATAACAAGTTTCGTCTCGTATTCTTTAATGGGCAAAAGAGGCTCTGCTAGAAAAAAAACCATCAGTTTATTTCGTGGAAAATGAAGAATTTGGAAACTATTATCCTAAAAATAATCTCTTGCATTGGTTAGAAAAATGAATGATTGAAAAATATTTTCATTATTCGCGAAAATATTAAAATATAAAGTGCTGTCGATAAAGAAAAAATTTTCATCGATTATTTATTTCAATCGATAAAAACGATTATTTTTTTAAAAAAAATTTCGAAATCATTTCTTTTCCGCGAAATAAGCATAGCTTAATGATAAGATACTTGTCCCTATTTTTATTAGGAAAACTGACACAAATGGTCCCGTAACTTTGTTTCAACGTGCAATTTGGTTTTTAAACTTTTAATTTGTTCAATGTGATCTCTGAAGTTTAACCCAATGTGTAATTTGATCCCTAAAATTTTAATTTGTTCAAGCGGTCCTTGAATTTTTGATACATATTCAATTTAGTCCCTGGATTTTGTGGTCTTTGATACATGTTCAATTTAGTCTCTGGATTATAAAATCCAGGGATATAATAATCCAAGGACTAGATTAAATATTTATCCAAAATTCAAGGACCACATTGAACAAATTAAAAGACCATAGACTATATTGTATACTGGGTTAAAATTGAGAGATTAGATTGAATAAATTAAAAGATCAAGGCTTAAATTGCATATTAAAGCAACCTTATGGACCATCAGAGTAATTATCCCTTTTTATAACGAAGCCCCACATTTTTTCTTGCCGAAAATTCGAACGTGAATCGTAAGATAATCTGTCCCTGTCATTATTACGCGCCAACGTCCCGGCGGTGGGTGGCGGCCGACCGTGCCAACTTGCCACGCTCGGAGCTGCGGATATTTCCGCGCCCGGCCGAGGGCAGTCCCGTCATTTCGGGGTCCCCCCGCGCGCGCTGCGTGGGACCGCGCAAGCAAAACGACGCCGTCGGGAGCATCTTTAACTCGCCCAGCGGCGCGCCACGTTTCCCCGACGCGGATCTGAAAAGATCGCCCGTCCATCGGCAACAACGACTCGCGCCCCGGCTTTTGATCCTCGTCCAGCTCACCGCGGGGGGCCCGCGTCCGACGTGTCGTCCGACGTGGCGCTTGTTGAGGCCCTCCTTCGCTCTGACCCACTCGTTCTGTTTTCTCGAGCCGCAGTCAAAAGCGCCCCATTTTCTTTCCCCATTCTTCTTCTTCTTCTTCTTCTTCCACGCCAAAAAAACTCAAAGGCCCTCCCCTTTTTTTTTTGTCTCTAATATCTGGCGCAAACCCTAGCTTAATCACAATGACCTGAAGAACAACACGCGCGAGGAAGAGAGAAGTCTCGGAGGGCTTGCGTCGCTCGCAGCTCCCGTGGTCGGATTTCCGGTCCCCCGTTCTCGTGTCGAGTCGGACGGACAAAAGCGAGTTTCGCCTCGAAGAAGGTACAGTCCATGGATTGATCGAGCTCGAAGCGCGCCTCTCTCTTTTTTACCCGCTTCTCAGCCGAAGAGCTGTGGTGAAACGAGCCTTCTGATGTCTGGATTTCTCTTCTTCTTCTTTTTTCGCGAGCGGTCGTGCTTCCGATTTTGGCGGATGGAAGTGTAGGAAGCTAGGCGAAAAACGAATTTGATTTCGCGTGCGTGATTTTTTTTTCCTCCACTGATCCATTTCTTTTTCCAGGAGGATGATTTTTGCTTAGTGAGTTCACGGGTTGTCGGTTTCGAAAATATTTAGTTAAGAGCTACAGTAGTAGTTCCGGAAGATATCATTTTAGGTTTTTAGATCTGAAGTTCTGTTCTTCTTCTACTCGTTTCTTTCTATTTTTGGGTATTATGTTTTGTGGTTGTATGGCTGCGTATCACTGGCTTTTGGCTTGTGAGGCTAATCTCTTCGGTTGACGAGTAAGTGGATGAAAGAACTCTGGCAGTGATGCTACAGGCTCGTTGTTGTCTAAAGTTTCAAAGGATCTAAAAGTTTTAAGTGCTCGCACATGTAAAAGAACTCGGCGAGTACATAAGTCGATGCTTCTTCTTTTCGTGAACTCTGTTATGTTGGACCTCTCCTTCCCTCATTATCGCTTGGATGGCTGATGAACTTGTCCCTGTTGGTGGCTCGGGTGATAGTGGGAACAGAGGGTCCCTTTCTTTTCGTTCTCAGCCCGAGCTGGTTCTCTTCTCTTTAAGTTTCGCATGAGCTGAGACATTAATGTTCTTGACCAAGTAACTCGTTATTCTTTTGATAAATAAAGTGAAGATGAGAGAGGACGGAGAAGTAAGTGGGCTTATTGTGTAAGTAGCTCATCATTCTTCCGGTTAGTAAATTGGCACCCATTTTGTGTTCTCACACTAGAGAATTTTAAGCTTCATTTTAACAATTTAGGAGTAATCGAAGGAGAACCTGTCCCTATGGCCGTAGAGATGATTTCGAATATCATTGTCTCGCGAAAATTATGGACAATGGATCCGACTCTGCACCTTTTAGTGGATTTATTTGGTATATGGTTAGTTCTGTCACTGATGAAACTCACTGGTCTGATTCAGTTTGACTGTGTTCCCTTCTCTTCCTAGCTGGATAATTTGTCCGTACTTTCAACTTATTTGAATTCACCCAAATGAACTTTTGTATTACTCTAATTGGCAATAGAACAGTCATTCAAAACTCGACAATATCTTAAATGGAATATTAGCAGTTCTTATCAATGTGGGATGTTTCTCCTTTCGTCTATGATTCTAATCACAGGGTTTTAAGTTATTTGTTCTGTTTCTGGTTGATCTTCTAATGGTGGTTTGCTTTTTGGTGGTAGATTCTTTGAAGTCGCCATAATTTCGAGTTCATCATTTTGACAAGAACGGGATGTGCAGTCTTTTTATTGAACTTGAGGAGATTTCTTTGCCTACTAAATCCAGAACTGTTGTTGGGCTTTTTTAATCTGGTTGATGCCGATTGTTCAGATGACCAATAATAGACCTGGGACTAAGGGATTCGCAGAACAAAATCACCACAAAAATGATGATAGCAGGGATATAAGGGATGGAGTCAGAGGTGAGGGCCAGGAGCTAGCAGAGCAAGATGAGTTACAGATCAATGAGGACGTGGAAGGTGCATTGAATAGGAAGGTTGAAGGAATAGAATCGCAGGATTTCGTGCATGCTCATCCTGTTATTCCAAGATCACAGCAGCAGTCAGAAGAGCCATTGGTTCACTGGGAAAGGTTTCTACCTTTGAGGTCTCTGAAGGTACTACTGGTGGAATATGATGATTCAACTAGACAAGTTGTCAGTGCACTACTTCGAAATTGTGGTTACGAAGGTAAGTGCATAATTCTCACAGTCAGAGTGCTTGCTTAATAGAGAAATTCTAGCATATGCAACGTGAATGTCTTTGTCAACATGGATATTTGCAGGCATAAAGATGGAAAAGAATATTCTCTAAGTCATGTAAAAAATCATGGCAGGAAATAATTGGGTGATTATGGTAGAATACATATTACTTTAAGTGACATCTGCAACCTGAACGAGTTCTCATTAAACCATGTCACATGGAGAAAATTGCAATCAAATGCCATGTTGCCTGTCAATTGAAATTCTTTGAAGTTGAAAATGTCTATACCTCAGGTTTCTATTGAACTAAAGTCCAAGTGACATTCTGGTTTTTGTTTGACCTGCTCTAAAAATGTCTGAATTTAGAAATGACTACGATAAGGTGAGATAAACTATTGAATAGAATAAGCACAAATAAGTAAATGAATAGGATTGCAAAATCTATTCAAGTGACACATATCTCCATATGATCATTGAAAAATTATCTAACTAAAACCTTCTAGTAAAATGGGACATCCCTTATGCATGTCAGCAGCCAGCAGTTTTTTCCCCATAATTAAACAAATTTTGTTGTTTTTTTCTTCTTCTTTTTTTATGGCGGGCGATTTCATAGTAGTTTCTGAATTTCTTGTATAGGCCTGAATTGATAGGTTGGTATGCTCTGTCTCTGTCTCTGTCGCTGTCTCTGTCTCTGCCTCTCTCTGTCTCTCTCTCGAAGGCTTCGGAAATGTGTCATGACATGAGTAAAAGAAGGCTTAGTATTTGGTGATACTCATTTTATTTTAATTGCAAGTTCTGCGCTGTCCATTTGGATACGTGTCAAGTTGCAAATCTCGTAAAAGCTTCTCCTTCAATTGCTTCTCTTTGGAGTTACACAAGAAGTAGGGTCATAACTGTTTTTTTTTAAGAGTTATAGTTGTCCATGACCAAACTTTTGACAGAAGCTAGTAATATAGGGGTTTTCTAGGACTGATAAGAAACTTTTAGGTCATCTTGAATGGTAGCAAACAAATAAGTTTCTAGAATTGGTGACGCTTGGCTAAAATATTGATCCAAGTGATGTGGTCATGCACTGTTTCCAGATTAATAGGTGAATTACTCCTTTTGCCATTCATTTTTTAGGCTATTTTCAATCTGGTTTTTGTACTTTCAAAATGCATGTAGTTATCATATGTTGAAATGGTTTTGATCAAGTCATTAGTGATGAGCCATTAGAAAGTAATGGAATGCCGAGGAGACGCGCCATATGGCACATGGATAGAGTGTCACACAAGTCTCCTTTAGGTGCCTTGTCAGCTTTTTATAACATTTTAAGGTATGGATGACAATCTGTCTCAATTTAAATTACTTCAGACGTGCAATGACCCAACTGAAGATTTTGAATAGAAGTCCATGAATAGATGACTGTTTTAACTTAACCTACTGTTATCTATTTATAAGCTTCATCCCTATTATTTGTTCTCGTTGAATGCACAAGGAGCTGCTTTGAAAAGATTGATCAGAATGATCTATTGTTGGCAAGTGGCAAGATATGGCGGATCGAGCAGTTCTCTATGTATAAAATAGCAGATAACACTAGAAGAATTGTAGTGCAATCCCCTATTTCATGGTGACTGATAATGATGAAATTACAAAAGAGCATGTCATTCGTTGACAAACATGAAGATTGAACAGAAGCATAGATATTCAGCCCATCGTGTAATTAAACATGTTTCTTCTTTTTCTTTTTTTCTCTTGTTTTCTTGTCTTCTTTGAAAATGTCGTATGTTATGGTATTTTCTGTATTGCACACTTTGAATTACTTATTTTCTCTGAATTAACAATTTAACAGAGAAATATTCTCGCAGTTACAGCTGTAGCCAATGGTATACATGCATGGAAAATCTTGGAAGATCTGACCAATCCCATAGACCTCGTTTTGACAGAGGTTGTCATGCCTGGTCTATCAGGCATTGGACTTCTATGCAAGATCATGAGTCACAAAACCTGGAAAAACATTCCTGTGATTAGTGAGTATATTACGGATAATTTCCTGATACTCTTTAAAAATTATAATCATTTTCCGCCTATTATCTTATTGGTTAGATACTTTTAATTGCTACACCTGGTGAGTTTTGTGTGCAGTGATGTCATCTCATGATTCCATGAATATAGTCTTCAAATGTTTATCGAAGGGTGCAGTTGACTTCTTAGTGAAGCCTATAAGAAAGAATGAGCTTAAAAATCTCTGGCAGCATGTTTGGAGAAAATGCCACAGCGTGAGTCACTGAAATATCTCAGTTCCTTTTCATGACATTACATAATGGATCGGCTTTGACTTCTCATTGTATCATTCTATCTGCGTATAAGTTATGACATTTAGTTTTGGCTGCAAATGCCTGAACTCTTTGATTTGAATATACTCGCACCACAGTTGAGCCATATTCAACTGTCAGTTTTTGTTCCTTTACACTCAAATTGCGAGCATATTACTGTGTAATGATTGAAAGGCATAAAGTGCGGCCCCTATGTCTTCTGTTTTGCATTCATTGCTCATACTCTTAGCAGTCTAGTGGTAGCGGAAGTGAAAGTGGTATAAGGACTCAAAAATCAACCAAGTCAAAAAGTTGTGAGGACTCTGACAACAACACAGGCAGCAATGATGAGGATGATATCGAGAGCATCGGTGTTAGGGATGGAAGTGACAATGGAAGTGGCACTCAGGTAATGATTTCCCCCTTTCCAGAGCACAAGTAGGAGGCTGCTGCTCTTGAGTTTCTCTTTCTTTCGTAATTCAATGCATTGTCTAAGCCCTTATCTGATCAGTTTAATATATACATGTTCAGGGATAGTTTTTCTCGAGCATAGAGGTTGCTGTAGTTCTTGAGCATAGAGGTCAACGTAGTTTTACTTATAGATCCAAATCGATGCACTATGATTAGTCACTTAAAATCCGCATACCCTGTTAAAATCTTCACATGCTCACTTGCTTTATGTAGGATAAGTGCATCTTGATGCCACTTTAGATGTTACGATTGCTTATTTGTTGAGGGCATGGATACTCTCAGAGAGAACTAGAGATATTTGGAACTGAATCATTAGGGTTTCTAATATGCCCCTTTTTCTATATTTATTATACAAAGATTACAAAGATCCAATTCCACAAACATATTGAGTCTAACCCTATATTGCTAATTGCAAAGAGGTCTCTCAACACTCCCCCTTAAGTTGGAGCTTGGAGCTTGTATGTCATATGTGCAAGCTTGTTATGAAGATTAACTTTTCCTTCGATAAAATATGACAGTCATCGATTTGTTTAGTACTCTCATGAAACATTGGGTTAGAAGTTGTGTGTAGTGCTATAAAGACCCGACCTGATCCATGCGGACGAAACACTCCCCATAAAAGAAGTATTCATGATATGATCACTCTAGGTGACCATTTGGAGGTAAGTCTTACTTATGAATTACTTCTTGAGGTATTTTTCCAACCGATGTAGAACTTTGATTTCAAACTCCTCCATCAAAGCACTATCGTTCTCATTAATGTCTGCCTATATCGGCTTGTGGTGCTCCCCCTGTTCAATATGTAACTTGATCCATCCCTGCCCCCTAGTGATCCTAGGAATTTTGCCAGGTATCACACCTTGTTCAAGCCCATATTACGGCGATTACTCCTTGGCCTCGTCAAATCTGTTAGGGGCCAGCCCATCCTTAAACGGCGCACCTACTTTGGGCCGACGCCCTGTGTTGGGTGTCGACACGACACGACACGGTTACAGACACAGGATCTGTGTTAGAGTCACCATCTGAGCAGTGGACACGGCTTGCATGGCTGTTGAGTTACGGTTCTGTGTTTTTTGTCCTCTCTTCTGCTCTGCTTTTCTTTTTTCGGTTTAGAATATGAAGAAGAAAAAGAAGAAGACCAGATGAAAAAGAAAAAGAAGCCCAAGAGAGAGAGAGTGCAGGCAGTGTCCTTTCATCTTGTCTCCCTCTCTCGAGCCATGCCCTTTTATAATATTTTTTTTTGACTAAAAAGAATGCAGTGTCCTTGCTGTGCTGTCTTCACTTATTAGGTTTAAGTGGTTAACTGGGCCATAAAAATAAGAGAAGAAAGCCCGAGAAAGGCACAAGCAGTAATATAAGCTTTTTGGCCCAAGTCATGCTCAATGAATTGTTAGAAAAGATAATTGTTTTTTAAACAGAAAACAACCTAAAAACATGTCTGTATCAAGGAAAAAAAATTGAAAATTGAACTTAAATTTGTGCTCTTAAGCCCTTTGAATAAATTGAACATATGTGTAAAATATATTATAGGACATATCTCAGTACCCCTTTCCAATTCTTGGATCCATTTTAGACGAGTCTCTGTGTCTAAGATTTTCTCAAGAGGCAAGTCCGACACACGGAACCATACCCACACCCAGGTTCGGGTAATGTAGAGTTCGCCCGATCCGCTAATAATTTCACCCTACGAATAGCAGGAGTATCAATTGGCCTTGATATAAGAACACCAATTTCCTCTAGAATGTCTGATGCAAATGCACTACCTCGATACGAAGGAAATATGACAACTTTCCCATGTCCTTGGGTTGAAAGCATTGATGGAAATTTGTTGTTTGTTGAGCAATAACACCTATGTCACCCCCCTTAATGATAAAACATTTAAGCATGATGTAAAGGTTCCATAGAAAACTAAATGAACTGGGGCATACCGATTCATTTCAAACTCCAGGTTTACTGAACTAAGTTTTCCAAACCATGTTCATGGAGATTTTTTCCAACCATGCAAATCCTTATATAGTTTATAGATCATACCATTGTGCCTTCACAATCTGCATTTACTCTTCAAGTTCTAGAAGCTCCATATTAGATGTTTTGGACCATTGGATTGTGTTGTGGCCGAAATTTCCCTTTGCTTGTGTTATTAAAATGGGCAAATTTCTGACCAAAAAAAAATGGGCTTAATTGATGAGGCTTGAGTTGGCTTGTGAGTTAATCAATAGAATTTTCAAGCTCTAGTGCTCCCAACACCAGAATGAGAAAACAAGATCTCTAACTTTGCGAAACAAAAATCAAAAGCTCAGAGAGGGAGAGAGCACCAATAGGCGCACTGGTGAAGAGATCCATAGGGCATAACACCGTCACAGAGGAAGAGAGAGAGAGAGAGAGAGAGATTTATGAGGTTAGAGTTTAGAGGTGACGGAGAGGCGGGCTGTAAAAATGAAAACGTTAGCTGATAGTATTAGGGTCTTTTCCTTGTAAAAAGTATGCCAAGTTATGTTACAAAATTCGTTTTATATGAGTTTTAGAGCCTTTTTTCCTATCACAAGATGGAATGTTTGATAGGAGTAGCGTGCCTGTTGATCATCCAACTTGAGCCTGACATTCAATCCTCCTCAACAGTCAACATTGATAAATTTTACAAAAGAAAAAGGAACAACTGCAATGGGATTCATAAAACTTGTTAAAATAATTCCCAGAACTTTCATTTTGTGTATTTAAGTCCTAAAACCTGTTATAATCGTCCACTTCAGTCCTTCTGTTATTTCTGGGGCATTTTTTAGTAAGTGTCATATAAAATTGAAAAACTGGTAAAAAGAACCGCGTGATATTTTGCGTCCATTTAAAACTAACGGAGTTAATGGAAGGACTCTAGTGCGTTGAAGTTGCAAGTTTTAAGACTTAAATGTACAAAATGGAAGTTTGAGGACCCAATCGCACTATTGCAACAAGTTTTAAAACTTGCCTTGTAATTGTCCCAAAGGAAAACATCCAGTTCAAAGACTATTCAAACTGGTTCGAGCCTTGGAAATGGGTACCTATCCTGCAAGAGGCCATTTCCATGTCTCTAGAACCGGGAGCTGGACTACTTCATAGGTTGACCATCCTAGAACTGCATTAACCAGGCTCGTTCCAAGTTCCAACAGGTTCTTGTGTTGAACTGGGCCTAACACTCACCTCTGCTGCTCTTAGTTCCCCTTTAGGTTTGAAATGAACTGAATTCAACTTTCGGCACCTTTAGATGCTTTGAAAAGTCACTCTAATATCCCTTTAAACCATAACCAGTTTTATGTTTAAGCTGTCAAAGTTAATTTACAATTCTACCATATGCTATAATGTGGACATCTTAGAAATTAATACTTGCCATGACCATTATCAGCTATTTGGCTTCTGTGCCTGTAGTAACAACTACCCTAGGTCATCTTGGTAGCAATTTAAAACCCTGAATCACTTAAAGTGGAATTCACATCTTGACATCAGTGGCATGAATGGCGTCATTTGCTTTGTGAGTGCATCTGTGCTATATTTGGCTCCACTTCTTGGCCCCATCTTATTAAATTGGTCATGAATTTGGGTGAAAGTCCGTCTGTTCTTGATCCCAATGAACATAATATCTAATATCTGAAGGGCATATATCAAGACTGAGTACAACTGACCTTAGGAGAAAAACATACTCCGTTATGGACTACTCTGATCTCCGGTTTGCTCGAGTAGAACAAATCCTTTAGAAATTGGAATATGGTGTTGCTGAAACTTTCTATTTTGAGAATGTAAGCATCACCATTGACTCGCTCTTGTACGTATCAGCATGTAGGTTCGAGTTTTTGCATTGTTCTGTAGAATATTTTGACATTGTTCAGAAAAATCAAATGGCATATACTCTGACAATTTTTTCTTTGCAGAGCTCTTGGACAAAAAGGGCAGTGGAAATTGACAGTCCTCGGAAGGCGTCCTCTTGGGAGCAGTTGGCTGATCCTCCAGATAGCACCTGTGCACAGGTTATCCATGCAAGGCCTGATACGCTCAGCAGTAACTGGGTGCCTATGACTGCAATGAGGCATGCTAAGGGAAAATATGATGAACTTGGTGCGTCCAGCTCTGTTTGCAGCATCTTTAGTTGGATTTTATATCCTCAATTGTCTAATGTTGTTTTCCATTTGTAATTCTTTTTGTAATATTATGCTTGGTTCCTTTTTAAGACAAAGATATGATGGGCAAGGACTTGGAGATAGGAGCACCTAATCTGCAGATTGAAGAACCAAGTAAAAATGATAAAATTACCACAGATCCTACTGCCAACAAAACCTCTGAGATTGACTACCGAAAAAAGGATGAGCAATTGGGGGATAAACAATTGGAGCTCAACAGTGAGAAACCAAATGCCAAAACAGGTGCTGTAATTAATGGTAGCAACCCTCCAATGGAAAGAGTCGATTTTAATATTACCAATTGCTCATCCAAAGTGTCTGACGTGAAAGATAAGGGTGCATATGATACCAAGGAGACGCCGTCTCTTGAGCTCAGTTTGAAGAGGATGAAAGATGATGTTGAGAGCAATCCCCACGACAAAAATGTTCTAAGACATTCTGACCTCTCTGCTTTCTCAAGGCAAGAAAATCCAATTACACTGAACTCAAGGCAAAATGAAAACCATTACTTGTTGCTGTGTTAAGTACTGTTATTCTTGTGCAGGTACAACTCTTCTTCTACTCCTAATCAAACTCCAACCGGAAATGTGGGTAGCTGTTCCCCAGCTGACAATAGCTCAGAGGTAGACAAAACAGAGTTTATGCAGAATTTCCAGTCCAATTCAAGTAGCCCTCCGCTGAATCAAGGTTCCAATGGAAGCAGTAACAATAATGACGTGGGTTCCACCACTAACAATGCTTTCACGAAGCTAGAAACCATCACTGACAAACCACCTTCTAAGTCTATGTTGAAATATCTCCATCAATCGTCTGCTTTCCAACCAGTACAAAATGGTGGTACGTGTCCTCCGCTTACAATACAGGGTAAAGTAGACCCAGCAATCGCTCACGTGATTATGTCACAAGCTAGGGGTGTGAAGCATCATGTTCAAGTGCAGCACCACCACCACCATTACCATCTCCACCACCACCACCATGCGCAGAATGTCACTCAAATGCAGGAGCCAGCTGAGGATCATGACATGGCTTCGAAAAGCACAGCAGCTGCTGCTCCACAGTGTGGGTCATCCAACGGCATGAGTACACCATATGAAGGCATTGTTACCAATAACAGCTACAATGGGAGTGCCTCCGGCAGTAATCATGCAATCGATGGGCAGAATGGGAGGAACCTCCCCACAAATGATCAAGAAACAAATATGGATGTAGACAATAAGATAGCTGGAGAAAGTGGAGCCAATGGTGGGATTGGATATACGAACATGAATGGAGTTGAACAAAGTCGGAATGCCCAAAGAGAAGCTGCTCTGAACAAATTTCGGCAAAAAAGAAAAGAAAGGTGTTTCGAGAAAAAGGTAATAGAAAGCAGTCCTGTTAAATGTGCCCTAAGGTTGCTGGTTGAACCTTACAAAAAAAAAAAATCATATTCATTGTCAAGACGTTGAAGATAAGTGATACATAGTAACCTCACACAGAACTAGATATCAACTTCACAAAATAAGTGCACATTTATAGTAGCTTGTCCATTGTCCTTACAGTACCTCTCAATAAAGAATTACAAACCTCTTCTGAGGCACGCATCACTTCTGCATTCTGATTAGTGGGAAAAGAGATGAGCATAAAGTATCAGGTACGAGTTGGGCTGTCCTTTCAGAATCATGTAGGTAACCAAATATTTTACGGGAGTATAATTTCTTGTAATGGAAGAAAATGACATTGGAATAGTAGCATGGTTGGGTTTTTGGTTTCTTGATTTTGTTTCTCTTATCAAAAGGAAAAAGGAAGAAGAATTGAACCCTTCAAGTTAATGCTTTCTCAGGTTCGATACCACAGCAGGAAGAAACTGGCGGAACAGAGACCACGTGTTCGTGGACAATTTGTGCGGCAGGCTGCCAACGAGATCAGAGGGAAGGAGACAAATTCCTGACCTTTTATCCTGATGAAGACATGGGATTTCGTGGTCGATCTGATCTGCACATTGCACCCAACATTTATTATGTTGTGATTGAAGACATTCAGAAGACACCGCGGTACTATATTTATATTGTGGACTCATGTTGCTACGGCTATGCTGCCACAAGATGGTATGCTGTGAACCTAATCTAGGATATCTCTAGAGACATCGTGTGCTGTTTGTTTCTACAAGACATTCTGCATAAATAAATGCTAGAAGTCTGATTTTCACACGATGGTCTTCCCTGTGATTGAATCTGGGTCATTCGGGACCCGACCTGAGAATCGAAGCATCTTTTACAATCTCTGAGTCCTTGACCAGGTGCTGCTTTATAACTTCATATCCAAATGAAAGCATGCGATGCGAAAATCCAGTGATGCTAAAATCAACCATCAGGGAACCATGTCCACTATCGTCCTAGACAACTGAATTACGTGTAATATCAACTCACGCTACTATTCATCTCGTGTGGATATTGAGGAAACCGCCGATAAATATTGGTGATGCAAAGCACCTCTGACGCGTCTTTCATCTGAGTTTTCTTTTCTTTCTTTCTTACTTTCTTGAGAGAGAGAGAGAGAGAGAGAGAGAGAGAGAGAGAGAGAGAGAGAGAGAGAGAGAGAGAGAGAGTAATCTAACCTTCAGAAGATGAACTCAATATGAATTCCCAGCTGCTCCTGGGCAAGTTCTTTGAAACAACCTGAAAATGGAGAATTAGAAGCAGAGCACTTCCTCCATTCCCCGCCCTTTCTGTCAAATGTGTGCTTGTGACAGTGCTTCTTACCACTCGGCTATTCAAAGGCAACACATTCGGATCACACTCTCTGGTAATAACGTTAGCACTTAGCAGCCACATGCAAGCAAATAGCAGGAATTTTTTGACACAACATCAACCTTTTTAACAGCTAATGGCCCCTGATGATTGGCATTTCCTTCGCCCATGAGCTGCATGTGAGGATGTCCTCAGAACTTGGTCCTTTTCATCGTCCTACTAATTAGGCAGATGCTAACTACCAAATGGCACATGTCCTGTTATTTGGGAGCCAATGTTTGTGGCGGCAAGATCTACTGAATAATCGGTGAGCAAATGATATCTTCTCTCTTGAGATTGGAATGGCGCGGTGCATTCACAGCCACTAGTTATCCTATGTTCGGTTCCTCTTATGTATGTCGGGACAAATGTGAATAGGATTTCTTATGTTCATGTTATAAAAGCTATTTTTCTTACATAACAGAAGTTAGGAAAATTGCAATGATAATTTTTAATATAAAAATAAACAAATAAAACAAAATTAACAACAATTTTCGTATTTATTTACTCCTATTTTTATTAATATATTTGAATTTCTTTCTATTCTATAATGTATGTTATATATTTAGTTTTTACGTTCACTAAATATTTTAGGTATATTAGATTAGTATATTATTTCATATAATAAAATCTTTATTGAGGAATGATGGAAGCGAATAAAAAATAACAAAAAAGGGGGAAATAACAAAAAAAATTAGTTAAAAAATGAAGCAGAACAACCTACATTTCAAATGAACAAATTTGTGAAAATATCATGTCTCCTCCCTAACTTTTTGGTTCATGCTGAAACTTCATGAAAATGGCGAGAAAGTGGAAGCTCCTACTATGCAGCTTGTTGGAACTTGGTTCACGTCGAAGATTCACGAAAGCAGCAAGAGAGTCAAAACTCCTCCTTCTCCGTAGTTTTCTAATTTACGTTGAAGCTTCACGAAAGTGGTGAGAAAGTCGAAGCACTATTACTTTTTGAAATCGCGAAGGTGAATGATCATATTTTCTCTCTTATACTAGATTAGGCATTCGTTTGTTAATTTGTATTGTCGAGTTCTTGTCATAGTTGAGCCTCTGAAATGCTGTAATGAGGTCCTTTGTTGTTTATGATTTTGATAGTACAATAATCATGGATTGACCGTTGGAGGTTACCTTAATTCGTGCATTTGTGATTTTTTTTAGCAATGAATCACAAGATACTCTTACCATCTCCCTTTGTGCATTTTTGGGTTCCTTTACACCGATACGCAATTCCTACCAAAAAAGTGAACATGATCAGATATGAAAATAACCAATTTTATAACTGTGATTCACCAAACGATAACAGAATTCGACAAAATCTCTGGATGCCATCCTATAAAATCCTATCATAACTAGAAATAAACACCGCCAAAGGACTTCCGCAATTCTTTCGCCCCATATCATGAACTATTAGTAAAACCTTATTTGCATGTCTTAGAATATCTTCGTACAGGCATACTCATGAAAGAATTGCGCAAACTTGAATCTCTGGGAATGACACATACTTCTTAAAATTCCCAGATCACTCCACCAGCCTTTTGATCACGAGACCCATCATTAAAGCATGGGAAGTCAAGTAGCCGAATGAAATGAAAGGGGGATTCAAATCGATTTGAACTAAAATGGTCACCAATCAAATAAGTGCAATGACCATCCCAGAAGCTGTCATAGAGAGCAAATTAATGCACAGAACAGATGACGGACCACATAAAAGGCCAATCTGCCAGAAGTCGACTACTTTCATTGATGGGCGGAACTTCAAAACAAATAAACAGTGTGCAGCAAGAACAGATTACAAGAACAAATAAACCTTGTGGAACCGTCGAAGAATACGATGCACGAGAGCCATCTCAGCCTGCATTATTACTTGGCACTCCCATTCTCACGGGGAAAAGCAACAAGAACACAACGTCATGCAGATGCAAACTGGGGATCATAGTTCCTTGATCAATTTAGAATGGTCCATCAACAAAGATATTCTCAAAAGCGATCAGATTCCGTGACGAGTCTGACTAGAACATATGCAAAAGAAGACCTTTCCATCAAGTCAGCCTATAGATCTATCTAATTGTTGTTATCATGACTTTCCCATAACAATTTTTGCATCCTTGTAAATAACAGCTTTTGTGCGTCAGATAGGTAACAAGAATTGCCAGTTGACCCCTTTGTTGCACATGTGAAAGATGATATATGTTTCCCTTATCCAACAGCTACAGCTCTCATCAGCCACGGCCTCCGGGATAGAAAAAGTCCACGCTATTTTCCCTGACCCTGAAATGGAAGTTATGTATCTTGCTGCCCGGAGTCCCCTGCCTGTCACGCTCACCCTTATTGAAAACCATCAACTGCAAATGAATCATGAAAAGTCATGACAAAATCACATGAAGGCTCGTGATTTGTCATACATACACATTATGATACAAAAAAAGGCCCAGAAATCCATCAAGATCGTCTTTTTATTCTTTGAACTGATTTAATTCATTACTTCACTTCACTATCATCACAAGGAAGCAAAACGATTCAACAAGCAGGTAATATTTTCAGCAACTAGCAGAACTTCATTTAGATAGAGCATCGCAGGTTTGCTCCAGCATAGAAATACCTGTCCGTGCACATCAACTGCTGAACCTGTGGCCAAAGGTTCTGCTCTCACCAAAATATTAGATAGGTACTCCAGATTCAACATTAGCATAGGCTTTTCCATGCTTGAGTAGATATCCCCATGATTGAGAGCAACTACTGAACAATCCTGAGACATAAATGAAAGAGCAAATAATTACACAAGGAGTACAAGTATTGTGCAAGGAGAAAATGCATTGTAATAGCAGCACAGTGTCTTACAAATTCTGACGTTAAAGTGCGGCAGTAGTGCAGGAAGTCCAAGACGCTATCTGAAGAACCATTAGCCACCACCTCCATAAGGGCAATATCATCTATCACAATGGTAATGCAGTTCTTCTCCGCAGATAAGGCACGGACAGCGTTGTATATCTTCTCAAACAGCGAAACAAGAATGCTGCTTCCAGTTTTCGCATCATCTTTGTCTACCAAAGTAAAAGAAATATTGCATATGTCAAAATTATGTGCCACCAAACAGATATACAGGGAAAAGCATCCATGGTATGCATACACACTCATACACCCCGAAAGAAAAAATTAATACGTTCAACATAATTTCTCGGAACAAATCAAGACCACATTTGTCAGAGCGGAATTTCATCGTAAGGACAAAGTCCATTCCGTCTTTCAGTTGAAGTCCGTCTCTCGGCTAATGTCCGTAAACGATCAGACTAAATCAAAATTAGAAGGCTCTTGCCACTAGTGGAACCCTGAACTTGGGGACTAAAAACCATTACGCCTGCCTTAGAGATTTCAAGCCAACACATGAAACTCTGATTCAGAGATGATCAATCACACTGAACTCGACTGAACATTTGCAAGGTCAACAACATTTCACTATGGAGCCAATGTTTTACCTGAATCCCTCACCTGGGAAGCGGAGATTGAGCATGTCGAAGAACAAAAATCTGTTGTTATCCCTTTGGGCAACTAAATTGCAGCCCTGTCACCCAGAGAAGAAGAAGATTATACTTGCGGTGATCATGAAAGTGGTGGCTGAAACATTCATAGTCCAATGCCAGCAGCTCATCAAAGAACAAACAAAATCATTCCGAAGCATGCAAAGGCCACGACTTTCCGCACCGAGGCTATCACCAGCACCGACCCATTGCCAGTAGCGAGCGAGAGAGAGGCAGAGAGCAGAGAGATCACCAGTTTCCGGAGGACGCGATCGTAGTGGGAGAGAGGCTGAGAGAAGGCGACCAAGATGAGGGCGTTGTTGGAAAGGGCAGGGGGCTGAGGCGAGAGGAGGAAGCGCTTGATGATGTGGTGGACGACGAACGCTCCGCCCGTCTCCACGCAGTCCTCGACGAGGACCAGCTTCCCGAGGAGAGGCCACCGGTCGCCGCGTCCCTCCTCCAGCCCCAGCGCTCGGTCGAGCAGGTTGTCCATCTCCCTCTCTGTCTCTCTCTCTCTCTCTCTCTCTCTCTAGGGTTTCGAGCGAGTGCTCACTGTGGAAGAAGAAGACCGAGAAAAATTACATTACCATTTTCCCGGGAAAGATAAAAGGAAAAAGAAAAACGAGTTCGTAACACGTGGCGGTTAAGCCTTAAGAAGGCAAAGGAGAAGGCTTTCGAGCTTAAAGATCGGTTCCCCTCCGCCGTCGCGCTCGCCGCCGCCGCAAACCGCCATGCCGAGCGTCAACCTGAAATTCTCGGCCTCGCTCCGCGGCTCCCACCCGCACAAATTGATCCGGTTCCTCGCGAGCAGCGCGACCACCGCCGCGATCCCGTCCCCCCGGACCAATCTGTGGCTCCTCGCGAGAGCTAGCTCGAGCGCGCGGAGATCGCCGGCGGCGGCATTGTCGCGCGCGTGGGTTGCGGCGCCGTTGGACGGCCGCTATGGAATTCTTCGTGGAAGGACCTCGAGTGGCGCCGGATCGTACTTCGTCAGGCGCGCGAGCAGGGGTTGTAAGTGCGACTCGAGTTCTAGCTCATCCGGCATCGAGGGTGGCAAAAATGAGGGCTTGCTGCGTGATGATGGCGGAAAGAGCAGTTCGCAATTGGAAAGCGGGAATCAACGACCGCCACCGCCGTCGGTGCAGAATCAGGAAGAAAAGACTGATCAGCTGTTGACGTTGCCGACGATATTAACGCTTGGTCGTGTCGCCGCCGTGCCCCTTCTAGTTAGTAGTAAGTTTCATTTTCACTTGAAAAGTGAATTCTGGTTTTGTTCTTTCCATCTTCTTCGTTTTCCTCGTCGTCCTTGTCGAATGGTGATATGCTCGGTGCTTTTATGTGGAGAGGAAAAGTCTTTCGAATGGTTCTGTGTCATCATTTCAAACAATTTCAATTTTTTTGTCCCGTTTTATGTTGGTTTCAGCCATATGAACCCGGTTCGTTCTATTGTTTGCTCTCCTCGTGGAATAGAATTTACATTGGAAGTTTTCGGGCTCTTTATCATGAAGTAGTGCTACTGCTTGGATGTTAATTTTTCTATCGGGCTTTCAACTGCCGCTGCCAACGGTGGCTGCTGCAAGATTTGAGGTTGTCAGAGGCAAAGCGATTAGTTCACAGGGATGACACGAGAAATTCTTCTATCTTTATGAGAACAATAATAAATTTTGTTTCTAGAGGGCCATTGGTTCTTGTGCAAGGATAAATTGATTGGTTTTCTGCAGAACTGGCGAGACTTGCTTCTTGGATATCCTACAATCGAAGCGCGTATGCATGATGTGTTAACAAATGCAGGGTTAATTGTCTTTGTGTTTGATGCCTCATCTTTGTGCTAAAAGCCATGATCCAACTGGAACATTAAGCTTAGAAGTGGCTTTGGCCCGACTTTTTGTTTGAGAGAGAAAGGAACAGAGCGGGGGAAGAAAAAAATTGAGTAGATATTTCATGCCTATGCATTTCATGTGCTGATGTTTGGCGTGGATTTGCTTCTTGTCTTAGAAAAATATAGCTTGGTTGCTCATTACCCCTTGTAATCTTTGAGTGTGATTAGCCAGTTTCTGCACTGTACGGCCTTGTGAGCTATGTGTTAAAAGGGTATTCCTTTTGCTGCTTGACATTTGTGCTAGCCGCGGCAGAATTCTAATCTTCCTAGCATGCATTCCCTATGCAGTATCGTTCATTTAAGTATTTGTTGTTTAGTAAATTGAAAGAGTTGTAGTAACTAGGAATTCTAACCTCGCTTTTTATCTGTAGCCTTTTATTTGGATACACAGTGGGGTACTACGGCTACAACAGGCATTTTCATCGCAGCAGCAATTACGGATTGGCTCGATGGATACCTTGCTCGTAAGGTATAATTTTATCTGGGATTATGAAATTGTAACAATTCTTTACATGACACTATATGTAACTTTTATTTTTTTTCACCTTTGTTTCAGATGGGTTCGGGCTCTGCATTTGGTGCTTTTCTAGACCCTGTTGCGGATAAGGTATGGTTGTATGATTGAGTTTTAAACAATTGAGATGCTTATTGTCTGGTCAACATGCAAGAGTTCATTAATATTCATGCTCACTGATTGCAGCTTATGGTCGCAGCCATATTGGTCCTGTTGTGTAGCAGACCTTTGGAAATTTCTATGTTTGGGCAGGTGCCGTGGCTAATCACTGCACCTGCTATTGCTATCATAGGTAGAGAGGTGAGTTCACAGACTCTGTATCTAAAATCTATTCGTACTTCGATCATGACCTAACTCTGAATGATCTGTTTGGTGACAATATATATATACATTAGTATGTCTAATTAACAGTTCGATCCCCTTTTTTTTTCGCTCCAATCAGACTAATCCACACAGCCTATTATGCATGTACTGATATGTGAATTTTTGAAATTGTTAATAGCTTTCGATAGTGCAAATATCAGCATGTTCATTTAATATGTAGAGGTCTTGAAGGGTTATTAATTATGATTGCAAATTGTTGCTCTGGATGCAAAATGATCTCTCTTTGCTTTATTCCAGTTCTTTTTATGTTGATCTTGTTTGATTTGGATACCCTGGTAAATTATTTGAACAAATATTTGTACATGTTTTCAGATAACTATGTCTGCAGTGAGAGAATGGGCTGTTTCTCAAGATAGCAAGCTTTTAGAGGTAAATTCTACGTATACTCCTGTAGTAAAATTGCTATGAAGAATCAAAGCTGTTATAAAATTGTGCCATAAGAATGACAAATATATCTCAGGCTGTTGCTGTAAATAAATTGGGGAAGTGGAAAACTGCTACTCAGATGACAGCACTTACCATTTTACTGGCTACTCGAGACAGCAGGTCAGCTTCTAGCTTCTAGCTTCTTTTTGTTCTTTTCTGTGATGCATACTTTTAGCGTTGAGGTTGATCATTGAATATTTGAAATATAATCCTCGTTTGCTAACTATGTTTCCACAGTCTTAGAGGAGCTGAATCTTTAGTGGCTTCTGGAGTTGTGTTGCTCTATACCTCAGCAGGGCTAGCATTATGGTCTTTGATAGTGTATATGAAGAAGATATGGAAAGTGTTACTTAAACAGCACTCTTAGCCTTCAGATCGCATTTTTTGGCCAACCTTGCCTTTTACTTGTTTGGTCCCTGCACTGTGCTCCTCAGATAAGGTTTTGAATGGAGGTAAACTTGACTGATAACACTATTCCTTAGTACACTAATATACTGATTTCTTTCTTTGGAATCTTTGCAAAGGTCAGTAATAGATATTATCGGGTTTTTTTCCCCTCTTGTAGATTCAACGTTTTATAGAGTTCACAGCATCCTCATACAAATCCTGGAAACTCTGCCTATCAAGGAATGTGTAAAGGGTCGACAATTCAGTATCTTTATCTTTCAGAAGACCTCTCATAGGGATATGCATATAGGGTAACGGGGTTCTCCATTGGGATTCTCTTGTCACAAATCCTGGAAACTCTGTAACAGATATTGATGTTGGATTCACATTCTTGACTTCAGAAAGTGCTGAATAAGTTGTTTCTTTGAATTTTGTAGCCCTCGGGGAGTATGTCAACTTTGCGAACATTACTGATCTTATTCAGGTTTGGCCTGACTGAGTTATATACATGTCCACTTTGCAGTCTGCATCAGAAGTTTTTTGGCCAATTGCAGTTTGGACATATTTACAGAAGGGTGAGGCTGGTCTTCGCTGCCACCTTCTCGACAATGCCACGCCAGCCTTTCGCTGCCAACACCACCACCATCACTATCTCTCTTGCCTCAGTCTCCCTAATTCTCTCACTCACTCCACCACTAATCTGCGGTAATTGCTGAACACGAGAGAGAGAGAGAGAGAGAGAGAGAGAGAGAGAGAGAGAGAGAGAGAGAGAGAGAGAGAGAGAGAGAGAGAGAGAGAGAGAGAGAGAGAGTCGTGGAGATGGGGTGGTTGCTTGACGGCCGGGCTTTGATGGGGGTGGTAGTCCCGGAGGGGCAGGGATGGCTGTGGCTTAATTAGAGAGAGAGAGAGAGAGAGAGAGAGAGAGAGAGAGAGAGAGAGAGAGAGAGAGTGGTGTCATTCGTTAACCCGTGGTTGATAGAAGTCGCGACGAGGGAGAGAGGTGAGTGGGAAAAAAGAAGATGAAAGTCATGACACCAAAAAAAACAAAAAAACAGGTCTCTTCCAATCGAGATAAGACAGTAGAACCAGTTTAACTCATCGGCAGCGGCATCTATTATGCTGACCTAGCAGTGGGCTAGTGCTGCTGAGTGGTAGCAGTGTTGATGCCACTGACCTTGCAGCAGTTGATGCTCTGCTTATCGGGAGAGTGAAATACTCCTGATGCGTGTAACCACTGTCGGATGAGCTCAGGCTCATGCGATCCGGGTTCAAGAAATACTCATCGAATTAAAGCAGTGAAGCGTTAATAGGAGGATCGGGTGGAACCTTCAGAGATTTGCTTGGCTAAAAACACTTACTGCCTAATGAGTGGATATACTTTTGTTTTGTGTGTAAAAAACTTCACTGATGCAATGTCCTGTCCAAATACAAAGAGCTCGCTTATAGCATCGTGCGAGGAAGATCAAGAAGTGCCTATACAACATCACAACATCCATTTCGGACTTCAAAACTATAGAAATCTTTCTCATACAAAAAAGGAAAATGCGATTCTTAATTTGATGGATTCTGCGATCTCTTTGACTAGGTCTTCACATTTGCAGAGGGACTGCCGCCTGCTCGGACTGAGAGCAGAGGCCCCCGCCAGGAGCTGCGACGGATCAGATGCGAATCCAGAAACAAAACTACGACGGTGATATCGTCATGAAAATGTCTCCTCACCCCACGATCTATCTTCTTCAAGTCGGAGTACCGCATCTCCCTCTTCTTTGCCGCTTCGCGGAGCGCTGTTTTGACAAGCTTCCTCGCAACACCCTGCACAGACATGGAAACTCAGATGGGGATCTCAAGAGAACAGCATAAGATAGAAACAAAAAAACCAACTCCCACCAAAGACGATAGGAAGCAAATCCACCAATGTCCGACTCTTGATCATTGCAGAGGAATCACCTCAAGCAAATTTAGAAAAATTTTCTCACTCACAAATAACGAAATTCAAGAAATGTGGTAAATATCTTACATTTCGTGGACAGTTGTGGACAATGTCAACCGCCTCCTGATTGCTAAGATGCTCCCATAAGCCATCTGATGCAAATATGAGAAACTGATCTTCAGGGTAAATCTGTTGAACTATTATAGAAGGCTCGGCTTTGAGGATTGGTCGGTGAAACGTGTCCGGCAGCCTAAATTTTGCCAACAGAGGTTCCTTATTGAACTCCGCCTTCTTCAAATAAGCATCACCAATGGATCTTGAAACCTGCAATACAGAATTTTTTTTCCATTAAGCAAAAACATCACTCACCATTCACAGACTGGTATTTTATAGGAACTTTGCTGATTAATCTACCATCACCATGATTAAGTAAAACATCAAATGCAAAATCATACTAGCTGTCTGCGAAGAAAATAAGGTCATACTTTCTTTTCGATATTTTCTGAAGAAGCTTCAGGTCATGAATTCTACTCATCTTATGAAAGCTTGCGGGAATAACACCACAGGACACATGCCACCAACACTACTAACTCTCTTATCTATGTCTAGAGACAGACAGGTGAACTTCGTACTTGATAAAATCTCACTTAAGCTGGAAGAACAATCCACGAGGAACCATATGTAGCTTTATCAAGATTCTATGGCTTTCTACAACTCCAAACAAGTACGGAAATGTCAACATGTCGGCATGAAAAAGTCCTAGAATTAAAATGACAACTGCAGGATGTGGAGATTATGGCATTGCATTTATACCAAGCTAAGAATGACCCAGGAAATAATGCTCTAAAACTTTATGAATATCTGTCTGTCGAAGCCATATTCGAAACAGTAAGTAGTGACAAAGCAACTTGTATATGCCGCATGGACCTCCCCTCATAAGGCAGTTTTATAAGGCAGCTCTTTGGTTTTCAAACACATTGTTTGATCAATTAAGTAGCCTGCCTGCCTGCCGTGTATAAATTGTTGGCCAAGAAGGTGCAAATCTTTTGAAATTATTTCATCAATAAAATAAAAGTTATCATCAATAGAAAACATAACCTTTCAGTCAAGTCAAAACCTAAACTGAGGTAAACAAACTTCAGCTGCGTAGTTCCAGCAGCTTCCCACATTCTTTTTATATGCACAAAGTTAACAAGTGTCCTTAATTCAACAATTAAGTCTACTTTGGCCACAAAAAGTAGATCACCAGTTAAGCATACTTGACTGAAAGGTCGAGATTCTTTCATACGGGTCTTGTTGGCCTGGGGCACTAATTAAGTTAAGTAAAAATGGAAACACGCTTTGCAAGACATTTTGAAAATGAAAGAATTACACATTTCAATAAAGTCACTTACTTCAAAAAGTAAATCCCAAATTTTCAAAGCATGTTTAGTTAAGGCTTAACAAGTGCCCAAGGGGCACTCTTTAACATTCTCCTTTTCAAATTACTGGCCACGTAAATCACAATAAGCAAGTGTCTCGAAAATTGAGATTTCTTTATTTGATTACTGAAGAAAGTGCCCTAAGCACACTAAATCAACAAATCCTTTTTCAGTTGCCCTTAATTCATGAAGTAGAGTAAGGCTTTTAGATACCAGACTGTCGGCTTGTTAGACAAAAAAGTAATCAGCTAGAGTGAGATAACTGTAATTTTTTACCTTTCGGATCGGTTGGTAAAATTGAGAAGTAATTTTCCAGCCGGATCATTTTTTTGGTTTTGGAGTATGATAGTTAGCCAGAAACATGTAACCATCATCAGACGACAAGCACTAATGGTGGAGACACTGTGCTAATGGAAATTTTCAATTGGATAAATCAACCGAACTTCAAGTCAGACAATTTTGGAGCATATTAAAAAAACTAACATAAAAACTAGTTCGGGTGTATTTATTTATCGTCTTTTTGGCCAACAGCCTTAGATGCATTTTAAAATCTGTGTTAAAGTAACCTCTGTCTGGGATCTAAAACCCAGCTCCAGAAGTACCCACCATTCAGAGTTACAATTAGGACCTACTAATTAAGAGGAGAAACCACCAAGAGAGAACCACATAAAAAATCCTTAATTCCTTATAGAGGAACGGAAGGAGAAAAAAGGAAGAGCAATTTGAAAAATGACAAACAAATTTTCTAGATAACATGCTTTTAAGTATTGCATTGCTGCATATCATAAATGACAATGGAAAGCATTCCCCAAATTGACAGAATTATTTGCCTATGCTGCATGAGTTCAAAAGGGGGGCCAACAAAATTTGTCTGTGAGAGTCCCCCTAAATTGAATGGTAGCTGACATTCAAATTATAGCCAGCAAAATGTTGCAAGAACAGATATAATGAAAAGAAAGAGGCTACTTTTCTCACTCTAGAGAAGGGACTCGAGTTCAAAAACTTCAAATACACCATCAGTGAGCACAATTACTAATTTTGAAGAAACTCAAGAAGAAGATGGAAAATGTTAAAAACCAGGAATACAAACAGTATGGTAACTTAGAAACTTCCAAAAGGAGGGAACCATTTATCTGACATGGAAAAGTCAAAACTGTTGCATTCCAACAATGCGAGCACAATGAATGTAAAGTTGCATTTATCGTAAACTAAGTTTACAAAAGATAAAAACGAAAAAAACAGTTCATGCAATAAGATGTTCTGTTCGGTAAAAGATTACCTGAATCACACCCTTCACACGCCAAACCTTGTGCTTCAAAACCACAATCTGTGGATCATCGGGATGCAGTAGACGCAATTCCTCTCTCACAGATTCAAAACTGGCGTTATGCTCGGCTGACAACTGAATTGCTTTGACCTCCTTGACAGTCTTTTCCATTCGTCCTAACACAACCCTCGAGTCTCCAGCATTTGCAATGTATAGCTGGCCACAGCAAATGATGCCCACCAAACAACATGAGCCGACTGAAGCAATCTGTGGCTTAATCAGCCATTGCTTCTTTACTATTGAGAGAAATTCCTCCTCCGTGGCTAAAAAAGCTTTCTTGATGACATCAGCGGACATTCCCTGGTTCTCTGACGTGTATTCTGCAAATAAACAGCTGTCAATTGAGGAGGAGAACAGTGACATATGTACACCTCCAGAACAAACAAAAAACAGGCAGATACAATATTGCAAGAAGCTTTCGTGCTCGCTATCATGGATGAGTTGGTTTGCAATTCCTGGAAACCCTCTATCACTCCTGAATGCACCCATCTTTCCTAGACAATCTAACTGAAACTTGCTGCATAAATTTGTTGAATAGCTCAAACGAGCTAAAAAATTGCACATATCTCCATGTTCAAATGAAGGATAACACAAAGGTTATAATCCATCTGCAGTTTCTAGTTTTCCAGCAACAATTCACAGATCTTCTCATAGTTTGCGTTACATACTACACAAATTACGGCAGAAATGGAAAAAGTGTTTGCTTCCGAATTCACGCTACACTTCAATTCACTCAAATCTAACTTAGCTCTTCTCGGTTTGATATACTTGAAAATGTGACTACAATCAAACAGAAGTGAAGCTTAGGTAAAATTATGGCCCCAAACATCAAAATGACGGTTCACAGCCATTTACATAGTTATCCTATACTTCAGTCATGATTCCAAAACCTAACAGGTATACTGGCTAGACTGATAAGATATGACACTGAAATACTGCCCAGCATTTTTCCTTTCCATGAGAAAATAATTGCGATGGCTAAATTTTTTTGTTAATGTGTAAGAGTCCAGATGCAGCAACTGCAAGAAAACGTACTTTTAACATAGTCGAAGAGCCGGTCATTGACAAACTGGGAAGCTTCAGGGCCTCCATGGCCATCGTAGACTCCAACAAATGTTCCTTGAGGACCAGATTCAAGGGAGCTCATCGGCCCTGATTCAACTTGACTCTGGTCTTCTAGTAGAGTATTTGCTTGAATTACCGCCATTGAAAATTCACCATTTACATGGTGTCCTGAATCTTTATACCATAACAGGCCATCGACACGACCGCTCGCATCTCCACTTTTTCCTGAGTCGTCACCCTCGACCGAAGGTTTCCAACAAGGAGATACAATTCTCATCAATGATCCGGATACCATAACTTACATGTTATCACCCAAATGATCCAGCAATCGATGTATTCCTCAGGTATTTATCAAAAATGATATCAAAGCCAAAGTTCTGCTCTAGTTTCGTTGCTATTCTCAAAGCCACGCCACAAGTCCCAGAAGTCAGATTTGCACTGTTTAACACAGACACCATTAATCTGCAAAATGTCAAGAACAAGGGAAACATCATTTGGTAGCTGCAACGATGGCATGAAGTTAACCAGATAATCGATATGAAAGCACGTGATAATGCACAAACGAGATTATGCGAAAATTGCAAATTGAAACAAGAACGATATGGTGGATCAAGCAAGAGGCGTGGTAAACCAAGGAAACAAGATCCAGGAAACAAAAGGATACCATAAGAACAGAGGGAAAAGTACATTTACAAAACTGCATATTCTCTGATTCGCATTTTCATCTATCCATCAGCCAATGCATTGAAATACAACCCATGTGGAGGAAACATCAAATTCTAGAAGAGACTCGAGAAATGCACGAATCGGTCAGATCGCGGTAAAGATCAAAAAGTTTCAGGCAACCCTCAAGCGCCCAACACCTACCTTTGATCAATGCGCCAAACTTTTCCCGCAAGACCCAACAAAACTCCGAATCACTGCCCTGGGTGACGATAACCCATCTTGGGTCACAAGAAAGGAACCGAATTTCCAATCGGTGGATGCAACGAACCGGTGATATTCGGCAGGAACGATCGAAAGAAATGCCAGATCGCCGGGACAAATAGATGGGGGGGGGGGCAAGAACGAATCGTGGGTCTTCTTTTTTTTTTTTTTTTTTTTTGTGCCTTTCTACCTTTTCGAGGTTGGTTTCAAAGACAGAGCTGATACAACAAAGCTTTGATAGGGAGGGAGGGATGGAGGGGCGGGTGGGTTTCTAGTCCATCACAGAGAGAGAGCTTTTCTTCTTCTTTCTCTTTCTCTGTGGGCAATGGGGAAGAATTTCTCAGCCTTTTTCGCTCATTCCTCTTTCCCCCTGTTCTTCCTCCCGATTTATATACAGTGATTTTGGGGAGGGGGGGGGTTTCTTCCCCCTTTGACCTTTCAACAGACCATCATTTTAGGCAACATTTGCTCGTCCGTAGGCCGCGACGGAAAGAGCCAGGAAACGAGGCTCGGAACTGAAAAGATTCCTTTTTTCTTTCTCCCCTCTTTTCCCCTTCTTTCACTTCTGTCGACGTTGCCCCTTTTGATTCTCTTATATTTTCTTCGATTCCCTCGAAGGTTGGAGTCATTCGAACGAGGGATCGTGCGTTAAAAACACGATTTTTATCGAGTGAAGAAAACGAAAGTTTTGATTTTTCACGGCACTGCGATCGTGGGAACGTAAGCGCGTATTGATTTCTTTGCACTTTCGAATCAAGAACCATGGGCAACGGTAGACATTTCAGATACATTTTGTCCTCTTATTAGGTGAGGATTTTTACATTGCTAGAAAATACGGCACGGCCATCTTTGAATCGATCATCCCGTATCAAAATCTTGCAAATTTCAATGTTTTTTTTTTTCAAATTGATCGGGCTTAATATTTGATAATTGGCTTGGATATACAGGAACGTCGCATTTGTCGTGCACTTGAAGAATGTATGCCTTATTGAAGGCCCTCTAGTTCAAATTGCACTATAATTCATGTATGTGCATTATCAAATTAATAACTTTCTAACATATTCTGTTTATCGATATTGAAACTAACCGATTTGCAAGAAATGACTTTCCCATGACCTAATTTACGAACGCGTACAACTTGAATGAAACTAGAAATCTCACATTCACTTGGATGAGAGCGATTAGAGCGGTTTCCAGATATGTCGACTAAAGTGAACGCGATGCTATCTTATGATGTTATGCTTGATATGCTGCATATGATATTCGTACAGTTTGAGAATAGGGAGTATTTCAAGTACATCCAACCGCAAGCACCTAATGTGTGTCTTGAGGATTGAGATGGCACTGGCACTTCTTGCTACGTTCGAAGCTAACACTCTTCAGACAAGATTGGGGTTATATATCCTAGAGAGGCAGGGAGTAACTATGCAATGAGAAGTGAAACTCACCAAAACAAATCCTCGCCACGTGCAAAACGATTGGCTCTCCAAGAAGTTTTAAAAACAAGGTTAACTGGAAGATGACATATGTGGAATCGTGCTGGTTTATCTATCAGCAAGAGTAAATTCCAAGAAGAATGCTGTCAAGCTTTCTTTATCTTACCAAGAGAAAGCACAGACAAACCGAACCTCTCTCTTGCTCCCTCTCTTACCATGACAATACGCATTCTTAGATGACATCAACCTCATGGATTACGAACGTTAAAGAGATCACTACACTCGAAAAATCCTAAATGTTGTGTTACATCTCCAAAATTTCGATTTCGTACCGTAAGTAGTTAAACCTATTTGCAAAACGCGAAACCCAAATTCCAAAAATTAAGTGCTTAGACTGAAAATGCCACGGGATTTTTTCTTTTACCCACCTTGTAATTTTTCGGCTTCAAAATTCTTTCGTCGACCGATGTAAAATATTAATAATACACTTTTCAAAAAGTTAATGGCTTAAATGACGTAATGGAATATTAATGACTTAATTAACTCTAATCAATAGGACTTTCTTTATGCATGAATCATTCTAGGATATTTAATAAAAGGGACAACTACACAAATGGTGCCTAAAATTTAAAAGTTTATTGTGGTCCTTAAACTTTATCTCAACATGTAATGTTGTCTATAAACTTTCAATTTTATTTAATGCAGCTTCTAAACTTTCAGTACATATTCAATATGGTCCATGAATTATATGAAAAATGTAAAATATTGCCCTTGAATTTGAATTAATGGAATGAGAATATTGAGTATTTTCATATATTCTAATGACTAAATTGAACATGTACCTAAAGTTCAAATACCACAATGAACAAATTAAAGGTTCATTGATCGTATTGAACAAATTAAAAATTTAGGGATAATATTACATATTGGGCAAAAATTGATTGACCATTTGTATCATTCTCCCTTATGCAAAATGCAGGGTTTTTTTTCCTTTTTTTACCCTCTCTGAATTTTTTTTTTAATTTTCTCAAAATCAAAATGCAACAGCTTCAAGCCAAAAAACCAAAATAAGGACAGGCAAAGACAAAAAATTTCCGGTGGCAGCTTGAGGCTTGAGCGGCTGCTCGGAAACAAACGATGCCACTTGCTCTCTGCTTCAATCCCGACACCACTCTTCTTCTCCGACCAATCCCATCGTCGACCCATCTCGCCATCTCCTCTCGCCACCCGCGCTCCTGGTCCCCGATCTCACGCGCCGCCGCCACCGTCTCCGCCATGGCCGTCGGCTCCGTCCGAGTCGCCACCGCCCAGATGACCTCCATCGACGACCTCGCCGCCAATTTCGCCACTTGCTCTCGCCTCGTTCAAGTAACTCTCGTGTTCTCGCAGTTTACTTTCCCTCTTTTAATGTTGTTGCATTTGGGTTCCTGATCGTTTCATTGCACTCTTATTTACGCTTTGTGGGTCAGTCATCATACTGAAGGATTCAAGGAGTTCGTTTTTTAGCTTCCTCGTTTATCTAGCTGTCAAAAGTTCCGTTTTTTTCTATGAAGTATGTGAACTTTAACTCGTGTGGCAATGAATTTTAGATGTTCGATCGGATGTTTGATGATTATCTCTGCTCATGACCAATTTTCCTTCCCGGTAGGGGTGGATTATGGTGAGCTTGACGCTGCTGTTTGTGGTTGACTCTGCTAACTTCCGTGAAAGCTGATTCTCATAGACAACCATTACGGTTTATACTGTTAATGCCGTATGTGTGGTTTGTTCTTACATTAATCGATTCGGTGTTGGTAAAGGAAGCAGCTTCTGCGGGGGCTAAATTGCTTTGCTTTCCGGAAAGCTTCTCCTTCATCGGTGCCAATGATGAGGACAGTGTTAAAATTGCGGAACCATTGGATGGACCGATCATGCAACAATACCGATCTCTTGCAAGGTGATGGATGGCGTGGATGCTTTGTTGCTTGAATATGTGAACTCCAGTGTCCATTTGGTCACGAACCCTGTCCTCTTGTTTTTTCGTTTTGTCACATTTCTTTTCCGATTGGCTCACGGAGTCACAGATTCGATTTTCTCGTCATTTTTTTTTTGTGTTCTTAAGTGCGTTCACTTGGTTCTCAACTGAAGGGAGTCGAAAATCTGGTTGTCACTTGGAGGATTCCAAGAAAAAGGGTCAGAAGAGGCGCATATCTGCAACACACATGTTGTGATTGATGATGCTGGTAACATTAGGAGCTCTTATCGGAAGATACACTTGTATGGTTATCAACTTCAACACCCTTAAATATAATACAATATGATAAGTTTCCTTCAACTTATTTGCCTGTTGTGTTGCATTAATGTATTATAGACTTCCAGATCAGATTGTGTTTTACTTTCGTCACTGGATTATAACTAAACACAGCTAATACACATACTCCTAGGATGATAGATGTCTTGAGCAGTCTTTGCCTACTATGCGCACTCACAATTTTGCTTTCTTAACTTGCTCATAAAAAATGTAAATTTGCATCTCTCTCTCTCTCTCTCTCTCTCTCTCTCTCTCTCTCTCTCTCTCTCTCTCTCTCTCTCTCTCTCTCTCTCTCTCTCGACATATACATGTGCACATGCATGCACAACTATCATGTTTTCCAGTCATCTGTTAACAGCATGAACAGGCTATGGCAGGAGCATGCGCAAGCGCGCGCACGAGAGAGAGAGACAGAGAGAGAGATGCAATTGTAGACAAGATGAATTCCTAATGCAAATGAATCTAGAATCTAACCCGATCTTCGTCTCTGTCCACTCGATTTGTGGCAGATGCCAGTTCAGTACCATGTCTCTGGATGCCAAAGTTATCTTGTCGTTTGAATTGGGAAACAACAGACCACTGTGAATTATTTCATTAGGAAGAACAAAAGCTAGCTCAAATTAAAGTGATTTTCTGTTGAACTTTGCTTGCACTTACAAGACCCTTTTGTTGGATATTATTGCATTTGTTATGAGAATTCTTCCTTTTAGTTGAGCTACAATTTGCCCGTTTCAGTGGAATCAATCACAAAATAAAGTGTTCTTTTCCTTTTGCCTAAGGTTTGACGTGGATGTTCCAGGCGGAAGGTCATACAAAGAGAGCAGCTACACAGAACCAGGTATATTTCTTCTGCTCGTTCAAGTTAAGTATCTTCTGTTTAAGCATGTTGCTTTGTGTAAGTGTCACCTTTGGTTTGTGATGCTATAGAATACTCTGATGAGATCATTGAGTAATATCATATTACGATAGCGCTTTACATTTTATACACCTACTGTAAGCACCTTTATGCTGATTCAGAAAATCTTTTGATTCTTTACTCTGTTCAAATTACCGTTCATCAAGAAAGGTAAATCTCAGCTCAGAGAAAGGGCCACTTCAATTATTTAAATGCTATTTTTAGAAAACTGTTCAAGTTAGAAACCATAGTCCTCAGTCTTTCTTTTCTTTTTTTTTCCATTACATAGTGAGCGTTTTATTTAATTTCTCTCTATTCTTTGGTGGTGTACTTTTATAGGAGTGATTGGTCTTCTCTCTCTCTATATAGTCTTTGATTGTTGTTTCTCTATTTTGGTAATCCATGCGTATTACTTCTTACATACATGCCTGAATTCTATATTTCTTCACCAATTCAATTTTTTTTTTACTTACAGGAAAAGATACGGTAGCTCTAGACAGCCCCATTGGACGTCTGGGGCTGACAGTTTGCTATGATGTGAGATTTGCAGAGCTTTACCAACAGCTAAGGTTCCAACATGAAGCACAGGTAGCAGCCACATTGTTGGATGTACATTTGCAAGTTCTTCTAAATCTGATGAGGTTGCTATTACCATCTGTAGGTTCTTTTGGTGCCTGCAGCTTTTACAAAGATAACAGGTGAGGCACACTGGGAAATTCTACTTCGTGCTCGAGCAATAGAGACTCAATGCTATGTACGTGATTATTTTACTTCTTGCGAGGCTACTGAAGTAGAAGCACTGTCTGAGTCACTTTTATAAGTAATGTTTTGTTTTGTGAAACACTGCCTTGATGCATTATTAGGTCATAGCTGCTGCGCAAGCTGGAAAGCATAACGACAAGAGAGAGAGCTATGGCGACACACTAATCATTGATCCGTGCGGCACCGTAGTTGGTCGTCTACCTGGTTAGGACGAATTCCACCATTTTTTTTCTGACTAATCTGTGATTGGGACTTCTACACAGGAAAACAACGTGCTTAGCCTTATTTCATTCATTGCGATTGGCTATACAAACCTTTTTTACACCACTGCTCTCTTTTAGTATTAAGTTCCATACCAAACAGAAGAATATATTCAGCAATGTTAGTCTGCGTGGACTGGAGATGCTATTATATACACTGATCTGCACAAATTTATGCTCTAGTGTAGCTCCGGAAATATTCTGCCTTCGCTTTTGGGCAATTGCAACCCTGAATTTGTTTTAACGTTTTTGGTTTCTATTTCAGATCGTGTGTCAACAGGGATTGCGATAGCTGATATTGACCTATCGTTAGTGGATTCAGTGAGAACAAGGATGCCAATAGCCAAGGTGCTTTCTGCTCTATAGTTACCATATTTACATGTATAAAAGTAGTGACAACACCCGAAAACCTGATCTCTCGTTGTTTTTTGAATTGGATGACTTAATGCATATTATCAACCGTATCGACTCCAATCTTTAGTCTTGCCTCGAGGTTGGGAGCTGATAGAAAGCCAACTCTCTAAACAAGCTTGAACGCTGCTTATGGTTTTATTTCATGTTTAACTTTTATCGTTTGTCCCCCTCTTCAGCATCGGAAGCCGTTCAACTTCTGGAGACCTGCATCCTTGTTATTCCCTTTACTGTGCATTTCCAAGCTGAATAAAGTTGCAAGAGTCAATATGCTTCGTGTTGCTGAGAGCATGATACCTTTGCGTCCATTGGCTTCAGAGACAAGGCATTCCGACGTGTCATAAGATCCGTGAAGCAATAGAAATTGGATGCAGACAGCAACATACTGCACTTGTCATTTTGAATTCGTGTACCTGGTTTTTCATCGCTGTTAATCTCGGAGTAGCATTGGTCATATGTGCATGGAAGCTCTATGTGCAGGCGTTTGGCCTTCCAAACGTTTTCAGTCATTTTGAAGCGTTGAATCTACTGATGTGATTCTGGGTTGAATTGAATTTTAACTGACATTGTCATTATGTGAATTGAATACTCCGACCTGTGAAACATTTGGTCAAAGGAGTTTCGAGACAATTGATACATCCTCGTAAAGCAAGTCGAAGAAAGGCAACTTCATTGGTGATTGATGATGTTCGGTTGGATATGTAATTTTCCCGGCACATCATTCGCTGATATCACGTTTTTCATGCATTTTATTTCCTTCTTGCTCGGGGAAGAAGAAAACCGTGACTTGGGGTAGGATTGAAAATGGTTCGATCCAAATTTGACCCATTTTTATATAATACAAATCTAGTGACTCATACTCCATCCAATTCATATCCATAACGTACTCGACCCGACCTATATTGAGTATCTAACCTAATTTAAGAAAATTCATAGGCAAACTGAAGTGAGAGGACAGAGCAAGCGAGCACGAGATCAAGTATGAGCAAGAAAGAGAAAGCGTGAATAGAGTCTGGTGTGGATTAGGCATAAATAAGTTGTGAACTTATTTAAAACTCACATTATTTCGAGTTTTATCATTCTAAATATATTTATAACCCATTTAACTCACAAAATTGACAGATTTACTCAAGCGAACTAGTTTCTGCAAAATGACTAATGACTAAAATTTACCGAGTTGTTAAACCGTTTAAAAGGTCGTAAGATACCCGAGTATGACCAAAGCGAGACATCATGCGAAATCATGCATCGGTTCATGAACTAGCTAACCTGTCATCGTTTCCCCAACGGCAACTGATTGGCGACGTGGCGCTTTGAGAAGCTCCCACGTCGATCCTGTCCCCCTTCCCCGGCATCGCCAAGTGCCAACTCCCACTCTTCTCCATGGCGCTACGTGTCTCCAGAACACTCTCTCTGTGTGTCGACTCTTTAAATTCATTCGAATCAAACCCAAAATCCATCCAACTGCTACAGCAAATCCGCAATCCTGATTCAAAGACGAGCATCACATCAGATCTCTGGCTGCACAGCCCAGCGCGTCTGTCATGCCTTTCCGGTCACCGGTACGTCGCCGACGGTCTCTTCTAATGTTCTCTTTCCACTCTTTTCTGACCGACCCGAATAACGAACTGTGCTCGTTGCATTTTCATCTCGCAGAGCCCCTTGTACTCGATGCTGCACCGCGCCAGGGGCGTCGGTGCTGGCGCGTCCTACGCTACCTCCACGGCGCCAAAGCTGAAGGCCTATGCTCCGTCGGCAGCGGCGGCGGCAGGGGACGTCGGGCGGGCCGAGCAGAGGGGGGCGGGCAAGCCGTGGGGGGAGTACGTGCCGTTGTGCGTGGCAGCGGGGATGATACTGCTGTCGGTAACTCTGGGGCTGCACACGGCGAAGCAGCAGATAATGCACTCGCCGGCAGTGCGGGTGAACAAGTCGAGGCGGGAGACAGTGCTGGAGGTTGTGGAGCCAGAGCGGGTGGCGGAGGAGTCGGAGAACTTCCTGACCCGGTCCTTCTTCAGGAAGGTGGCGCACGTGCAGGACCTCGACACCGGGGAGGCCATCATCCCCGACCCGATCAGGAAGGACGCCTTCGCGCACCGCCCGAAGGCCGAGACGCTCCGGTCAGTCGGCGTCGATCCTGTGCCCAAGCACCCATGAAAACTTCCACACAAACACTCTCGCTCTCTCTCTCTCTTCATTCCTGTCGTGGGAGGAGTTTGACTAGTCTGTGTTTTGTAATGTACATATGCAGACGAGGTTGTGTCTTCTCTTTCATTGCAAGAATGTTATAAGAGTCTTCACTTTGCAGACAGAACTAAGTAAGAGTATGAACAAAAGAATCGCTTCATTCTTTTCGTTCACTTCCCAAAACCAACAGGCAAGAAAACATGTACCGAATTCCTTTGGAATCAAACCAATTCCCTAGTAAAAAGATCAAAGGTGCAATGTAAAGCATTTATATTCACAGTATGAATCACGGCCGAGTCGCGATCACGTCACTCCAGCAAGAACTCCCGGGTGAAGTCGGGGCTCGCTAGGAGGTCGAACGGCTTGCTGCCCAGCGAGTCCTTCAAGATCGTGATCTGTCCTTCCTTGACAAGGATGTCCTCGTCGAGGACGTCGATCTTCTTCTTCAGCGTGGAGATCTCGGAGTTCAGGAGCATGTTCTTCTCGCTGTACTGCTTCACCTCCTCCCACATCAGGTCCCTCTCCTGGGACACCTTAGGCAGTATCCCCCTCAGGACGCCCATCTCCTTCCGAGCCTCTTGCAGGTCGTTCTCGAGCTCGCTTATCTTCTCGTCCTTCTTCAGCATCTGTTTCAAGATTCATACGGGGAAAGTTTTTCGGGAAGTAAACCAAATGCTCAAGAGTGATAAAACAAATACGACGGCCTAACGAAATCCGGCGTGTCGGATCGTTCACACAAGTTGTTGTCTGGGAATGGAATACCTGAAGTTCCAGGTCCTTGAACTTGTGGGTGACGCAGGAAAGATTGTCTAATGCGTTCTGGACTTCGTATTTGAGGATATCAGCGCTTCTTACTGCTGTTGCAACTTCGGCTTGGAGCTGCTCAACTTCCAGCTCTTTGCAGTAGAGCTTCTCTCTCAATAAGCTCGTCATCAAAGTCTCTGCTTTAAGCTCTGAAATCAAAGTATCCTGCGGTAGGAACAGAAAAATATGTTAGGACTCTCTATGGGGAAGTCGTGGAGCAACAGTTTCGGGTGTAATGGAGAGTAAAATCCTTCAGATGAATGCGAACTGTCAACTGGATGTTCAAACTAAAAGTCGGATCTTGAGGATATTACTATAAGCCATCATGCATCGAGCATGAGCAGGCGAATAACTGCTCCATAAAAGATATGCTTACGCAGGTAAATAACGACAGAAAGACCAGCTAAATAAATAGCCTAATCATAGCACATACATGAGCCTTCATCTAAAGTCCGCCATTTCAGGTCAACCTGTTAATTAGTAACTATTGATTCGTAACTCACCTCGCAAGTTTGATCATTCAGCTGCAATGAACCATGAGCATCAGCATCCTGTGTATCTTTCAAAGAAAATGGTTTTGCCTTCTCACGAAGCAAGCCAGACATTGCTTGCAGACTCCTCATTAAGCTTTCGGTTCTACGCTTGATCCCGTGCACTTTCATGTCCGATTCAACAATGAATTGCTCATCTAGACTATTTTTTATAGCTTCCGCACCTTGCTTGGTCACTTTAATGTGGCTGAATTCCAATTTAAAGAAGTCTAGTAGCTTTGAACATACATGGGAGCTGTCATTTAGTGTTGACAAAGCTTCACTTTGCAAGCAGCAAAGACGAGTGGAGATTTCCTGGTCTAGCTGAAACATCAAGTCGCCAGAATCTTTTCCATTGCAGTTCAAGCGGCTTAGCAAGCTGATATTCTCACGTCGAAGAGAATCCTTTTCTCGTCTAGTTGATTCCAACTCTCTTCTTAAAGCCAATTCAGTTCCTGTCAGCCTGATTTGCTCCATTTTCAATTTCGCCAGGTGCTTGTCAGTCACTTCCAGAGATCGCTGCTTTCCAAATTCCTCACTGAATCCCTCTCGAAGCCCTTCGATTGATTTTTCTTGGTCACTGCAGGTTCTCATTAATCTCGCTATTGATTTGTGCAACTCCTTACACTCCTTCTCCTTCTCCTGAAAATTTCTTTTAAGCAACTCTCCATTCTCCTTTGTTGCTACATATTTTTCTTGTAACTCAGAGATTGTTCGCTCATATTCATGATTATTCACGCCAAGTTCCTCCAGTTTTTCCATTAGCTCCTTCACTTTCTGTTCTGAATATGTCATCGAGCTTCTGCACTCTGTTTCCTTTTCACTGATTAAACAGACTTCCCTCTGGAGCGAAACATTCTGCTCTGCTAGCTCTCTAACGCGTTCACGGAGCCTCTGCTCTTCTAGCTGGAATTTCTCGAGCTTGGATGACCAGTCACTCGACCTTCTGTCGAGTTCCTTCTCCAAACCTGACTGCAGCTCCTTCTTCTCCTTTTCCAGTCTCCGGGTTTTTGATTCGAGCTCTATCTTTGCCAGCCTCAGTTCTTCTTTGAGCGAAGCCCTGTCAGAAACTCTAGATTGTAAAAGTTCCGAAACCTCCACGGCCAAGCTCATTCTGTCTTCTGAAAGGTTTCTGACTGTCTGGATGAGTGTTGGCACATCAAAACTAATGTCAATAAGAAAGAGATCCTGCTCAACTTCCCGAGAAAGGAATGCAACCCTTTGCTGTGCTCCCTCAAGCCTCCTTTGCAGTTCAAAGTCCATGTCCTCTCCAATCACATCCGTGCACAAAGGTTCACACTTTTCCATAGGGCAGACATGTGGCATGTGGAAACCAGAGGAATCCTCCCTATGGTACCTTTTGGTAGTTTCATCTGTTTCATGCGAAGGAATGTCATCCTGAATAACTACCTCCCCGATAGAGAATTTATTCAAGGATTCGCCATAGATATCTTCAATTGTTATGGGACTATCATGGTCGAACTCGTTTGAACTTATTTTAGGGAAAACTGTAGTTTGGGTGAGTCTCTCAATCACATTCTTAGCAAGCCTTCTAGGGGATTCATGACCAAAACCATTCTCTACCCAATCTCCAGATGAATAGTGAAGGCAAGCATTTTTAGCTTCTCTAAACGACTGAGCCCTTGGTTTACATTTCACACTATCAGTTGGTGAAGTGGGAGCTGTATACTGGACACGTGGGGGACGATTCCCACCATCCTTACCCATATATATCTTTTGAAAAGTTTTCTTAGGCCTGCTCCTCTCCTGGTGCTGCTCACCATCAATATAGCGGTCCACGACCTTATTTGAAACTCTACTAGAGCAATTAGAAGAGAGTGATGCATCATCATAGGAGACAATGTAAACTGGCTTCTTGGACCCATGTCCATTTCTGTAAGCTGTCTCATCAAACTCTTTCAGCTTGGACTGCTTCTCCGGAGGAATGGTCCGACGACTGACAGAAACCCATTAAATTAGACTCTTGCGAATATTAAAAAGAAAGAACGTTGCACACAAGGATGTATAGATCATTATATAACAAGTTCCAACGAACCAAGTCTCTTACCAAGGTGAATATTCAGAAGGCTGATGTCGAGCGGGAGATCTGCTCTGATCACTCAAAGAGGAAGATGAGTTCTTTTGCTCCAAAGCTTCTGCAAGGAAGTTAGCAGAAGACAAAGAGCGGCTCTTCCTAAGTCCTGAACCTGAAAATGTACTTGAGCTTTGACTGTCAGATGCTTGATTTCGAGATTTGGTGAACAGACCTCCTCTAGGGCTTCGGAAATTACTCACACGCTTCTCTCCAGCTTGATCAGTCAACCTGTTGTCAAACAGGGGATAACATGTCTTATCCGTTGAAGGTGGAGAATCCCCAACACTATTACCACTGCCGGAAGCAGATGAGCGGAAAAAGAAAAGCTTTTTCATCTGCAAATCTTTAATAGGATGCGTCAAGCTGGCTCATTAAGGATCTTGGCATATGAATACAACCTCGTCGTAAACGTTGCACTGACCCAAGGCTCAGGGAACCTGGAACACAACATAACAAACCATTATTCTGCTATTCATAAGATGGTAGGAGAGAGAGGAGGAGCTTGCATACAGCAAATAACAGTTTAAGAGAGAAATAAATAAAACACTGTAGAGAAACATAGGAAGCGCCTACCATGGAAATAATCATGAGAGGCACCTGAAATACTTAAAAAGATGCAACAGCATTGAAAAGGGTGAAAGGCCACACTTATTAACCGTGTCACTGACATGAATTAAATATAGACTAATTCCAAGATCATAAATCTAAGTCGACACCAAAAAAGATTCCCATTATTAGTTAGAAGAATTGAACTTTTATTGTTCACTTTTCAGAACGACAGAGAAATAATTTCAGGCCACATGTCGACCCTGACAATCAGCTCGCTCTAATTATCCCACTGATAAACAAGCATAGAGTAAGGAGCACCCAAAAGGAAACGAATGAAGTACCATGTTAATAACCCCGTCCTGTACTAGAAAGTTGGATAATCAAATGGATGTTTAAAGAATCAAATGCTAAGTCCTATTTCAAAGGACAACAATGTCAAAGTAGAAAATTTCAACAAATTAGAGCTTATTTAGCCGTTATCTTAACCAATTTTCATGCGACTCGACTAGCTCCCCTCCCCAAACATCTTAGTAAAGCACACTCCCCACATCTTTTCTAGTTTAACAGTAGCCATCCGATATGATGGAATGCCCATGTATCCCAACGACTAGTTTAGACTCAAAAAGCTATAGGAAAACGAAAGCAGCACGAATCTTCTGGGATTAAAGAATCAGAAAAAGTTACTGTCAGCAATTGAAAATTCAAGAGGCAGATTTAACTACGAGATTCCAGTAACGGGAGTGTCAGTGCTCCCGATCGCGATCCACTCTTCCCCAGGACCTAACAGAAGAACCTGGGCTTAAAAGACAGAATCAACCCTAATGACTCTTTAACGGTTCCTCTAAAACCCTAGAACCCTCAAGGCGCAGACACGCCGAACAGGGAGGGGATTAGGCGAGGAAAAACACGCAGAAACATCGAATCGAATGCGTCTGAGCCAAATCGACACTGTATAAAGCTGGCTATGCGATTCGATTGAGGCAAAATCAGAACGAACCAAATCAGGCAGGAAAATGAGGAGAAGAGCAGAATTCAACGAGAAAAATCATGAGCCCCGGCGGCCGACGAAATCCACCAGCAGCAGAAGAAGAAGAAGAAGAATAAGAACAGAAATTCAACTGAAAACAGAGAAAACGGAGAGCGGCGCACCACAGATTTTCAAGAAAGGAACAGAAAGAAAAAACAAAAACAAGAACCAAGCAGAAACAAAGAAACGTCTCACCGAGCGCGGCGGCCCAACTCCGATCGGCTTCCCCCAACGGTCGAAAAAAACGGGGCCGCCCCCTCGCCGGCCGATGCAAGCGCCTCACGATTCGACCGAATTCCGCATTTGAAGAGAGAGAGAGAGAGGGAGAGAGAGGGAGAGAATAAACGCGAGAGCACGCAGGAGAAGATAAAAGAGAATCTGGCCAAACAAATAGACGTTACGAACTTACCATATGAGCAAACCCCCGCACCCCAAAAAGAAAAAAATCGTTCGAAATTCCAAAAAAATAAAGAGAAGGAAGAAGATTCAGTGCGATTCAGCGACGGCGAAAATCAAGCGACGAGAGGCAGACACTGAGAAACTACAAAGAAGGAAGGAGAAGAAGAAGGAAGAAGGAAGAAGGAAGGAGAAGTAGTTCGTTTACGTTACCGAGTACTGGGAAAGGGACCGTGTCAAAGGGCCGGCAGAACGACTGCGAGTTGGCGATCGATTGGAGAGCAATGATAGTGCGCGCTCGCTCCTTTCAAGAGAGAGAGAGAGAGAGAACATGTCGTGTGGGATGGGGCGTGCGCGGGGATTCGGGCCTTTTCGGCGTACAGAATTTACTGAACGTAATGATGGAGTAGAGAGAGAACAGAGAGGAGAGAGAGAGAGAGAGAGAGAGAAGAGGGAGGGGAGGAAGGAGGAGGGGCGGAGGGCAGTTTCGTCAGAAAGGCCGAGGTTCTTCTTTCCTCTTCCTTTTTTCAAATTTCGAGGACGCGGATGTTGCGGAGGAGCGGGCTGGGGCAATGATCGGGAGAGGTGGGGCGCACGGAATTTAAGGATGTTCCTTCACCGCCCTTTCTGCCCCCTCCTTTTCTTCTCTTTCTTTTCGACGGAGTTGACGAAGGGAAGCAGGAGCAAAGCATGCACGGAGAGAATGGAAAAGGGGAGGGAAGGGAAGATTAATAAGACTTTTAATTATTTATTTCAGAATCGCGTGCGTGCGTGTGACTGCTGTTGCTTTCAAATTTGCTGTGTCGGAATTTTCTTTGATTTTGCGACACCTAAATAAGAGTCTGGCGTCGATTTGGCGAGGTTTTTCCAAACTTAAAAACCCTCTTTTTTTTCAAACTTCAGAAGACAAATTCATGGGGGAGACAGCTTATGCTGAGATTTCTCGAGATTTTTTTATTTTTTATTTTTTTGGTCGAGAGACTTCTCGAGATTTATTGGTAGTAATTTTTTTGTTCTTTTGTTTGGTTGACTGTTACTATTGAATTTATCATTTTCGAATCATTGTCTCTCTGTAGTGGTAATGTGCAATCAATGCATTGAAACTGAAAATATTTCTTTCATTAGACGTGGTTGTTTAGGGTGCGCATGAATACCATTGCGTGCGCTATTTCCGAACGAAATGATTTTTTTTTATTCTCTTGGAAACAATTTCGAGTATTTGAAGGCGTTTGATAAATGTCCAAAATTTCTATTCCTAGAGTAGAAAAGAACAGAAATGCGTTTGGTAACTACACAAAATTTCTGTTCCTAAATAATATTTTAATAATATTTTGAATTGTTTAAATTTTTTTTTTCTTTTTACTTTCTTCTTTGGCCATGGCCGGTCGCCGGTCGCCGGCGACCGGCCACAGCCCAGGGCCGGCGAGGGCGTCACGGACCTCGCCGGCCGCCGGCGGAGGCGGGGGCGAGGGCGAGGGCTGGACCCTCGCCGCCTGGGCGAGGCCGACCTCGCCGTCGCGACCGACGGCGAGGCTCGGCCTCGCTCGATCTGGGCGAGGCCGCCTCGCCCAGGCGGAGAGGGCGACCCTCGCCTCCGCCGGCGGCCGGCGAGGTCCGTGACGCCCTCGCCGGCCCTGGGCTGTGGCCGGACGCCGGTCGCCGGCCGCCGGTCGCCGGCCGCCGGCTCAGCCAAGAACAACACCACAAAATAAGAAAAGAAAAAAAAGAAAAAAAAAAAAAAAACTGATTCTCAAAATTGTGCCGAGAAACAAGAAGCAACTTTTTTTTACTTCTTGTTTCTCTTCCAAAACTGTTTCTCGGCACAAATTTTTGCAAAAATGTGCCGAGGAACAAAAAGTTTACCAAACGCATTTCTGTTCCCAAACTATTTCTGGGAACAAAAGAACAGAAATTTTTACTATTTGGCACGTTACCAAACGGGCCCTTAGTGTCTCGGGAGACTCGTTAACAATGTCATTTTTTTTTGGCCAAAAAAAGCAAGATGGTTTTTTTTCAAAATATCATTTTTGTCCATTAATTATTATTATTATTATTATTATTATTATTATTATTATATAGTCAAATTTATTACAAAATCTTTTTGATCGCACGCGTGCATAAATTTTAGTACGAGCTTTCACGTATGCAATCTAACCGGTTGGCTTTTCGGTTTTCTCGGGATATTTGAGTCTCTGACTCAACTAATCCCCACCAATGGAAGCATATCACTCACATTCACATGTATCAAATAAATTAAGGTCCTTGCACAAGAAGGCGAGCGGAGGCCTCGAGAGTTATTTTCGACGGGAGACTATGATCCGAGGACGGATTATGTCTCGCACTCGCGTTTTAAAAACAAACATTTAACCCCCTCAAAGCTGCTTCGTCACCGATGATCCTGTAAAAGTCGATCGTGCCTCGGTTGAGAAAGCACACGCTCTAGCTAAATAACAATAGATGTGCCATGATCAGCATAGAGATCATTCTATGACGATTGTAAATAATATCTTGACAAGGCCCGAAAACGGCGGCCGACGCAGAAATCTAGCTCCATAATGCAAGATAAAACAGATTTCCGATCCCTTGCTCGAGGAAGAGGGCGCGGCGATTTTACAAAAGATCTATCTCATAACATAAATTTCATACAGATTGCACCAACTACAAATTGGGCGGGGGAGGGAGGCCCTCCTCCGCCTCTCATCGCTTGGAATTTTGTTTTTCATGCTTTTAGCTAGACGAAATGAGTAACAATGATGAACAGGTCATTATCATGTTTGCCAGTGTAGGTCCAGATTTTGGTACTTGCAAAGTTAAGCTAACTTAACTCGCCCATAGATGTTAGCTTATTTTCGATTTTAATAAGTGATATGGACGTCTGAAAGCTTAGAGGAATGAACACAACTCCATCGACGATAAAGTAGGCAGGAGCGTCTACCTTTTTTGCGAGAAAAGGATCCATCCTTAAACGAACTGCACCGGGACCATCACTAGCAAAGTAGCCAAGGAAAAAAGTTTTCACATGACCGAACCATTGTCGTTGGAAGATTTTCTTCCATGACAGGTTGATTGTCCCCGTTCGAACAGCAACACGCGTTCGGTTGTTTTTAAGGTTGCGCATGACAACCATTCCGTTCAGAAATCAATTTCCGATCAGAAATTGATTTTTCTATTTCTGTTCTTGGAGGAGTTTTTGAACAAAAAACACATTTGATAACGACACAAAATTTCTGTTCCAGAAACAGAAATTTATTTGATAACGACACAAAATTTCTTCCTTTCGGGTGGCCGGCAAGTGGACAGTGGGCGGTGGCGGCGAACGGCGGGCGACAGATGGCAGCGGGGAGACGGCGGTGGGAGGTGGGCGGCGGCAGGAGGAGGGAGGCTTGCAACAGGAGACCGTGGCCGACGGTGGGAGGAAGGAGGCGGCGGGAGGATGGCGGGCGACAGCGGGAGACGGTGGCCAGCAGTGGGAGGCAAGCGGCGAGGGGATTCGGGCGGCGGCGGGAGGAGGGCGGCCGACGGCGGGAGACGATGGCCAATGGACGACGAGTGGCGGCGGCAGGTGGGTGGCCGACGGCAGGAGACGATAGCCGGTGGATGACGAGCGACAGTGGGAGGTGGGCGATGGCAAAAGACGATCGGCGGCGACAGGCGGCGGGAGGCGGCCGTTGACAAGTGAGAAGTGATAGGCAACTAGCTAGTAACGAGGGCGAGCGAAAAGAAGAATTTTAACTTCTCATTTCTATTCAAAAAATAGAAAAGCATCAAATTCTTACTTCTGATTTCTATTTCAGAAATAGAAAATGAAATTGCGTTACCAAACGAATTTCTGTTCCAAACCTATTTCTGAAACAGAAATAGAAAAATAAAGTGATTATCATTTGCTGCCTAAAAAATCACGTGGATAAACTCATGAATGCGTATGCACAAGCGCGTGCTCATCAACAACAAAGATACCAGAGAAAATTACGGCAGATCCATCCAAAACACATGAGAAAAACAAAAGAGCATTACAAAATATCTTTAAGGTCCAAACCCAAATTACCTCCGATAAATACGACGTCCCTTCCGGAAAGAAATACAAAAAAGAAAACCTTAGAGCAAATTGTGAATGTCGTCGGCAAAATCTAAACAAGCAGCGGAACTCCCAAATAAGTTCTATCCATACAAGACCAGGAATTACTAGCAAATGTCGCGCATCACACAGGCGATGCTCACTCACTGCCTCTTGGAGAATCGCGATTATCATCATCTTCAGCAAGGCCGTCTTCGTCCCTCTGCATGGGGCTCGGGCTGCGACTGCGGCCATTCTCCTCAGCAGGGCTCCTGTAGTTTCTCGCGCCGTCAGCTTCGGCATCATTGACAGGGCTCCTGCTCTTCCTCCTGGGGCTGTTACTATAATCCGACCCATTAGCATATTTCTTATCTTCGGGGGATTGATCAACTTTGTCTCTCGGAGGGCTTCTCTCATCAGCAGCTGGGCTGTAATCTCTTCCTCTGGTTGGAGGGCTCCTTCCGCGCTTAGGGCTCCGACTACCGATAGGGCTCCTTCCGCGCTTAGGGCTCCGACTACCGATAGGACTACCGATAGGGCTCCTTCCCCGCTTAGGGCTCCGACTACCGATAGGGCTCCTTCCCCGCTTAGGGCTCCGACTCCCGATAGGGCTCCTTCCCCGCTTAGGGCTGCGACTACCGATAGGGCTCCTTGGCCTTCTTTCGACGTCATCAAAACTCCGCTCCCTCTTTGCTGGGGAGATTGACCTACTACAAACAATTGATACTAATCACACGACCTCAATATTCAACAGAATCCACCTACATCTTAATGTAAAGAGGGTAAGTTTATCTTCATCAACTAACTAGCTCAAGAAAGAACGAATTCTTTAACATGGCGTGCAGTCAAGCACACTGCATGTCCCATTTGCATGCATGCGAACCTTAATAGATAGCCAGCAACCTTCGTCTCATCAGTGTCTGTTTAAATAGTAGGAGCTAAGCTTAAAGCATAGTACAAGCAGTGAAATTCGAAGGAGGGAATTATCATCATTTAAAACTAAGCAGTCGTGAAAGTCTGAGGCCAAGTAAATAGCCTGCAACCTTCCTAACTAAACATGTGAGGAGACCTAGACTCAACATGCTGTGCCTACGGCAGGGAAGGGCCTGCAGCATGCTAATGACTATGATCAACCCCCTTTTACACATTAGAAAAAGTCGACCCCAGCGAATCAAGACATAATGCTAATAAATTAGGAAAGTCCGCCCGACCGAATTAGGGTAGAAGTACCAAAGCATCATCATTATAGTCTACACCAGACTTCTACAGAATTCTCTGAGAAAGGGGAATTTAAAATGACAGATAAAGAAATCAACGAACAAACCTGTAACTACGACTACGGCTGTAACTTCGGCTCCTACTCCGACCACGGCGAGGACTAGGCGACCGTGAGTAATCCTCACGTCTGGACAAAAAAAGAGTCGTGTAAGCAAGTATCGGATCGTAGCGATAGTGCCTTCTTTGCCACTCCCTAGATATCATCAGCAACAAATGAAACAACAACAAGAGAGTACCTTAATTTCCTTGGACTGTTCTGACAATTTCTTTCTATGTGGCCCCTTTCCCCACATCGATAGCATTTATTCTTCCAGTCCCCAGCTTTGCAATCTCGAGCCCAATGGCCATCAATCCCGCAATTAAAACAGCGTCCAGAACCAGGAGGAGGACCCCTACCCATGTAATCACGAGAACCTCCAGGAGCACGTGGTGTCTGTATGCGAAGATAAGCAATTACTTTCCTCAAAAACAAGATAATTCTACTCCCTCATTACCAGTGCTAGATATGCAGTAATATCATAATTCAACGGACAAGGCAAAACATAAAGTAAACCTCTATCGTCAAGATGAAGCAGGCAAACAGGATACCCCCCCCCCCCCTCTACCCCCCCAAATCCAAAAAAGAACGACTCACTTCCCCAATGTACATAAAGCAGAAATTTTCAAAAAAGCACAGTAACAGAACATCAGCAAGTCCAACCAAGGATTGTGCGTGATGGATCTGACAGAAAGGGCAAAGTGACATCACTTTGGTAGTTTTTTCCTTCAACATGAAAGGGTAATGTATACCAAGAAAAGTTACAATAAGTTCATCCACCATTTTAAAGTACAAGCAGCTCATCCTAGATGCCCCATAAATAAAAGTAAATAATGAGAGCAAAGCAACAAGTTGAGCAACACATAAAAAAGCCAAACAAGTTCATCCAATCGCTCACCCCCTTTGAAAATTCCACAATAATACGGCTTCCTTTAAAATCTCTGCCGTCCAAGCTATATCTTGCATCATCAGCATCCCGAGGATCGCTGAACTCCTGTAATTTTTCATCAAAGGAAAGAAGCAAAACATAGACAAATTTTGCATTTTATCATTTCGTGAAGCCATACATAAAAATATACTTCCCAAAAAGTAGTTCTGGCCTTTCTTCGAAACACCCAGAAGACAGTCACAACTTATAAGAATGGGTAAGAAAGAACGTACAACAAAGGCGTAGTCTCGCTTCATATCCACAGCACGAATTCTGCGTAAACGGTTTGCCACAAACAGTAAGGCCATCAAGATATCAGGAAGGATTGATACTTCGCCCCTCAAAGGTTAACAAAACACCACTTTGGAATCTTGCCATTTCCACTAATATATGCATAAATACTATAAACACTGGCCAGTCCACCAAGGGTGTCCTCTTACGACAGAAAGAAACCTTCAACAAGATCATCCAAGTTAACCACATGGACAGGCCGAGGCGTGGAACACTCTTGCAGAGAAAATAGAGTAAAAATACAGGTCAAGCACATAAAAGGGATTGGCCAAAAGCTTTAAGGTCCCAATGTACTTGAACCACATAGATCCTACTCGAAGAACCACTAATGATACACAAATAAATTCCAACATGTGAACTTACCAAGTTGTATGCACAAAAAATCAGGAATTGTGCTTCAATAACTCTAAAACTTCAGACTTTATATCTCAATAGAAATGAATACAAATCTGGACATGCATTCTTCATATTTGACAAAAGTCACAAATCTATACAGTATAAGGATGATTACTAAATTGAACTTCGACTGGATACCTTCCATATCTAGCAAAGAGATCCTCCAAGTCACGTGTCTTTGTTCGCGAAGACAGGTGACCTACATAAAGTCGCGTATTGCTGCGGCGGTCATCATAGCGAGGCATATTCCCTGCGATGTGGAAAAAAAGCAAATTGCCATGTAATCCCTGCATCAACCGAACTAAACGCGCATTTCTGCTGAACCAACATCGAAATCGACCAGTATTGAGACAATCAAGACAGAAAGTTCGCTAATTGAGCCTATAGCCAAATCCAATTTACTAAACACAAAAGACTCGCGCACGCCAAGCGCTCGATAGGAAATCAAGATTAAGGAAAAGCCACTCCAGTCGATACAAATGCTGAATCAAAAGGCACCAACTTCAGCAATTCGGGCACACCCAAGCGCGCTCATTAGCAAATCAAAGATAGGGGACACTCCACTCCAGCCGGCACAAAACCCAAACCCCATCACGCCGACTCAACAATCAAAAGCTCCTCCACAATCCCGAAATAAACGAGTCCCGTTTCGCCAACCTTTAACAGCCTCCAGAACAAACCGAGTTCATTTCGCCGACATGCTGCCGGAAACCTTCTAACCGGAAGGTGTCGAAGGAATTAAAAAAGGGACTGCACAACTACGATTACCGTAAACTCGATTCTACGTAGACAACCTCGAGCAGTGCCAGACCCATCCAAACGATGAACAAAAACCCTCCGATGCAAAACGAGGACGCGAACTTTTCTCAGATCCGCCGATTCAATCGAACAGTCCACGATGTCCACGACCTAAAGGACCAAACGAAGCCCTAGATGCTCCGACCACGACCTAGATCGAGAATTCGAATGGAGATGGCACGAACCTGCGGGGCTGGAACTCCGGCGAAGCGCGATTTGAAAAACCCTAATCTTGCCCTTCGCTCCCTGCAGAGAAGTGTCTATCCAACCAGTCTCGCCCGTATTTATATGGTCTGCTAACGGCGTCGCATTGGTGAGGGCCAAATCGGGTCCCAAAAGGCAAAAAATCTACGCGCGCTCTTCCCGATATTACGAAACTGCCCCTTCGATTGGGCAATTCATTCATTCTTTCGCCGGTGATTCAATGCCTGGCCTGGCGATGGCCACTGGGCCGGTGGCCCAGGTACAGCACGGCCCAGGCCCATTTGAAGAAGGGGCCAAGCAAATTTTTTTGGACTCCATCAGGCCCAGATCTATGGCCCTTCCGGGCCCATAAAGACACCTTCACTGACTCGAGAACACAACTACGGTGCGTTTAGTTCCGCTTTTCCAATGGGCTTTTGGGCAAATGCAAATGGTGTTTGGCAAATTTTTTGGAAAGTTTTGGGGAAATGCAATTGCATCCCCTGAGGCTTTTGGCTCAATAGAGGATTGGAAGTGCCTTGAGAAGTAGCATTTTCGGAATGCAACTCCTTGGTTCAATGAAAAAAATGTCATTTTCCCACCAGACTCTCGCTTATCAATCATAATTCCATTTTTGCCCTTTTTTAAACAACGCCACCCCATCTATGTGGCTTCTCATGCTTCTTCTTGCTCTCAACAACTTCTTACGCCTCTTTTCTATTTGTGCGTTTGCTTCTTCGCTCAAAACACGATTTGCTTCTCTTTCCTCACGCCCACCTTCGAGCTCCCGTCCCTTGCGCCGCGCTTTGCCTCTCTTCCCATATAAGATTTCTCTGTATGTAGGCTTGATACTCTGGCTCAGCAATTGGCTCCTTTTACATGTGCCTATCTGTGCGTGTTTTTTGTCATTTTTACGATTCTAATTAGTTTCAATTTGCGCCTAGCTAGGGTGCAGTTGCTTTTGGGTGATGAGGGTTCTTTAGTTTATTGGAAATTTGGGCCTTTTGGGTTGTGGATTGTTGTTGTTGTCACTGGGCTGAGCAACTCGTGATTAGGGTTTGTCAGCGTGATTGGGATGGGAAGATTTTCTGTCCGAGCTCTTATTGTGGAGTACTTTGAGTTTGATAGTCGAAAAAATGAAGTCATGGAGCTATATCTTGATTCTGACTATGGCCCCCGTTTGGTTAAGCATTCCCAAGGGGCTTTCGAGGTCGAAAGCCCCTTGGGGAAATATTGAACCGTTTGGCAAGCATTTCTAATAGGCTTTCAGCATTTGCCAAATGTTGAAACCAATTTTTTTGCCCTCAAACTGCTCTTTACTTATTCTTTAATATTCCGGTTTTGCCCCTTGTTGTTACTGTTCATCTTCTTCGCGCGAGGGCCGACGACACCAGATCGGGCCAGCAAGGTCGCATGACCCAGGCGACGGTCGTCTGAGGTCGCACAACCACCCAGGTGCCGCCCACCTAGGTCACGTGACCTCAAGCCTCGTCACCTAAGGTTGCATGACCCCGGCGAGGGCCACCTGGGTCATGTGACCCTCGCCGAGGGTTGCCCGACCTCAAGCAACGGCTGCTGGCGCCAAATCTAGCTCGCCAGCGGCTATAGCCTTTCGCCGGCTCCGGGAAAGGGCAGGGTAAGCTTTTTTTTTTAATAAAAAAGAAAATTCCAAAGGCCCTTTGCAAAAAAAAATTGCCAAACACTACTTGGATCAAAGTAGCTTTTCAAATGATTTTTACCAAATGCCATTTGCATTTCCCTAAAAGGCTTCAACCTAAAGGTATTTGCATTCCCTCAAGGCTTATTTGCAAAGTTGAACCAAACGGGCTATGTAGCGAGGAGAAAGACTATTCCGTTTATTATCTCTTTTGCTCTTTCGAAAGGCTAATTTATATGTTGATAGTGTAACCGTAAATGCTGCTTTAGCAAGTTGCTCGTTGTTCGTGTTTATGAAATTTGGTCATGGTTCGTTCAATTTTTTGTGCCTCTCAATTCTGTTTGTATTCATATTACTAGAAGATAGCAAAAGGCATTTTTTATCTCCGAAGATGTGGAAACATTTTGTAAGTTGAAATAGTCAATCATCCCGTTTGGTGCAAAGCAAGAGAGACAGGTCGTCAGCTTGGAGGCTTCAAGAGGGTGGTGTGGTTTCAAGCTGTCTCCAAGGCTGCCGAGAAGTTTAGGGAAATGGCAAAGAGTGATGATAGGGTTATCTCTACAAGTGCTCCAGTTGGGTGCAAGCTTCAACGGTGTGAGGCTAAATATTGAGTGGGGAAAAAGCCAAAATGGGTGAACTTGACAAGTGCAGAGAGGTCGAAGAAAATTGAGGTCCTCATTGATGCTAGAGATGGTCATGGAATGGAGGCGAGGTTGACAGTGAAAGAAGAGGACCGGCGCTACTGGGCCATGACCAAGAACTGTTGGAATTTGCTTGCTTGGACTTTTGTGTCATGGAATGGTCACGAGAATATTTACCTCAGACTATGATCAAGTTGGTGATCCAATTACTGGTGTTCGATAGCGATTTTATGTAAACTACATGCAAAGCTTCCGATAGAATTACATGTGCAATCTTCATCCGTGCTTGTCCTTATCGATTCTACTCGAACTTCCGATTATTATATACTTATTACAAGAGCCTAGCGTATCATCGCTTGATTAAGATTTTCCTATGGGTTCAAACGTGCTTATCCCTCGCTACACTTAAAAATTAAAGCGACCCTTTGGTGCATTAAAAAAATGAGTGGAAAATTCTGACTGATTTGTTAATATGTCTCTTTTAGGTTAATCTCAACTCGAAAATATAAAAATCGCTCTCATTGGTTTTTTTTTCAATACTATGCAAATTATAATTAAAAAAACTTAAATTGGTCAAATTAAAGGACTTTCACAACACATATTTACCAAACAGCATTTCCTCAAAGTTACTTTCCAATACACTTTTCAATTACAGCTTACCAAACAGTTTTTGCATTTCACCAAAATTTTTTAGGCTAAAGGTGTTTGCATTTTCCCAAAGACTTTTTTCAAAATTCGAATCAAACGCACTCTAACTCCATACATACCGGCTCCACCTAAGCCACGAGAACAATTCGACGATGACGACAAAGACGCCGACGATACACAATGACCCTGTGATGGTATGCAAATGCAATATCGAGGGGGCACCCCTCCCATAAAAAGAAAAAAACAAGTCCACAATTGCCTTAGAAACAAATCTGAACATTAGCAGGAGCAATCGGACCCGTTAATCAAACAGTTACTTGATCCGGTCAAGTTACGATCGAGATAGATGCCAACTTGCACGCGATGTCGTGGTACAGAACTCATCAAATTGTCGACGTGGTTGATGACGTGTCCGTTGACACGGCGCACCAATGGAAGACGGTAGACACCGCCCCTCCAACCAAAGGAACGCATCCAAAATTACCTTAAAAATCGGGTCTGAACATTAACGGGACCAATTAGACTTACTAATCAAACAGTTACTTCATTCGGTCAAATTATGATCGAGATCGATGCTAATTTGCACGTGTACGAGTAGCACAAGAGCCATCGGTTGCTAATTCGACTCGATGAATTCATCGATACTTATTATAAAACGCTAGCAAGATGGCGTTTTTGCCAAAATAGCAGCGAACGAACACGTGCGCTCAAGTTTCAGATTCTGATGCCACACTACGGCGGTAAATTCGAAAGAGGCTGACTAATTTCTCTCTTTGCCTATTGTGATTGAGAAGAGAACTACTCTGCTGTCTTTGCTCATAATGACACACAACCGATTCAAACGTCTCCAAAGCAAGATATTAATGTATGTACTCTATCTAGGCGCCATATTTGACTACGAGAATCCTAATGGATTTGACTGGTCCCAAAAAAAAAACACGAACGGTAATATCCTCGCGATACCTGCCAAATACCCGACGACCCACATAAGGGAAAGATACATCATAATACATGTCTCCGCTCGATACATTCGCGGCAAGCCCACCTTTTATCTTCCGTCTCGAGATTCGATATCCATCGCGCTCGATTCCGAAAGCCCGGACCGGCCTTTTCCGAAAAGGAAACGGGGGAAAAATCTCCCCACCTACGCGTAGCATCATTCGATCGCGCCGAGTCCCCCCATCCGATCGGGGGATCGTCCGGAAGGAAATTCCGCGTTTGGGGTTCACACGCGATTTAACGTCCGTCCCGGAGGCGCGTCCCGGTGGGCCCCCACCTCGTGCGTTCCAATTATTCTGCCGTCAATATTATATATATATATTTTTTGGTGGTCCCCCGGGACCAACAATTACGGAAAAGTAGAATCAAAGGCAGAGGCGAAGGGAGGAAGGTGGGGAGGAAGGCACAGGCGAAAGCGACCATTTTTCCAGCGAAAAGGAAACAAACAGTTGTCGACGACCAAACACACAAAAAAAAAAAAGAAAAAGCGGGGGGGGAGGAAAGCGGCGGGCCCCACCCGCGAGGGCGGAACTTGGTGCGGGACACGGCACGAAAAAGAAGAGGGGACGAATCAAGTTGGCGGAAAAAAGAAAAGAGAGAAAAGAAAGTCGGGGAAATGGCGGAAATAAAATGAGGAGGGAAGTAGAGAGGGAGAATTTCCAGAAAGGGGAGGCGACGAGGCGCCACGCGTCGCGGGGCGGTTGGCCGGCCGAGTCGGCTAAAGGGCGGGGGGCCAAGGGACTCCCGAGCGAGCAAAAGCAAGCAAGCAAGCACCCGAAAAAGTCAAGCCTGTGGAAAGGATCGTATTCACCTCCCACCTCCCGAATTCTTTTTATAATTTATATGATTTATTTATTTAATGAAGCTCCACCACATCGCCCCCTCCCCCCTTAACGCCAAAACCCTAATCACACAGCATAACTAGAGACTTCCTCCTTACTCTCCTTCCCCGCCCTTCCGAAGTTTCTCTCTCTCTCTCTCTATCCTCAGTTCCTCTTCTCGCTCTCTCTCTCTCTCTCTCTCTTCCTCTTCGTCTTCCTCTCGCCAAGGAGGTGGCTTCGGAGTCGCCTGACCTCCCTCCCTCCCTCCTCCCCTCCCTCGGCCGCGATCGGGTGAGTCTCCTCCCTCCGCCGCGAGGCGGCGGCGCCCGCGCCCGCGAATCTCGTCGGTCGCTTACGGCGGCCCTCGCCGCTCCGATCTGCCGTCCTCTGCTTGTGTCGTGTCGGGTCCTCTTTTTCGTGCGGTGGGTCCTGTGTTTTTTGCTCGATCGGGAGCTTCGCCGGACGGCGGCGTCTCCGCCGCTCCCTCTTCCGATTCCGTTTCGGCGTGGTTCTCGTATCTTCTTTGTTTTTTTTTTCGGGGGGGCAATCGGGAGGTGTTTACGGATATTTGCGCGTCGATCTCGATTGTGCAGTGTGGAGTCAACGCCCTGCCGATCTCGGTCTGGATCTGGGTCTCGATCGCCGGGGGTTTGATTGGAGGTCGTCTAGCTTTGGTTTTTACTAGGGTTGGTTCGGGTCGTCTGGGTGCGTGTGAAAAGGCCGATTGGCTTTTTGTTCTTTTCTTTCTTTGGCGTGATTCGGAGGAATACGTGGTTGTAGGGGTTTCTTGGAGACGAAGCAGGATATACCTTAAGGGTTTCTGCGGGGTAGGAAAAGGCATCTTCTTTCTTTGTTCTGGTCCTGCTTTCTTATCATGGTCTGTGCAGAGTTGATTCGGGGTTTCTTAGCTTTAGTGGTTCCCTCAACTTTATTCTACTGTCATCGCCTACTGCTGCTTATGTCTGTGCATATCTTAGCCGCTTGTTTCTCCCGTGGACGGGTCCTTTTCCCTCTTGACTTTGTTTCACCATTCGAAGTTCGCATCCTCTTTATTTGACCCACACCTTGATCTCTATTGTTTACCCGTTCCTTTCTTTGTGCAGGTGTTGAGGACGACCGGCCAGAGCAAGAGCAGCCTGCATTTCTGGGACTGGTAATCTCGAGTAGCTAATACGATATTTAGGGTATTCTGTATAAGCTTTCAGGAATCGTTGAAGATTGAGCTTCTCATATGGTCAGACAGACAGGACAGTAAGTTTCTAAAATATAGAGAAAGGCTATAAGGACCTTGAGCTATGCCCGTCTCAGAGAGCAAAGAGGTGTTGATTTTATTCACGAGTTATTCTTTGCTAGTACCAATATTTGAAACCTCCATTGATTAAGTCTTTGTTGGCAGACTGGGGTTAGATCAGCTACCCCTCCTTCTAGTGATTATGGTGCAGGAGTTCCCATCAAGAAACGAAGGTTTCCGTTTGTTCGTCCTCCATCTCCGCCACCGCCACCACCACCTAAGGAACCATCACCGCCACCGCCACCTAAGGAGCCCTCACCGCCGCCTAAGGAGCCATCTCCACCACCTCAGGAACCATCTCCGCCACCTCATGAACCATCATTGCCAGAGAAAATTGATGAACAGCCGCAGATGGGACATGTTGCTTCTTTTAGCTCTGTCCCCTCAATTTCTGGCGTTGCTGCAGCCCCAGGAAGCAAAAAGCAAGAATCCAACATAATTGAAGCTAAAGTGAGCGATGTTAGTGTAGGGGAGCGTGATAGTCTTAAGGAGAAGAATGATTGCATGGACAAAGTAACTTTTGAGCTTTCTACAGCAGTCGTCCGAGAACCAACGTTGGTGTTTGCTTCAGGTTCCTCAGATGACAAGGATAGATCGGACAAGCCCATGAAGGATGAAAATTTCGTGGGACATGATCGGATGCTGGGAAGATCTGATTTTCCACTGGGTTTGAGCGAAAGTTGTCATTTAACAGTAGAAGGATCTTGTACCAAACACAAACTTGAAGTGGATGACCAATCCGGTAAATCCGTTGCTTCGTCAATGATGGATGCAGGTCTTGCTTGCCAAAAGAGTGAAGGGACTTGCCTGGATCAACATAAATTTGAAAACATCTCTTTAGATTTGTCTCTGACCGATGAGAAAAGCAGTCCATCTACTGGCAGTGGGAAAAGATCAAGCAGTGATGCTTGTGCTAACAGGTCAAATTGGGATCTTAACACAACAATGGATGCATGGGAAGATTCTGCAGGCGATTCAGTCTGTGTCGGTGCTGATTCTGTCTATGGTGGATTGAATGCCACCGCCGGCAACTATGAGATGAAGCCTTCTTCTCAGTCGACTGGAAAATCTTTAGAACAGAAATCTTTGGGGAGCAAATGTAAGGGAAGTGCTCTTTCCATGTCTTCCAGAGCAATTGGTGATAATTATATATCTGAAAATTCTCTTAGTTTAGGCCTCCAACCATCGTTTCTTCAACCAAATCTCTTTCAAGAGCCACTTTCATCTGCTAGCATTTATACAGGGGTGAACTATACCCAGATGTCGGTGTCAACTTGCAAGCCGAATGTTGTTGCTCCGTTGATTGTAAAATCAGAACCCGTTGATGGGTCTGTTAAACAGTCCTTTGGTGTTGTGAAGACAGTAGACAATAGAACTGTGAAGTGCGAGTCCAGTGATGCGCAATTTTCGGAAGTCCGCGAGAGTCCAATCTGTACGACCTTACAGACTACTGTAAATTCCAGATCGATAAAAGCTGAGCCAGGTTGTGAGGGCATGGAAGCATCCAGAGCAAACGAGGATGCATGTCTTGGATCTTGTGAACAGACGTCAAATGGTTCTGAGTTATGCTCACTGGTAAAACAAGCTGGAGATACGAATCACATGTTGGAAACTGAATCTTGTCCTTCTGAATCAGCTGTAGATCATGATACGGTTGGCACTAGCAAACATTGTGCAGAAGGGGGTCATCATGAGGGGGAATCATCTCAGATTCAGGAAACTTCGGAAAATGACATAAAGATTGGTTCAGATACTATTACGACAAATGTCGCTCCTGGTGGTAGCGAGCTACCTTCCAGCATGGAGAATGCACCAGAAGCGGAGAACACTGAGATTGCACATCACGAAGAACTTGGTTTCAAAGTGACTGACAAGATCCCTCCTAGTTTGAAGGAAAATGCTGAGGATGCTGCTAGCGATGGAGAAAAGATTGAAATATCTGCCTGTATGATGGAAGAGGATTGTTATGATTCTGAATATGATTCAGATGGAAACCTTGGTCCTTCTGTGGCTGTAGATGCGGAACATTTCCACCGAGATGATAATGAGTACGAGGATGGCGAGGTTCGGGAACAAGTCTTGCTCAGAACGTCAGAGGGACACACTGGTAAGGCGGAAGTTGAAAATGTCAGCAATTGTGAATCTGAGTATAATAGAATTGATTTTGGCGAGAGCTCCTGTTATAATAGTGCTACTCTGCCTCCAGAGGGGGATGATGCTCGGACCCAGGTCGATGGTCAAATGAGCGAGAACCTTATGACAGTATTTTCTACAGCTACTGTGGGCAGCAATGAAAAAAGTGTTGATGAAGTTTCCCATTTGCAAGAATCATCTCCAATTGAAACAGGTGCTGTTAATTCTGAAATGACGAGTCCGGTGAATACAACTGGCGGAAAGGTGCTTGATGATTCGGTGAGCCGAAGTCCATCAAAGGACCTGGGATCAGATCCATCATATGGTCAAGCCATCGCCACCGCTAATCTTGTTGATGAAGAGGCTGCAAAAACTGACAGTATTGTTTCTACTGGAATTGGCGATGAGACCGATACAGGTTTGCCCAAGGCAGAAGCATCTTTGAACAGTGAAATTGTATCAAACGATGGAAAATCCGACGGTAATAAGCGGAGGATCATAAATTTGGCTCGGTCTAATGTTTCATCTCCTGACAAAGCAAGATCTATAGCTGATAGATCTATACCGCTACGAGCTGGAAGGAAAAGATTACCAGATATTGCCCTCGAGGGAGATAAGCCACTCAGAGGGAGGTGATTAACTTTATTTTGCAAGTTCTACTGGCTTATTTCTTTTCATTTTGCATGTGTTCATTATTTTAGGAGGTTTAATTCTCTTACCTGCTGCCTTCACCAGGGACGAATATCGTGATGATGGTTTTAACAAATTTCCAAGAGAGAGGAATCAAGATATGTTTTCTCGAAACTCTAGATCAAACTTTGCGCGGGATAGAGCGAGAGTTTCCAATGACATCAGTGGCAATTGGGATTCTGAGCAGGAATTGGGTTCAAAAGTTTATAATGGTTTTTCTGAGTTTCGTGCTAACAGATACAAATATGCTCCAGATTTTAGAAATTACAATGGTGTGACAGAGGATGGTGTTGGTGGTGCCGGGCGGGGAGGAAGAAAGCTTTTGACTGATGAGGCACCGAATTTCCATCATCTGTCCTCGAGGAGGCGCTCCCCTGGAGGAAGAGATGGACCTGCAGCTCGAGGCCAACCTATGGTTGGTGGAATACCAAGAAACATTAGCCCTGCGAGATGTATTGATGTGTCTGATTCAGAAATTGTCGGATTGAGGCATGGAAACAAGTTCATGAGAGACTTCCAGGATGATAATATGGAACCAATGTTTGCTTGTCAACCTTCATACGGGGAAGCTGACGGTTTTATTCGGAGGGACAGGAATATCACATCCTTCAAGGGCAAAGTTTTTCGTCCTGTTCGTTCGAAATCTCCTTTAAGATTAAGAAGTAGGTCTCCTGTTGAATGGTCACCCAGGAGAAGATCTCCAGAAGGATTTGGTGGCCATCCGCCATTGACTCATAGGAGATCTCCGGCATTGTACAGAAGGAATAGGATGAGATCACCTGAGCGCACTTGCTTCCATGGTGAGATGATGATTAGAAGGCAGAATTCTCCTCCTTATGGGACCCGACCGCTTGATGAGTTGAGAGAGATGAATTCTGGAAGGGACCACGGTTTTCCTCGGCCTATCATGTCCAACAGAAGCCCATCTGGGAGGCTTTCACTGAGAAATCGAAGATACGATATTATTAATTCACGGGAAAGGACACATGGCGAGTACTTTAGTATGCGCTCTGGCCGTTTCCATGAACTAGGTGGAGATGGAGACACCGATGAGAGGAGAAGGTTGGGTGAAAAGCATGGGCCTGTTCGCCATTTCAGGCCTCCTTATGGTGCTAATGGGGAGAGTTTTATGTACAATGCAGATGAAGCATCTAGGTCATATAGGCTTTGTCCAGAAGATGATCCAGCATATCATAAAAGAGGCAGCTCAAGGGAAACACAATTAGACAGGAGGAATAAGAATCGGGCTGGAGATGTGCATAAAGCAAGAACAGTCGACGAGCAGGAAGGCAATTACAGGCATGGTGGACTGTCTGATGAATTTGATGATGCTTCTCGAAGTAAAAGAAAAAGGTTTTGATCAGGTCCTAGTATGGGTTTACATGGGGATGGCATGTCTTGCTGGGGATGATGACTAATGTACAGAAACATCTTTTGACAAATGGTATGCTAATTATTGATGCATGTGGCACCAGCAGCAAGTTGGGGGACATGATCTATCCAAGTGAGTACCAGAGGCAATGTTGGATCTGCATACTTTTGATAATGGAAACGGATGTTTCTCACATCCTACATTCAATCGGATTGTTATGCTTTCGTGTTTGCATCATTTGAACTAATCTTCTACAATTCCTTTTTTTTTTTTTTGGCAATGCAGGTTATAACTCCATGGTGTCAGATTCATCATGTTTTGAGCTGACATGAATTTTGTGAATCGAATAGGGGAATTTTGACGAATCAGACCTTGTATAAACTGGGAGGCCCCTTACAGATGTTGATCTGGCTCAATGAAGAAGATACTTAACATCAAGCATTCCCTACCTGATGTGGAATCATTAGTTCGTCAGTAACTACCAGCAAGTCATTATCACTGCAAGGATGAAATCCAATGAGTTCTTTAGCCGTCCTAGTACATGTAAGGCTGTTAAAAGAAATCCATTTTGATGAATTGTCTGTCTCGCGTTAAAGCTTTCTTGGAGACTTCTCTGCATGGTCAACTTGGATAAACACAAAGTATATGATTCCTTGCTTTTGAAGATGCGTGCTTACTAGTCCAGTTCATCTATACTGGCACCAGGAGCTAATATTGTTTAGGGCCTTTAGATGTTTTGGATGTTTGGCTTAAGAATCAAGTTTCTCTTTCTTCTCTTGCTGCAACTCCTGCTTGGGGTTAAAGAATCACTGCATTAGTCTCATTTTAATAGAGAAGCTGGTGGAGTAGATACTGATGAGTCTGCTCATGGAGGACTTCTTACCTTAAGGTTCTGGAGAGAAAATGCACTAGCATTTCGGTATCTTCATCTTGTCACCAATGTGAGAGGTGCTATTGAGTCCAAGGCAATGGTTGGTTGGGGATTGCTTGGAGGTATTTTTTCACTGCAGAGTTAATGGCATGGGTTTGGAGGCTCTTGGTTTACCCCTTGTTGATTGAAAAATGGAGATGGTTGATTTTGCTTATCGGCATTCATCTGTCACCAGGACATGTTTTTGTGTTCATCCGAAGAAAAGTCCTCTACTGACTTCAAATTTCGAAGTGCTCAAAGTAGTGTCTCTCTAAGCTGTTCTGACTAATTTTAGGAAGACAACTTCTCTGATCATCTGGTCAACCTTTCAGTGGACATCTTTGTCTTTTTGCATAGTCATTGGGATCGGCCAAGATCGGGCACATCAATGGAGAATAGAGTTTGGCTTCGAAGTGTCAATTACCCTCCCTTGTGAATTTGCTGAACAGGTGATTTTGCCAGAGAATCCTTTTTGACCATTGAGGGTGATGCTTGTTGACTCAATCCTCTCTGCTTCAGCTGGCAAATGATGAGTCCATGAGACTGTATCTGGCTCGTCACGTATGTTGTTTCCGAACTATGACCGCAAGTGTGTCTAGGTTTCTGCTCTTATTTCTTTGGGTATGACGACATCACAAAGGGCAGTGATGTTCCAATTCCGACAAAGGGCAGTGATGTTCCGATTCTGGGTGGATAACAATGTTTAGTCATTCTTGCCAATCGCCATACGGCTCTCAGTTCAGTGCACTGTATGTTAGGAACCTGGATTTGCTGTAGTAAATTCATTTCATCGGTGACTCTCAAGGCTGTAGCGATAGGAACTGAACTTTTAACAACACTTCCTAATGACAACGGCAAAGACCGAGAGCAAATGTGAAGATGGCTATGGAGATCTTGAGATATCTACCACTTTGATGATTACCATCACCCTAGGCAACGCTCTGCCCTAAGATGCAGCCACTGATGTGTACCTCCGTACTCCTGGTTCTTATGGTACTCCGAGCATGCAAAGACCCCTTGAATCTCCAGACTCAGAGGGGTGTGACTTAGCCTTTTCTTTTTCCTAATTATGCTTAAGAAAAGAGAATAGTAAACCTGGGGCAGAAATTATGCGAGTAAAAAAGCTGCGTAAAGTATGGATTGACCTCTGAACAGAGAAAGGAAAATGAGTCCCGAATAAATTGCTATTGCGATCAGTTAACTTGAATAGTCTAAAGGAGTGAGTTTGATGCTCCCTTTGGTTTCGTTCTGCGCAAGCGACCGTTATACGTATACCTATAGGCCTCGGAGAACTTGCTCGGACTTTGGTCGGACACGACCTAGTGAAATCGCTGCGATACAAAATGCTTAATGTAACTTTCACTTGTCTTGAGCACGCAAATAGAATGGGTCTCCTCGGCGATGATGTGACCAGGACGGACAAACTAAGGTTGACCAAACTTGATTTGAAGGTTAACTCCTCTGGCACGCGTCGTTTTCTATTGCGGAGCGGTCGAGAATTCGCACCCTTCCGGCTTGGCCAAACCTTCCAAAAATTGACTTAAAACTGAACTGGGGTCAACTTCGGTGTTGGTCAATGGTTTATTTTTTATTTTATTTTTTTGGTTCTCTTTGTCCCAAGGTGACGCCGGTCGCTGCCAAGTCAAGAAGCTTTGCAAATCACCAAAAACGACCTCAAACGAGACGGGATATAGTTCGACGTTACGATCATTACATCTTAAATCTCCCTGATTTCTCAATTATTGTCGCTCTTCGGACCGATAACGAAACTAACTCGGGATATATGTTCAATTAGAAATCGGCACTGTACGTTCCTATGATTGACTCGACTTGATTAGAACCGGAAATATAAAATCTCCCCATTCGATTCTTATTTCGCTCCAATTTTTCCCCGAGTACTTAGGCTTAGAAGGATGCGGGTCTTGTTTATTTAATTTTTCTTTCGAGACACGCTATTCTTTGATCGAATTGCTATTATTCAAGCAAATAGTATATAGTAACCCCCACCGTCGTACGCGACGGGATTTTAGGAAAACGAGGCATGTAGAACGAGGCTCTTTCTTATTCTTTGTTGGGAAATCGAATTAAGGATAGGTAAAGAGGGAGGATAGACTGACTGGAAGGACGATTTCATATTTTTCATTTGTTTTTTTCACCATCGTGTTAGAGATTTATTAGCAATATATGGAATTCACCGACGTATTTGAAAAATTACAATCACCTCTGGAGATCTACATGTCACATCATTTTCTGTTGGTCCGTAGAGGGGAAAACTGTCTCGAAAGTCATAAACCAATTGTACGGCGGCCAATTCTGTCATAAACCGTTCAATTGTGTCAATTTAATGATAAACATTTTAACAAACTGTCAATGTAGTCCTTCCAGTTAAATTTGGTAGGAATTTGCTAACGTGGCAGTCCAGTCACTGCCAGCTATCTCAGCGCTGACGTGAAATTTTTTAAACAAATTTCCAAATTATTTATTTATTTATTTATTCTTTTCTTTTCTTTTCTTTGGAATAAAAAATAGAAAATAAAATAAAAGAATAAATAAATAAAAATAAATCAATTAGCCACGTTAGCGCTGGCTATGCCATGTTGGATAGCTGGCGCTGACTGAACTACCGCGTCAGTGATTTTCGATCAAAATTAGCTGAAAGGACTATATTGGCAATTCGTTAAAAGGTTTAGGATTGAATTGACATTATTGAAAGGTTATGATTGAATTAGCCACTGTTCAATAGGTTTAGGACTTAATTAGTATAATCAAAAGGTTTAGAATTGAATTAACCGTCGTATAATAGTTTTAGTACTTTTTGGACAATTTTCCCGATGATAGAGTTTTCGAATGAATAATAGAGAATTAGGGATGGAATGAAGGTGCAAGAGGATATAGGCATGAAACGCTGCGACTCTTTGATTTTGCTTTTGTACAAAAAAAAAATCCTAATCTTTAATTATCTACTAACTTAAGTTCGTAAATTGATCTAGTGTCTAATTCTGTTTACTGTTCACGTGGAATTCTTCGTTTTGATGGCTATGAGTCGGGATAAAGTATGTGAAGAATACGAGTCTAGACCTTCAAACCGCATTGAAATATGCAGTGATAGCATGATGAGTTTTGGATTGTGCGACATTGATAACTTTTGGAAAATTGTCCTAAAAGTCTTAAACTTATTATACGATAGCCAATTCAGTTATAAAATTTTCAATTATGCCAATTAGTCCTAAACCTTTTGACAATTTACCAATGTAGTCATTTTGGCTAAATTTAGCCGGAAATCGCTGACATTGACGCTTGCCGTCCTACATGGCATAATCGGCGTTAACATGGATAATTTTTGTAATTTTTTTGAATTTTGGCTCTGTTCATTTCGCGGAAAACAATTTCTAGGAAAATGGTTCACGGAAAATAAACTAGTCGTGAAAAACATTTTCCCACAATGGAAAAAACCCCTTGAAAAGTGAGGAAAATGTTTTCACCTTTTTTTTCCCTCCTCCTTCTTTTATCATTCATATTAATTATTTTATTTTTTAAAATTCTAATTTTTAATTATCTTTTTTCTTTTCCTTTTCGTTTTTTCTTTTTTTTTTCTTTTCTCTTTTTTACCTTCTTCTCCGGCTGGTCGGCCGGCGACCGGCGAGACTCAAGCTCTCCAAATCGGCGATGCTCGGACCTCGCAAGGTCGGCTACGCTTGAGCGTCACGGAGGGCACCGAGGCTCGGGCCTCGTCAGAGGTCGGTGAGTCAACAAGCCGCCGCCTCGAGCTCGCCAAACCGTGACTCATAAGGTGGCGCCGCCTTCGCCATGGTCTGCAACCGGCCGGAGAAGAAGGTTAGAAAGAGAAAAAGCAGAAAAAAAAGAAAAAGAAAAAATTAAAAAATCGATTTTTCTTAAAATAAAAATAAAAATAATATTAAAAGTATTGTGTGTTGGAAAATTTGATTTCATTTTCCATACCAAACAGCAGAAAACATTTTCCGAGTTTTTTTTAGATTTCGGCCGAACACCGGAAAATTGTCTCATTTTCTTGAAAAATGGCTTATTGGAAAACATTTTCCAAAAATGTTATATTTTCCGTAAAACAATTGGAGCCTTTTTGTTTCCTTTTTTTTTTATTGTCAAAGGCCAGGGGGATTTTTTACTGTTCCGCCGACCGCTGGCTGAGACTCAGTGACCCCTACCGACCCTTATCAGTAAAAAAAGAAAGAAAAGAAAGTAAAGAATAATAATAAAAAAAAAAAACATTTGAAAATTTTGTCCACATCAACGTCACATCGTGCCACGTAGGACGATCAGCGTCTACGTTAGCAATTTCTTATCAAATTCGATCGAAAGATTTTAGAACTAATCGGCACTATTGGTAATAGGCATGTGGCCCTGCTAGTAAAGGGATTGTGACTGGAGAATATCAGGTCTGGGGTTTGATCCTCGTGAACACCGCACACAAATGTACATAGAAAAGAGGAGGGAGACCGAAAAAAATTGGCAAAATTTAAATATTTATGACTGAATTGGCCGAATCTGCTTCCGTACAGTATGTTGTAGATTTTTTAGATAATTATCCTTCGCTAAACGGAGATGGGGCAAGTGCAAAATCGGGATTTAACATTTTGGTCGTTGGTCGATTGAGGACCAAAACGATCTTATTTTGATCAATTGAGGACCTAAGGTTTTAAAGAAGTCCTAACTTGGTCTAGAGCTTGGCCTTGGTAAAATTCAAGCATTGGAAATCTGACGTGTTTCCATGCAATGCATTTGATCATTCATCATATGTCATATCATACGCTTGAATCCAACCGATGGCGAGTGAGACATTTGATTGGATTTGTTTTAATTAAAAGCACCTTTACTTCCCCACTTGACAAAAGATAAAGTCTTAAATCCTTAATTGACCAAGGACCAAAATCTCAAGGCAAATTCTCCCACTTATCCCAAAACAAGATTTCATGCATTTTTGGCCATCCTTAATAGCTCTTTAAATATGAAATACCATTAAGAGTGAAAAACCAATATCGGATTTACATCAAACAATGAATGAGAGTTACGTATTTGCGGAAATTGTTTGCATTGTCCTCGGCGACTAGCTAATTAGGGAATCACATTAGATGTTAGGTACGTAACGTGTGGAACATGTCGTCTGTATCGTGCTTAACAATCAATCCATCAAAGATTCACGTCGAACACCGGACGTGGATTCCATATCTCGGAAATTTCTCCGTATTGTTCTTAACAACCGACCTGTCGGGAAATCGCATCACCTGTCGGGAACCGGAACTTCTTATTCGGGAAGTCCTTTCGTGCCGCTCTCGAGTCAACAACCGGCTAATTACAGAAACACATCAATATCATCGAAGGAAAAACGACATTCCTGTCTGAAAAAAAGAAGATCGTAACGAAAAAATATTAATTTCGACAAGAAAAAACGAGTCACGAACTCCCCTCCTTAATCCAAAAAAAAAAGGGGTATTATCATTCTTATCGTCTTTCCATAAAAACAGTAGAGTATAATAAAAAGTTCAATTATAAAGAAGGGGAAGAAAAAGAGAAAAAGGATTATTGCTTTTGCCTCTTCCCTTTTTTTTTTTCTTCTTTTTCCGCAAACAAAAAATGTATATATACGGTTCTTCTTCCCGTGCCGCCCCCACGCCCGGGGTCCAAAGTCCAAAGACGACGCCGGTTCGATCTTCAAGCCCGTCCCTCACACGTTAATTTCGCCCATTGTTTTATTAATTCCAATTCTTATTTTTAATTTATTCACGCATCCATCCAACATAAATCGCTGGGAAAATTACAAATCAATACCCAAAGTCGAGTCATTTTCTCAAAAAGGGGTCCAAAATAGACATGGTACCAAATAAAGGCTTGAAGTGTCCAATCGGTCTCAAATAGAAGTCCGAAGTGCTCAATTAATCTCAAGTAAGGGCCTGAATTCGCTGGCCGGTCAAATGCTCACTGGCTAGCAAGCATGTCACTGTTCCGACGACCGGAACATGGGCAATTTCGTCTTTTACTTTTTTTTTTGTTTCTTTTTTCCTTTTTATGTTTTTTTCCTTTTCCTTTCCCTTTTCTTCTTCTTGTTTTTTTCCTCTTTTCCCTCCGCCGGCCATAGCCGGGGTCGGCGAAGGTTGCCGGTCTCGGGCGGAGGCTACCCTCGCTGGCGTCGGGCGAGGGCAACCCAGGATTAATTGGGCACTTCGAGCTCCTATTTGAGATTGATTTGATACTTTAGGTCCTTATTTGATACTATGTCTATTTTGAATCCCTTTTTTTGAGTAAATGACCACGCTTTGGATACCGAATTGAAATTTTCCCTAAATCACTCCCATACATATACACATACGCACGCGCGCACGCGCACACATCTCCCTTCTTCCGATTCGTATTGCCGAGCCTGCTGCGCGAGAGCTCGTTCTTCCTTCAATCTGTTCTCCGTTCGAATTCGATCCTTGTCCGACGAATCCATTGGGATGTGATTGTTGTTGTGTTTTTCCTTCTTCTTCTCTAAGCAATAAGAACGCATGAACGATTCTGTTCTCCGCGGTGATTTTCGCTGATTCCCGTATTCTTTCTCTCCTCTCTTGTTCTTGTTTCTTGGGTTTGAATCCGCGTTTGGATCGATCTCTTGTTGAAATCGGGGCGCTGCGAGGGGGTCGTCGCGATTTACGCGGAGCTCGGTCGCCGGGCGTTTCGTCCGCAGGTACGGGCTCCGGCGATCCGGCTAGGGTTTTTTCGGGTACCCTTTAGCTGGTGCATTGCGTTTCTTCTCTGTTTTTGGTGGTTTCTGATTTGGTGCGGCTGCGGCTGCTTATGCTGACCCCTGCTGTGTGGCTTTTTGCTGTGTTGGGCCAGTATGCTTAGGAGATGATGATGAATCAAGGAGGGATTACGGAGACGCTGGCTCCGCCCGGGACGAACTCGCTGGAGGTAAATTCTTACCTTTTTGAGCTTGTTTCCGTTGGGGGGGGGGGGGGGGGGGAGGGAACTGTTGTTGAGTTGGAGATATGCCTGAGATTTTCTTCAACTAGAAAGTGGGGTTTATCGGTCGTATTAGTGCTGATGTGCTTAAGAGGCCTGGAAAGCTTATGAGCCTGCTCGAATTGTCTCGAGTCTTGTCAGTTTTTATCCCCCCCCACTCCCCTTTTGCGTCAATGTTTTTTTCCCCTCGCTATGTCGTGATTTTTGGTAGGTGGGTTTTTGGGAAGTTTGGATTTTTATGTCTGCGTTTTGCATTTCGGGGTTTCTTATGGCATGTTTCGTCTCGGGCTGTTTGTTCGTGTCGTCGATGTGCCGACTTTTACTCTGGTCTTGGTGTTGCAGTTGCTTTTGATCCTTTATTGGGTTTGGTTACACGATCCTTTAGATTTAATGCGCTCCAGTTCGGTGCTCCATCTTCTAATGTTCCCTAGGACCAAAAGTTGACTTGCCACATCTTCGTAGGTCTTCCCCATTCCTATAGTGATGGTATTATGTCATTGGAAGTAATTACTAGAGCATCTTGAGTACATCATTCCACCCAAGTATGTTAGATTCCAACCTCTCATATGAGCTTTGCAAAGTACCTTTTGGTCTCACCACTCTGCCAATCTTTTGCATACGGTGCATTCCTAAGTGAATTTTGAGATCTTGGTACTGGTTTTGAAATGTGGAAGCTTCTAATTCATTGGTGTTATAGATATTTTTTCTTTTACATTAAGGAAAATGTCCAAATCAGGCCTATTACATTAAGGAAAATGTCCAAATCAGGCCGATTACATTAAGGAAAATGTCCCCGCCCCTCCATTTTCTTGGAAGAACTCCCTCTAGGATCCTGGTATCTATGAATTATAGAATGTCGTTGTCTCTCACTTGCTTTTTCTGTCTGATAACTGATTTACAGTATATGGAAGACCAAATCAGTCTTTAGAACATGTGTAATGAATCAAATTTAGAATTACACATATTTTCGTGTTAGTTGTCTCTTCATTCCCTTCTCATATTTCGTCATAAGACTTGATAATATCTATCGTGACTTCTATTGGAAAAAAGAAAATTTAATGAGACTGTGAACAAAATATGTTGTCATATCCCCTTTTCTGTTCTTAAGATATTCTAGACATGCTTCAACTTTGATGCATTTGGTTGATTGCAAGCTTTTAACTTGTTTGGGGGGTTTGGTCCTCCTATTGCCAACTTATGTGTAACTTTCGTTGACAGCCGGCTAAATTATGTGATTTCTTCCCCTGAAGATTTGGTGTTAATTCGTATTGCTTTTGTTGTCTAGGATCGACATGTAATTGATGCACGGCATGGGCAACCGAGTTCATATTCTTCCTCAACTGTTGGGTCTGAAGCACCATCTTGGACCCCGCACAGTGTAAATAATAGCTTCACAGGAAATGGGTATTCTTCTGGTTCAACATACGGTTTTGAGCAGCAAGCACAACCACCTCGGAGAGATGATATAAATAGTGCAACCGAGGCAAGTTCATTGAGTTTAGGTTCAACAAGTGTACCGCAAGATTACAATGGTTATATGACATACCAGAACCCCACTAATTCATATGGGTATGGAACTACCGGATACACAGGTTACTATAGTGGCTATCAGCAACAAAGTAATCAGTCGTACTCACAGCCAGCGGGAGCATATCAAAGCACGGGCTCCCCTTATCAGCCTATTTCTTCGTTTCAGAATACCGGGTCTTATGCCGTCCCACCGAGTTATTCAAACACATATTACGGTCCTGGTGATTACCAGACAGCTGGAACATATCCAAATAGTACTTACAGTACTCAGACAACTTGGAACGATGGAAATTATGCAAATTACAACACTTATCAGTATTCAAACTACCCTTCAACTTCCAGTGCTTATGGTTCTGGTAATTCTGCATCTGCTCCAGCGCAGTATCAACCACAGTATAAGCAATGGACAGATTATTATGCTCAATCAGAAGTTAACTGTGCTCCTGGGATGGAAAATTTGTCTGTTGCTAGTTCATCCAATCCCGAATGTCCAACTCCTGGAGTTCCGGATGGGACTCAAGCTTCAAATAGCCAGCCACCACCAACTGCAGTCCCATCTTGGAGGCCAGAACCGGGACCTTCCGGATTGCCTTCCCAACAGGTTTGTAATTCACTTATGTACAATGACGAAATTTTAAATCCCCCAAAACTTTTTACATTACTTCTGATTGTTGTGTGCTAATGTTTACTTCGCCGCTCACCATAGTAGAGTAGCACAAAAATGTTTAACTGTGTGCTAATTTTTTTCTTTCAATTTTTCCCTGCAAAAGATTTCAGAGTACATTCCTTACCCTATTATTGAGCTAAGACGGATATAGTTTGGTTGCCCATATTGATTCTGGCAATTGGTTCTTTCAATGTAGCACACAAAATTTTTAACATTCTTCTATGACTCTGCTTGATGTTCAGCCTAGTGTCGTAGCCAGTGCTGGTCACGATAATTATTGGAAACAACATGCTGCCCCAGGATTCCAAAACCACAACAGTGCTGCTGGACAATCAACATATTATCAGCCTTTGGATTCAAAAAATGCCTATGGAAGCTATTCAGATGGACAAAATAGTACCTCTAATCAAGGGCCCAACTTGCAATATCCTATTGTTCATCAGGTTCCTCAGATTCATCAAGCACCACAACAAATATCCCCGACTTTAGATCCTCGAAGAGGAAGCAAAGTACAGATTCAGACAAATCCTAGAATAGTCTCAAACTTGGCTTTGGGATTAACGAAAACCGATAAGGCTGGCTCTGCAACCATGGCAGTGGCAAAGCCTGCATATATAGGCGTTTCACTACCAAAGCCAAGCGACAAAGCATTGTCTGGTGATGCTTCTGATCCTGCGCTTAAGGTGAAGCCTTTGCTCCTCGTGCATATTTTTGTTGTGAAGTCTTTTGAGCCTGAATGCTATGTCATTTTTGCCTGTTCCTAGGCACTGATTGATTTTGATGTTGGTGATGCCTCAGTTTTGATGCTGCTGCTGTTGTTACTGGGCTTATTATGATGCACTCATCACATCTTGAAATGGCTTTTTATCTGAAATAAAAAACTTTCCTTCTTAAACAGATTTTGGAAATTTTCCATCTCAGCACTTGTCATTTAATGAGCAATCAAAAGAGGCATATGTCAAACTATCTGAGGGTTCTGTTTGTTGGACTTTCTACTGTTCTTGAAGAATTTGTGATTATTTATGTTGAAGTTGATTTTCTTTTTTGTAGCCCGCGACTTTCCCCAAGTCGTTGCGTGGTTACGTTGAGAGGGCTTTAGCTCGCTGTAAAGATGATGCACAAATCGCTGCTTCTCAAGAGGTCTTAAAGGAGGTTAGTCTGATAGAAATCCCCTCTTCTTAAAAGGAATTGCTTGTTCTAAATGGAATTTTACTCTCTGAAAACTGGAAGTTGAAAGTCATCCTAGATGGGTAAAAATATCTGCTTAGAACTGGATCAGAGAAACTTACCTCCCATCCCATGTGATTCATGTGATGGCGGAATATTCAAGACCGCTGGAAATGCATATGACAATTTTACTTCCACATCTGATTTACCAGTTATGAGCTCTCTGGATAGATCATCCCTCTTGTACCCGAGGGAAAATTTCTTTTAACTCATCGAATGGGTTTTTCTTTCTTTGTTTTTATGGCGGTCATCATTGTTCCATACTCAATGGGTTTGTAAAGCCTTCTCCACCAGTTGACTTCCTTATACCCTGATTGATTGATTGAGCGGCCAATAAATCAAGACCAAGTGACATACGAAATTGACTGGGCCGTTCTCACAAACTGCTACTCTCTTTATTTGTAGAAGATGAACTCTAGGTCAAACGCATCCAAGTTGGCGAATGTTTTCCTGCATCACTGTAGAGCTCAATAGCTTCGCTTTTGTGGACCCTGGTTAATAGACAGGTTCTAACCATTTTTAAGGCAATAATTGAGAAAAGGAAGCTTATGCAGAAGTAGAAAAATCTGCAGAGGCTTCACTTCAGAACTTGGTGTTAGGAAATTGATATATCTGGTCGTTGCAAATATGTAGTGAATTTGTATGCTCTATTACACATTCTGTATTCTTAATACTTTTTATTTTTTTTAAATAATCTGCAACTTGTGTATGTGGACTCTGTTTTCAGTTGATTACAAGTGCAACTGCTGATGGGACTCTTTATACACAAGATTGGGATGCTAAGCCTCTTTTCCCTCTACCAGAAATGGATGGACTCAGTAATACGTATGATCACACTGCTTATCTATCCATTGTCATTACTTGTTGCATTATTATGCCTTAATTTTCTTTCAGTTGTTACTACTTCGTTTAGAGTGCCATCATATAATGTACTGTCATATCATTTGAAAATGCTAAATAAAAGTTTTGGAAATTGTAATAATTAGCGCCTGCAACAAGCACCATTAAAAAAAATGCACCTTAAACAGTGACTTAGATGCATCTAAGCCATGCTACTACTATCCACAATCTATTATGATCAAGGATATTATTGCTGTACTCCCCAGACTCGCCAGCACATTGCTTCTTGTCTTTGCTCGACTAGGCGTAGGATGAGTTACTATTTATATTATAAAGCTACATCTTTTCTCTCTCCTAGTCGTAAATCAGATTGGAATAACACATTTCATTCCTGTGCTTTCTCTTTGTTTCTGTTAAGGGGCATTTGTCGGCCTTACATTCCTATACATTGTGGTGGGTTATGATAATTTTCTTCTGATACAGCTTCCAGTCTCCTTTGCCGTTACCGACATTGCGAAGAAGTCCAGGTAGAAGAACCAAAAGTAGGTGGGAGCCTTTACCAGAGGAGAAGTTAGTCAATAAAACGCCGCCTCTTATGACTGAACCAGTAAAATACGGTGGATATATGAACAATAGGAACAGAAAGGTACTAATTATCTAGCTTGACAGTTTGGTCTTTCTCTAATTGGTTTTCAGTTACTGGATGCTTCTTCAGCAGTTAGCTTTTTCATTTTTCTCCTACATATCCAAATCACAATTGTTTATGCTGCTTAATTGTTGCTACAAGTTAGTGGCATATTTCCCATTTCTCGATTCTGGAGTGATTTCATTGGTTGCTTTGATGTGAGAAGCCGGTTTTAGCGCATGTATGATCATTCTGATTTTTTTTTTTATATATTGAAAAGAACGTTTTGCAGCCATTTGTTGGCAATTCGGAGAGCAAGGATGGGTTGAACACCACAAACTTTTTGGCTGTGGAGCAGAAAACTGCTAGTTTTCAGAAGCCATTCAAGAGACAGCGTCTGTCCAACAGCCTGACAACAGCTGATAATGGTGATGCATCAAGTGATAGTGACAAGGAATCGAGCTTGACAGCCTTTTATTCGGGTGCAATAGGTTTTTCCAATACACCAGAGGAAAGGAAGAAACGTGAGAGCCGCTCTAAACGTTTTGAAAAAGCGCATGGAAGTCGTGTAGAGATCAGCCATTTTAAACCAAAATCTGCTGGATCTGCAAATCTATACGCTAGAAGGGCAACTGCCATTGTGCTAAGCAAAACCTTTGAAGAAAGTGGCAGCAAAGCTGTTGAAGATATTGACTGGGATGCTTTAACTGTCAGGGGGACGTGTCAGGAAATTGAAAAACGTTATTTGCGTCTCACCTCTGCACCTGATCCCGCCACTGTGAGTTTGGCATCTTATTTGTAGTGCTCTATAATTTGTATAGAAATGACCATCTTTGGGGAGTACAATTAATTGCGGAATTCCTGATCTCTTACAGGTAAGACCAGAAGAAGTTCTGGAGAAGGCTCTCGCTATGGTTCAGAACTCACAGAAGAACTACCTCTATAAATGTGATCAGCTGAAGTCCATTCGTCAAGACTTAACTGTTCAACGGATTCGCAATAAGCTTACGGTCAAGGTACTCAATTCTTAGTTTTGCTGCATATTAGCATAATGGTTCGTGATTATTTTCAAATTCTGTTTCTTTCCCTACCTTGAAAAACATAATTTCATGCAGAAAAATTAGATGGCCCTGGACATTCCTCCCAAACACAATGCGTTCTCATTGTAATCTTGTTTGGATGTGAATGTCACCCAATATTTGTGTTAATTTGCAGGTCTATGAAACTCATGCTCGCTTGGCTCTTGAAGTCGGTGATCTGCCAGAGTATAACCAGGTTATTGTTTGATACAATGAGATTAGCTTAATGTATGCTATAGTGCTATTTCATTATCTGCCAGAGTATAACCAGGTTGTTGATTGAGACAATGAAATTAGCTAAATTTATGCTATTGTGCTATTTCATTATCCCATAAGAAGAGGTTACTAAGGGACTAGGATTAATTTTCAAAATACCTTTTAGTTTGAGAAATGTATTCGCAATATCCGTAACAATTAGTGGTCGACTTTTGAGGTGTATAGAGCAAAGAAAGCCGACTACTCTGTATAGGGTCATCATGTAGAGGACATTAGAGATATCTGATGTATTAACTAGTCCCTATCTGTAAGTCATCTATCAGTCTTATTTTATTGATGTCGTTTGTATTTCCAGTGCCAATCACAGTTGAAGACTCTTTATGCAGAAGGGATTGAAGGTTGTCATATGGAGTTTTCTGCTTACAACTTGCTTTGTGTCATCTTGCATTCGAACAACTACAGAGATCTCTTATCCTCGATGTCAAGGTCGGTGATCTATGACAACCATGGATGGTGTTAGGAGGAAGAGTCTATAAAGTTTTTGCTTGTTTCTTAGGATGGGCATGCTCGTGCTCTCCTCTTATTGCCTTGAAACCTAAGATGTAGTTTTCCTGTATCATCAGATTGTCGAATGATGCAAAGAATGATAAAGCTGTAAAGCATGCTCTTGCAGTCCGCAGAGCCGTGACATCAGGGAACTATGTCATGTTCTTTGGACTGTACAGGACAGCGCCTAATTTGAACTCGTGCCTCATGGGTAGGTGAAATGTATGTTTGTTTTAATGAATTATCTATATGAAATGCTATGGGCTTAACAACAATGTACCTGCAGATTTATTTGTTGACAAGATGCGGTATAAGGCTGTGAATTGCATGTGCCGGTCGTATCGACCAACAGTTCCTGTTTCTTATGTTGCAAAGGTTCTGGGCTTTGCATATGCTTCATCTGCGAATGGGGGAAGTGACGAGAAGGATTCAGTTGGATTAGAGGAGTGTGTGGATTGGTTAAAAGCTCATGGTGCATGCCTTGCTGCAGATAACAATGGAGAGATGCAGCTCGATACAAAGGTACTGAAACTGTTACCAACTCTCTGTGTACTGAATCTAGACTAATTCTCTAGTGAGATCCAAAAAAAGTTCTTCCTTTGGTTTGGCTTTGTAAAAAGAACCTTCGTGGTTGTTAATCAACCAGCCTTGCCTAACTAAAGCCAATTCTCTCTCAGTTCAGCGCACGTGGCTCGTGCTTATCTGCCGAGCTTAGTTTACTCTTCGTTGTTTGCAGGCTTCCTCTTCCAGTCTCTACATCCCAGAACCCGGGGATGCAGTGGCTCATGGAGATTCTACTCTTGCCGTCAATGATTTTCTGACGCGGGCGTCCTCATAGAGAAGTTGACTGCGATGGTATGCTACCGGTGCATCCATTGGAAGAAATGGCGTGGACAACCGTGCCGTTCTTGACCCCCTTTTATGTATAACAGTGAGCCCATGTTTATTTTTTTTTATCTTTTTGGAGCAGCTCGAGATTCTAACGAGACAGGGCTGGCGAGGCATCACCTGTAACTGTGGAGAGATGAAGCAAGGGGGATAGAATTGAAGAAGGGGGGGGGGCTAAGAGATTCTTGTTGTGCAATGGGATTTTGTCGGTGGAAAAGAAAATTGTATATTCCTCATAAAAAGGTGCTCCGCCCCGGATCAAATGGACGAGCGCTCAACATTTTAGGGGTTTTAGCATCCGAGCCGAGCGGAGCTCCTCCTGTGTAACATATATGGATTCATTCTTTTTATAACAGATATTGGGAGGTAGAAGATGGAGGAACATCGGTGAGGATACATGTTGTACACTCGCTTTCAAGATGACAATTTTGCTATACCTTTGCCAGCTTAATTTGGTTTTGTTGTGGTTGGTAAATTTTGTTCGGTCCTCTCGCGACGCGAGCAACTATATAAGCGTCCCGATGAATTTGTCGGGCAAAACAAGGGGATGGCGAATCTCGGGCCTTTCTGATTCCGAGAGCGCTCGATGAGGATACATCGTCTATCATCGGGCAAGAGGACTAGAGGATCTTATTTTCAAACTCTCTTGACGTGAGCATGATATGCACAACCATGCCTTGTGCTTGCATGATTATCTTCTCAAAAAGATCACCTTTGAGTTCTTGGAAAGCTATCATATAATCTTACAGTATCAACTTCAATGGAAGTTTCACTTTTCACGATCAAAGTCATCTTCTTTAACTGGTCATCGCCTCAAGCATTTACTGAACATGGCAAGAGCAGCAGCTCACAAAGAATTTACAAAGCGAAAAAGGGAATGTTTAGTGCAAAACACAGGAGAAACGAAGAAACGACCGCCACCGCCCCTCGCCGTCGCCGGCGGCGGGGGCCGTCATTTATCGGGAGATTGAGGCCAGACGCTCACGCTCTCCTTCTCGTACTTCGCGTACAGAGCCGCCACCGCCACCACGGAGTACACCTGGATCAGCACGATCGCCGGCGTGTGGTAGCTGATCACGCTCTTCCCCGTCGCCAGCTCCACCAGCAGCAGCGCAGCCAGCCCCAGGGCCGCGATCCGCCCGTTCATCCTCTCGCTGTAGGGGCTGAACCCGAACTCCACCTTCAGCCCCTCCGACACCGGCTCCCTCAGCGCCGCCGGGGGCAGGTACATCCCGCGGCCGGGCGGGGACGATCCTCCCTTCGACTTCTTCACCTTGCGGGCCTCCGCCTTCTTGCCGGTCCCGCTCCGGTACCGGAGCCGGACCTGCGAGAGCCGGCTCTCGAACGGGTCGTCGCCGTCGCCGCCGCCGCCGTCCCCTCCGTCGGGGTCGGTCGCGGCGGGGGCCGCCTCGGAGGGGGGAGGGGTGTCGGAGCCGGTGGCTCGGGCGGGGAAGAAGAGGCGGCGCTTCGGCTGCGCGTGGGGCGTACGCGGGGAGGGGGTGGAGAGTCGGAGGGAGGAGGAGGGCAGGGAGGAGGAGGGCAGGGTGGTGGTGGCCATGGCTGCTGTGAGTTGCTTTGTTTTGGTTTCAAATGGATAAGTATTTTATTTTATATATTTTTATTTCTTTGTTTATATTATTTTTTAGCATTATATTTTTTTTTTGATGTGTAATATACTTTTTGTGGCCTTCGAAATTTTTTTTTTGTAATTTTTTTTATGACCAAAAAGAATATTATATATTTTTTTGCTGTAATAATAAGTCATCTGAGGCTAGCAATCGTCCACGTAATATATAAAGGAAGGAGAATCCATTGGTGGTGAGATCGCCTCCTTTTGAGGGCGGGCGTGCGTGCTTGGGTATATATTATCGGGCTGCTAAGGCTGCGCATGACAACGATTCTGTGCTCGGGAACAGATTCTGCTGAGAAATGATTCTTTTTTATTCTGTGCCCGGAATTGATTCTGAGCACTTTAAAGCGTTTGTTAACTGCCCAAAATTCCATCCCTGGAATAGAAAAAGAACATAAATGCATTTGGTAACGCCACAAATTTTTTTTTTATTAATAATATTTTAAAATATTTTAATAATTCTTTCTTTTTTTCTTTTCCTCCTTCTTGGCCATGGCCTGCTCGCCGGCCATGACCGGTAAAATATTTTTTTATTAATAATATTTTTATTAAAAGTATTTTTTCTTTTTTTTGGCCATGGCCTGGTCATCGGCCATGACCGGTAAAATATTTTTTTTATTAATAATATTTTTATTAAAAATATACATTTTTATTTTTTTGGGCCATGACCTAGTCGCCGGCCATGGTCGGTAAAATAATTTTTTTATTAATAATATTTTTATTAAAAATATACATTTTTATTGTTTTGGGCCATGGCCTAGTCGCCGGCCATGGCCGGTAAAATATTTTTTTTATTAATAATATATTTTTATTAAAATATTTTTATTAAAAATATATATTTTTATTTTTTTTGGCCATGGCCTGGTCGCCGGCCATGGCTGGTAAAATATTTTTCTTTTTTGTGGCCATGGCCTGTAAAATATTTTTTTATTAATAAATTTTTTTATTAAATTTTTTAAATTAAAAATATACATTTTTATTTTTTTTGGCCATGGCCGGTAAAATATTTTTTTTATTAATAATATTTTTTATTAAAATATTTTTATTAAAAATATATATTTTTTCTTTTTTTGCCATGGCCTGGTCACCGGCCATGGCAGGTAAAATATTTTTTTTATTAATAATTTTTTTTATTAAAATATATATTTTTCTTTTTTTTGGTTATGGCCTGGTCGCCGGCCATGGCCGGTAAAATATTTTTTATTTTAATAATATTTTTTATTAAAATATTTTATTCTCGTCAAATCCGGCGAGGGCGGTCCTCAGGTCGAACATTAGAAGCTACATTAAAAACCAAGAAAAGGAAGAAGAAAAAAAAATTGATTCTCAAAATTGTTCCCAGAATCAAGAAGCTACTTTTTTTTTATTCTTGAAAACTGATTCTGGGAACAATTTTTGACAAAATTGTGCCCAGAATCAAAAAATATAACAAACGCATTTCTGTTCCCAAACTGATTCTGGGAACAAAAGAACAGAAAAAAACACTGTTTGACAAGTTGTCATGCGCAGCCTAAAGAAAATTTAGTCATTAGCTATGGAAATTGGAAAGTAATTACATTTGCTTTGGATGTGCGTGACTTTTTCCCTTGTTTTTTCTAATGTCAAAAGGGAAACAAATATCAAGATGCAACCGGAAAATTTGAAAGAGTGAAGGGAAGAATAAGTAATTGAGGGCGTGTACGTGCCTACAATAAAAGGGGAAATTTCAGATAGAGTCTCGAAACATGGATGCTTTCTTTAAAGAGTTTTCAAAGTGAACTTTGAACGGTAAATTAGTTTGAAAACGCACCTTCGAGTCATTGACTGGCTAAGTCTTTACTAGTTGAGGCATTTTCGTCCAAAGCCCTCTTTTCATTTTCTTTTCCTTTCTTTTTTTTTTCTCTCCTTTTCTTCCTCCGAGTTGGTGCTTGATCTCACTAGATGTCATGAGGTCGGCGATAAGTCTCTATACTAGCATTAGGGGTGAGCATGGTTCCAGGTTCTACCCTTAAACTTGAAAACCTGATCGGTGGGAACCTGTAGGTTCTAGGTTTCAAGGTATACATGGTAGGTTATAGGTTCCAAAAATTGGGAAACCTGTTTCAGCGGGTAGATTCCAAGTTCTAGGTAGGCGAAACCTAGAATCTGAAACCTAAATAAGATTTTTATGTTTTTTCTTGGTTTATGTCTTCACGTGATCCTGCGTTGTTTCATGGCGTTAGATGATGGGTGTATAATCTGGAACCACTAATTTGAGCTTTCATTTTATGACTTGTTAATATTTCATATTATTTGTGTGTCTAAATATAAGTTGTGGTCAGTGGATCATTACAGCAAGTGGTAGTCATTAAAGATAATGATTCACTGCAATTATTCAATTAATAATACAGGTGGAACCTAGATAGAACTTGAAACCGACCCTAGAACCTGTGATAGGGTAGGTTCCAAGTTCTAAAAAATGAAGAACTTATTTTCATGGGCAAGTTCCACTAAGTGGAACCAGTACGGAACATGGAACCGCTCACTCCTAGTATCAATTCACGTAATAACTTCTCAGTTTAATTGTATTTATTTGAACCGTAATGCTAGGAAAACTAGTTTTTTGTATTTTCTTTGGTGAATGACAAGCTTATTTAGTATTATTGTGTTCATTTTTGTTTTGTTTAACTAAAAATGAAATAAATAAATAAAAAGAACCTGTTAGACCTTGGAACCTATCCTAGAACCTATGACAGGTTAGGTTTTAGGTTCTAAGTTCTGATAGGTAGGTTCCAGGTTCCAAAAAATGAGGAATCTGTACTCGATGGTAGGTTCCAGGTTTTAGGTGAAACCTGTAAGGAACCTAAAATCGCTCACCTCTAACTAGCATCACCTACAGCTGCTCCTCCATCTAGGCTCGGCAACGCTCATGGTCGTTCTCTCTATTCTCGCTCACAGCAAGAGGTGGCCACGGTTCGGAACCGACCGGTTCCGGTTCGGACCCGGTGGTTCCGGTTCGTGGCCAAGTGTGAACCGGAACCGGCCGGTTCCGATTTTTTTTTTCTGTTTTTTTTCTTTTCCTTTTCCTTTTCCTTTTCTTTTTTTTTTCTTCCTCCGCGGCCGGCCATAGCCGGGGCCGCGAGGCGGCCCTCGCCGGCGTCGGGCGAGGCCGGCCCTCGCCTAACGTCGGCGAGGTCGAGCCTCGCCAGTTGCAGGCGAGGCCGAGCCTTGCGGCGTCGGGCAAGGCCGGCCTCGCCCGGCCCATGCGAGGCCGGCCTCGCCCAACCCGAGCGAAGGCCGCCCTCGCCCGGCCGCCGGCGAGGGCCCCCTCACCCGACGCCGGCGACCTCCGGACCGGCCCCGGCCATGTCCGGCCGCGGAGGAAGAAAAAAAAATTAAAATATAAATTATAATTTTAAAAAACAGAAACAAGGAAAAAAGACAAAAGAGAAAAAGGAAAAGAAAAAGAAGAAAAACAGAAATGAAAATAAAAAAAATTAAAAAAATACTATTCTTGTGATAGAACATTATTCAATATAAATTGTGATTAAAATGTAAATTGTACTCAAATTTGAGGACAAAAAGACAAGAGAGAAAGAGAGGGCTTCAACTTAATAAATTATCATTAAGCACATTACAATTCGTTACAACGATCTTAAAAAAAAAGGAGTACAATATATATACCCTAAAATTATACCAAAACCTAAGCATTCCGTGCGCAGGGGACCAAAGGTCACATATCGTCGGATTATATTTTGGTTTCCCTAAGCTCACGTGGGCGTACCCGGTATGAGAAACAAGAGCTCCCGAAATATTTGCCAACTCCAATAGTTCTTTTACCCTCAATCGTCACTACCCGTTCCAGTACCGATACTGGTAGAGGTAGTATCTCCGTCGTTAAAGAATTCGGATTCATTATTCCGATCTATCTCTTGTTGCCGGTATTGAGCCTTCGTCCAATCAGCAACACAAGCTTGCATCTCCACTGATTCTGGATCTAATCTTGAACGATGTTCGTTCAAAATATTACCTCCGGCACTGAATGCTTGTTCGACCGCAACTGTGGAACAAGGGGTTGAAAAAATCTGTTTTGCAATAAGAGAAAGGATTGGGTATTGGCTTGCGTGCCTCTTCCACCAATCCAAAATAAAAAAATCTGTACCACCTTCGGCTTCAGTAAACTCAAATAAAATGGTTAGATAACTCTCTAATTCAGAAATATTTCCTATTACTCCCTTTTGTTTTTTTTGTCTATGTAATAAAAGTTGGTACCCTCTACTAATTTTACCTGTATTGTCATTTTGTATCTCCGTAGATTGAGAAGATCTAATATCACCTAAATTATATTTAGTATAAAATTCATTATATAATTCTATTACTACGTTTTTAACCTCACGTACTATGGTTGTAACATTTGTCACATCATAATGTAAACATTGATAATACGCACGCAAAAAATCATTTAAGCCATCTAATTTGCAACGCGGATAAAAAACATAAGCAACTAAATAAATCATGGGAATTTCACTATAATAATGAAGCCATTTCATTTTCATTGCAACTATAGTATGTTGTAATTCAACATCATTTTCATATTCATCAAAAGTTCCGACAATATTAGTACACTCTACTAAAAATAAATGTGTAGTAGGATAATAAACAACAGACAAAGTATAAGTTGCATCATCAAAAACCTTTAAAAGATCTAAAATTTTTTGGCAAATATGCCACTCTTGTGGGTATAAATTAATCTGGGGTATATTATTAGAAATGAATGCACATAATAAATCTTTATATGCTAAAGATTTATTAAGCAAGTGGAAAGTAGAATTCCAACGAGTTGGAACATCTCTTGGAAATCTTTTTGGCTTTTTGCCATTATCTCTACAAAATTTACCCAATTCTTTCATTTTTTTGGGATGTTTCCATAAAAATTGAATCGCCGTTTTTATTGGTTGAAGAAAAATATCAAGAGTTTTCAAACCATCTTGTACACATAAATTTAAAACATGACAAGCACATCTAATGTGAAAAAATTTTCCGCCAAAAGCGGGTTTACAAATATTTTCTAACTCGGCAATTGAAGCGGTATTTGCTTTGCGGCATTATCAAAACCAATTGAAAAAATTTTGTTAAGCAAATAATATTCTTCTAAAACTTGCCTAATTATTCTATAAATATTATTTGCCGTATGATGATCATCGAAAACTCTAAATGCAATAACTCTTTTTTGAATAGTCCACTCGTCATCTATCCAATGACATGTTATGCCCATGTAAGAATGATTTTGCCAATGATCACTCCAAATATCACTACCTATATGCACGCATCCATTAAATTGCATAAAAAAGTTTTATAAATCATTTTTTCCATTTTTGTAAAGATCTTTAATTACTCGTTTAATTGAATTTCTAGGAACACGTTTTGCTTATGGAGCACATGCTTTTTGTACAAATTCATTAAAACCAAATCTTTCTCCAAAATTAAATGCTAAATGCTCAACGGAAATAAATTTGCCTAATTCTTCCTTATAAGTTTTTTCATTAAAACGAAATAAAGGGGAAGTGTTAGGATTGACGTACCCGGAAATTTGTTGTTGCCCGATATCGATTCCCGTTTCGGTTGGATGTTTGCTCATAAGATGTCGTTTAAATGTTCCATATCCTTGTCCACCTGTATATTTATATATTTTTCCACAATATTTACAAATTATATCATACCTTTTTTGACCGATATCAAACATTTCCATTTTCGTGAAGTGATTCCAAATGTCAGATGTAAATTCCCGTTCCGCTTCCTTTATTGTAGATATTTCAGCAGGAGGATGAAAACTTTCTTGCGTCGGGACGTGCTCCACATCGCGAAAAATGTTGATTTCATCATCTTGAAAATCTGCATATTCACGAGGATCAAAAGAATGATGGGATTCCGTCGCGATATTCTTACCTTTGCCAGTTGGCACTCGACTTCCACTTGCCATTTTTCGAATGGATTGAGAGAATTGAGCGGATTAATTGGGAGAATTAAGAAAGAATTGCGTGGATTGAGAAAATTTCAGAGAATTTGAGAGAATTTCGAGTATTGAGAAAATTTGAGACTTGAGAGAAGAGAATTGGAGAGAATTTGAGAGAATTGTGTGTGTATTATGAGAATTTGAGAGAATTTATAGGAAAAAAATAGAAGAAAATTTAGAATTAAAAAAAATAAAACATAACCGTTGCAAAATTGCAACGGTTATGTGTTTTTTTTTTTTTTATATAAACGCCCGTTGGGGCGTAGCCGTTGCCCCAACGAGCCGCAAGGTGCAAGCCCGTAGCAGGGCCTGCAAGTCTGCAGGCCCTGCTGCGGAATTTTTTTTTTTTTTTTGGGTTTGGCCGTTGCCTGGCAACGGGCTGCTGCAGCATGGCCTGCAATGCAGGCTGTGATGCAGCCTGCCTGCAGCTTTTTTTATTTTTTTATTTTTTTTTATTTTTTTCGCCGGTTCCGGGCCGGTTCAAATTTTTCTGGAACTGGAACCGGGCCCGTATGCCACGGGCCGGTTCCGGTTCCGAACCGCGGGCCCGGTCAACGGGCTGGGCCCGGGTTTGACCGGGCCGGTTCTGGGCCAAAATCGGCCCGTGGCCACCTCTACTCACAGCCATATCCGCCGTATATTCCAACTCCTAGCCAAGGATATAGTTGCTCAAGCTTTGAGCTCTTGACCATGGCAGCCACGGCCACTCTAGTTTCGAGTTCACGGCTATGGCCGCCCTCTCTCTTAGCTCCAATCTACGGTTGCTCTAACTTTGAGCTCAAGGCGTCTATGGCCACTCCCACACTTCTCACTTGTGGCTTTCTAACTCCTCTCACTCGTGCCCCTTTAGCCTCTCTCACTCGAGGCCATGATCACTCGAACTCCGAGCTCTCGGCCATGACCATGGCCACTTTGAGAGCTTCGACATATTGCAGCCAAAATTCAAGCAAATCGACTGAGCCGAGCCCCGACATCCCGACCATGGAGGTGGCAGACCTCATGTAACCACATAACTATTGTTATGTGAGGCTACCGACCTCCACTAGAGTGAATCAAAGAGGGTCACGACTTCCACGGACATAGGTCGCAAGTCCACGCAGATAGAAAAAGAGATGAAAACATAACAGGTAAAACCCAAACAATGCTCACTTCATAATACAATAAAAAAGGAGTCGTGTCTTCCGCCAAACCTATCATGAGGATCAATCTTTTCTTGTGGTTGGGGAACTATAACCATGAACATCTATATCAACATTTAATTAGTTTTTCATGCTAATGACGTTCGTAACTTAGACCTCACCAATTAAAAGGACAGAAGGAGAATATATTCCATAAACAAATCTGTGCTGACCTCACCTATTAAGTTCGGGTTAATTAAAAAAAAAAACACCAACTTTAGGTCGAGGGACAATTTTGACCCGAACGTTTTTTTGTTTCATAAAAAAGCATCAATTTTAGGTCGAAGAACAATTATGGCCCGAACTTTTTTTTGTCCCGTAAAAAAGCATCAATTTTAGGTCAAGGGACAATTCTGGCCCGAACTTTTTTTTGTCTCGTAAAAAAGCACTAACTTACACTTAAATCCCAAATTTGACCCTTATTGACTTAAAACTATTGATTTTCCAACTTGACTATTCCACCTTAGCAATAAATCCACTTGACTTGCTGACTGGATTTAAAGCATTATTCATTGTCTTATTCTCTGAACCACAGCTTGAAGAATAACGGTGAAATTGTTCATCTCCTTCACTTCACCGGCAAATAAAAAATATCTCCAGATTGAATCTTTCTGGCCAAACTTCGTCATTTTGTCGTAATCTGAAGCTGTAGACCACCATCCGTCGACAGACGCCATGGAAGAGATTCGCCAGGCTCACCACCATAACTTTTTTTCTCAAACAAGGGTTACTTCAGACAGAAAGTCAATGAGGGACTAAATTTGGGATTTAAATAAAAGTTGGTGCTTTTTTACGAGACAAAAAAAAGTTCGAGCAAAAATTGTCCCTCGACCTAAAGTTGGTGCTTTTTTATGTGACAAAAAAAAGTTCGGGCCAGAATTGTCCCTCGACCTAAAGTTAGTGCTTTTTTTATGGAACAAAAAAAAGTTCGGGCCATAATTGTCACTCGACCTAAAATTGATGCTTTTTTTTTGAATTAACCCGCAGTACCTATACCACAAGAAACAAGTACACAGACGCAGAGTTTTTTTTTTTGGTAAGGTGTACACAGACGCAGAGTTAGGCACAAGGAAAACTGAAATCTCAATATAGCACCCAATTCCAACCCGCAAATAGCTGGTTTGGAGTCGAAAAACTCGTTAAACTTCATCGACAGAGAGGCACCAGTTCGAGTCGATTCGAACGATTCGAGGCTTCAATTTGTGTAGGCAGAGGTGCGTACGGGTTAAACCAACCACCACGTGCGTGCTACTAATACTACTAACACCATTCCCGATTTCGCCTCGCACACTTGACTTTTCTTTTAATAGTTGCTGGTGAAGTTGGACGCGAAACGGATGAACGCCCCGCATCGGAGCTCGAAACTGATGGCTTCTGCATCAGTCGAGGACTCCGCGGCATGTGCTGTGACCGAGCGAGGATGACGTGCGTGCATAAAGGAGCGACGCTAGATACTTCACTACCGCCATCGCGCGATAATATCGCGAAACTTATGAAGCTGAGACGAAGACACGCAACCCCAGCACAAGTCGGAAGGGACATAAATCAGATGCAAAACGGGTCACCCAAGGGGGTCTACACATTAGACATGATGCGTATGGACAACCTGATCATGCCCGTATATTATTAACATATGTGCTTTATTAGTAGGTGCGATGGTGATTGGTTTTGGGCATCTAGTTTTCTAGCGACGTGTGAATCTTGCGCATGATTTCTTTACTTCATGGACAATAGTGTAACCGCCTACCGTGTGGTCCTCGGTCAAATTTCCGAGATTTGAGTATTACCAGCTGTTGACATATTAATAGCTGTTGTGCACATAAGTTCTGTAAGCGAATCAGGGGAAATCACATCTACATATAGACACCCACGTATCTATATATGTTTACCATATGTACATATATGGTCACACGGAAGTGGCAGTGCAAGTAGGGTTGTCAACGAGGCCCGACATGACCTGAAACCGAAACACGTTTTCCTCCATTGACTCTTCGAATGCGCGAGGTGTTTACACACATAGACGGACGCATACAGTTTTCGTGACTACTTTTCTATTCTATGATAAATCATGTAACCACCGATCTCCTGATTTGATCTCATTTACTGTAGAGCATGACGGAATAATCCGAAATGATGTTGTGTTTTGTGCAATGGAACAGACATTAGCATATATGCCACAGTTTTACATCCATCAAACCCTCTACAGACGTCTTCGAATTCGAGCCCAACTTCATTTCATAACAACAACAACAAAAAAGAAAAAGAAAGAAAGAAAACCCCAAGGCGAAAAAAGAATAAGAACAAAAAATTAGAAAAACCAGGGCGCTTCCCGCCAAATTTGAATCTAGGCAATCGGAGAAGAGAATGTCCATGCAAATCCTTACCTCCTCTTGTTCTTGCTTCCCAGCAACAGGGACAAGTAGAACAAGATGCGGAACAGGAAGCCCCACGCCACCGTCACCCACAGGCAGCTCCACTTGCTCAGGTCCGTCACCCCCTGCTGCTGCAGGATGTCGGTCCCCGTCGTCAGGCACGTCGAGGCCGTGATCTTCGTCCCCAGCGTGTTGCTGATCGTCTGCAGCAGCGTCAGCTTCACCGACTCCGGCACCGCCCCGAGCGGGGTGCTGTCGAAGATCTGGACCCCCTTCACGAAGCACTTGGCCGGGTCCTGGAACTCGTTCTGCAAGACCCCCTCGTAAGGGTACTTCACTAGGGACAGGTAGTGGAACCAGATCCAGTAGGGCGGGATGCGGTCGCGGTTGATGAAGAAGCCGCTGAAGAGGAGGAAGTAGGCGAGGATCGCCACCACGATGGTGTACCCGAGCATCACGTGCGGGACGACCCCCGATAGGAAGGTCACGAAGGAGCTGCCCGCCCAGAAGGAGGCGAAGATGATGAAGAAGAAGAAGAAGAAGCCCGAGAGTCCCCCGTCGAGCCCCACCGCGAAGAAGGTCGTGGCCGAGAAGGCGAGCGAGAGGAACACCAGCGCAGGCAGCGCGGTGAGCGAGCGGGACAGCACGTAGGATGAACGCCGGTACGCGTTGTAGGCTGTCTCCCTCATGAAGATGTACCTCTCCTGGAGGAACACGGGGAGCGCGTCGGCGCAGGTGTAGAAGGTCGTGGACATGGCGAAGGCGAAGAAGCCGAGCCGCTCCTGGACACCCTTGGGGGAGTTGTCCAGCCGCCAAAACATGGTGGCGAGGATGAACCCCGTGACGAGGACTGCGCCGAGCCGGATACCGAAAAGCTCCGGCATCCGCCGCGAGTTGGTCACGGACCGCTTGGACAGGACCGCTATCTCGATCCAGAAGGGGTTGGCGAAGGTGGGTACCATGGAGGTCTGGCTCGCGTCGTTCGTTGCGCCGGAGACCAGCTTCCCCCGCGAGATGCTCGCGCTGATCGCCTCCTTCAGGGACAGCCCGTTCCGGTCGGGCTCCGAGTTCCGGCTACCGTGCTTCATGCTCTGCCACGACTTGTTGAACTCGACAAGGCTCTTGGTGCCGCCGGGGGATCCCTCGAGCTCCCGGATCAGATCGAGGGCGAACTCAGTCCGATTCTCGTTTTCAGGGATTGGGTGACCGAACTCCGAAAAGAAGAGTGGCAGGCTCGCGGGGGAGCCGCTGTACACGGTCTGGCCGCGGGAGAGGAAGAGCAGGCGGTCGAGGAGGCCAAGGATGCGGTAGCTCGGCTGGTGCACCGTCATGACCACGATGCTCCCGCTCTGCGCGATCCGCTGCAGCACCTTCACCACCATGTAGGCGCTCGTCGAGTCGAGCCCCGAGGTGGGCTCGTCGAGGAAGAGGATGATCGGGTCGTGGATGATGTCAATCCCGATGGAGACGCGCCGCCGCTCCCCGCCAGAGACGCCGCGGTGGCCCTCGTCGCCGATCACTGTCTTCGCCGCGTTCCGAAGGCCCAGCTGGTCGATCAGGGCCTGCACCCGCATCCGCTTCTTCGACTTGGACAGCGTCCGGGGGAGGCGGAACTCGGCTGCGAACATGAGCGTCTCCTCCACCGTGAGCATCGGGAAGAGGAGGTCATCCTGCATCACGTACGCCGATATCACCTTCAACAGCCTCGACTCGAGCGGCTCCCCGTTCAGCGTGACGCTCCCCTTCAGGCTCCCCTTCGCGATCCGGTTCGCGAGCGCGTCGACGAGCGTCGACTTCCCGGACCCGCTGGCCCCGAGGACGGCGAGGATCTCGCCGTCACGGGCCTCCCCGGAGATGTCGTTGAGCAGGACCTTGGTCCGGGAGAAGAGGCTCTCCCCGGCGACGGGCTCCTCGACGGCGACGGAGCCGAGCCGGCTGCGTTGCCGGGGGAGGAGCGAGGAGAGGGCGACCTTGCGGCGGACCTTCACGCTGTAGGTGAGGTTGTTGAACTGGAGGACGAAGGGGAGGGAGCGCGGCTCGAGGCCGGCGCCGCCGAGGTCGACGTCCAGGGCGTGGTCGTGGACGGGGGTCTCGCCGCCGTCGCCGGTGGCCTGCTTGCGGACGTCGCCGACGCGCTTGAGGAGCTGAGCGAGGGTCGGCGAGGGGGAGGGGGCGGCGGAGCGGGGGACGACATGGAGCTCCATGGCGGAGGCGGCGGCGGCGGCGTTGCCGTTGGAGAAGAAGGGGCGGGTGTCTGCGGCTGGAGAGAGGTACGCTGCTGCGACGGCGCGAGGCATAGGAGAAGAAAGGGATGGATCGACCCCCCCTCGTTTTATATACACGCACGCATTCGAGGAGCGGGATGGGAGTGTGGTCATGAAGAAGAAAGAACACCGACCGTCGCGCGGAGGCGGATGCGGGGTTAACGGCGTGACGGGCAAGGGCTCACGGAGATGACGGCGTTAGAGAGGGGGGGGGGGGAGAGAGAGGGGGTGTCGTTTTTTGGGGGGTGGAAAGAGGAGAGAGAGCACATATATACATGCCACATTCACGTGGGAAGTGTAGAGATAGAGATAGAGATAGAGAGAGAGAGACAGTGCATGAGGGGGTGGTGGTGGTGTTGTTGATAGCACAGTGTTCCTTGGGGGTGGGGGGAGGTGAGAGAAAGGTGACCTACATCCTCCTAATCTCATGTCTGTACGTCTTTCTCTTCTCCCATACGAGGCCCGCCACACGTGGCGTGATGGGTGTCGGGAGACTTTTCGGGGGTCGATTTCTTACAGCCTTTTTTCCTGTTCTTTTTTGGCTTTCTCTTTTTTTGGGTGTGTGTGTGGGAAAAGGTTGGTGAGGTGTTGATCAAACTGGGGGGGTCGTCTATGTGACTCTCTCCATCCATCCAAGCGAGTCTCTAATAATGGGCGAGTGAGCAGTGATACAATCTCTCACAATTTGCCAAAAATTTCCCTTCTTGTGGTTCAACGTCAATTTGCTGTGGTTATGCGGTCCGCCTAATAATTTCCTGTAATTATGTGTTTTTTGGGTGAGGAGGATTCGACATATGATACGAACGATGCGGGGCCAACGCGTAGCTCTTTTTTTGGGCATATCGATCGTTGTGGGCATTGCCAGCTTCTGAAAGTTATAGCTCAGTAGAGATTTAGCTAACGTCAATTAATCCAGCGAAGGAATGAGAATGGACATATCGCTAAAATAAATAAGCCAACACGAGCGCTCTCTTTCCTTGCTTGTTTTTGGCCCTCTTTCTCTTTCGGGGGATGCCTTAAGGAGCATGGCGATTTTGTTCGTGGAAGGTGCGAGGAATTTTAACCGACAGATTGGAGCACACGGCGCCACGACAGAAGATACGACGTAAGCAGGAAGCAAATTATAGATGCAAAGTGTGGTCGGAGCCTTTCCTTTGTTTTTGGCTTCCTAGGTTCTAATTTGATGTGAGGCGATGTGAAAAATATCTCAGCGAGCAATTATCGAATCCTAATGAATGTACCGAGTTGTGATTTTGGCGAATGCATCGATGTCATTGATAGATGAAGCTTCTTTGGTTTAGGATTGAGTAAAGAATCGTGTCCCATTGGCAGTGCAACTTTTTCCGATCTCCTACACCTCTGCCTAGTTTTTTTTTGGGTCGAACCTACACCTTTTCCTAGTTGAACATGTTCTTTTTGTCGCCCTTAGTTGAACTAGTTTAACGGCTACGAAGACCCGGGCGGTCATCTATTTCTCTTTTCCTTCGGCGATAAAACCCTATCTTTTATGAGACAACTTCGAACATTTTGTCTTGTCTAGTTTCGTCCCGTCCGTTCCCTCTCCTCTCAACCAAAATTGAACGCTTATCCATGCCTAAATTAATCCTCGAGGGTATGGAAATGATGAAAAAGGAGGAACTGGAACACAAAAGGGCTGGCTAAAAAACAGAAAAAGTTCGAGGGGAAAAGGCACGATTCAATCAATATTATAAGGAGACCAACTTTAGAGTCGACCATATGGACCTTCTAACCTAAAAAACCTAAAGGAAGTGAATGGTTTGGTATTATTCTAAATGTTGCATGGAATCGAGGCAACTCAAAGACCCAAGGGAATCCCAACCGTCCTCATTCGGGGATTAGGTCGTTCCTTTTAAATTAAAGATGGCAAATAGATCTCGAATGGGTTCACCTTACCATCTAATGAGGGAAGTCAGCAGCAGCAGCAGCGGCAGAAGAATATGAGCCTTGGAACTGAGAAAATTGAAATGGAAAGTAGTGGACGTTTTTGTTAGTTGATGCAGATGGGCCACTCCTTACCCAACTGCAAGCTAACTATGACACCTTAATAAATACAGAATCGAAAGTCAAAACTAACTTCATGGGATCATACATGTGCGCAGGCCATGGCCATTTCTTTCGTTTCTAGGCCCCTTCTGAGTCAAGCCTCCTGACATCACTCTTCCAGAAAACCACATGCTTTCGCTTTTTTCACATGCACGGATATTTTCGGGAAGCCGATATTATCCATCTGTTACGCACATCGCTCTCTCTCTCTCTCTCTCTCTCTCTCTCTCTGAGGGATAAAAAGCTTGAACTTAAAGAAATGGACGCATGGAATGGATTCTAATGTAATCACCGAGGTTCTTCAGCCCATGGAGGAACTTTGCCCTGAGTGACTCAAACATCATCCACCAACAGGAGTGAATCTCCATGCAAATTATTCTACTTCCCTTAAAAACTCTCCCTCTCCAGAAGATTACGGAGGTAAGCATACACAATCACAACTATTTCTCCTCAAGGCAAGGGCAAGATTGTACCCTCCCACCACTGAGTTTTATAAGGTATATAATGTTTCCTAAAAACAAGCTAAAGATGGCATCAGGGACATGATTCATACCGAACCAAGGATTGCCCATCAATGCAGAATCATTGTTTCAAGAAAGAATAAGATTGACAGAATAAGATGTCACACAGGTAAAGGGTGTCACACATACCTATTTACCATTGGACTCCGGTATTCATAGATCGAGCTCTCGCGACTAAGAAATTATCACGATGTCATAAAAGTTTGTTCCTCAGCCACTTCACCAATAAAGGAGGCCAAATATTTCTGTAAACCATTAATGAAAAAGTCAAAAAGAACAAAGAAAAGAAAAAGAAAGAGGATGTGAAAGGTAAAAGGAATTCAGGAGGGGAAATAGAGCAAAAATATATAACATAGATTGACAACAGTCAAATATACTCTAGAAGAAAGAACCACAAGGCAGAACACAAAGATCCATGAAGAGTATCTGGCTGAGCTCGTCCTGAATCACGCAAGTTTATACCAAAAGCCCTACGAGTAGAAGGTTCTTATTCATGGACACAAAAAGATAGGCATCATAGAAAGGAGACCCATCTCATAATGAAGAGTACAAAATGAAATCAGTTTTGGCCTGTTCAGACGAAGAATCATGACCTTGCAAAATCCATACCACCAGATCGCTAGCAAACCAGCTCATCATGAAGCACATCCCTCAATGGAATTACCTGCATGATCAATGTCTTTACATCTGATCGTCTGAAAAGTTGACTGCAAGATCCCAGTAATGACCCACACCGGCATCAGAGAAGACCTTTCTTGCAGCAGCTTCAGTGATGCACTCATGAACGGTGAACCTATTGAAGCTTGCTTTTGCAACGCTTCCTTGCCACACTAACACACACTTATTCACTGGCTTATCCTCACTGTCATCTTCCTCTTCATCCTCATCATTCACGGCAGCAGCCCAATTTATTCGCCGCAGCATTAGTTTGCCATATCTCTTAATAGACTTGCTTCCACCTTCAACAGCGACAACACTTATGCCATCGGATATCACCGCACATCCCGTCAACCGGTTCTCTTGAGCATTGACATCGACCTTGAATCGGGTCTGCTTGTGCGAGAGATCATTGACCCTGTAGACAGAGACAACAGTTTCCAGTGTGTTGGGGTCATCAAAGAGCTTTCTCTCTTTCTTCTCCCTCCGCTCAGCAGGAGTTAGCTTACGAGCAATGTTCCTGTCCACGTGAGCTTGTTCACGCTCAGCAGCTGCAGCGCGGATTTCCCTTTCAAGCCGGGTGGGATCTTGGGTCGCTTCAGAACCAAGAACTTTCATTAAATTGCTCATCTTGACTTTTGGTTTTGGTGGTTCTATCAGGCCCTGTCTAATCATCTCTTGCCTTTCCTTTTCCCTGGCTAACCGCCGTTGTGTGCGCAGTTTTTTCTGCTCCTTCTTGGTCAACTTCAACGGTTGAGGTGGTGGAGGGGCAGGCTCTGCTGGGGGCTCAATAGGACGAGGGTGCTCCACATATATAGTGATCTTGTCCCTCTTCAATTTATCATCAGAGATGATGCCATCAATTACTTCACCATAATTACCAGCTTGCAGGAGAGGCAAATCCCTACAGAGAGACAAAAAGTTTTGCAGGGAATGATGATTTTCCAAAGGTTCATTTGAGACTATAAAGGAACCAGCCTTCCATACAAAGAGAATTTTAACAAACAAATCATTTTTTTAGCCTATAAAAGATCCACCATAAACAGTGAAATCTATTCTTGTAATTCTGGTACTGGAGTCCAGGTGCTTTTCAGACATAGAATTATCCAGGTCCGTCTTTCTGACCATTAGATTAGACCTTTTGGGACCAATAGTTTTCTAAACTCTATGACTGATTTTTATTTATTTACACAAGCAAGGTCAAACTCAATTAAGAGAAAACATCCAAAAATTTGATGAGGAAAGCTTTTTTAGAAAAACCTAAGAATCAAGACACTTGTAACTTTCATTCGACATCAAGTACTGTGCTTAAGTCGTTGACAGTCTGATCACAACAAAAGCACTATGATAACTAGCAAAACATTCCAACAAAATTCCCCCCAAGAAAAGTAATGTTTTCAAAAAATAAATCTCCAATATATGCATTTCAAGAGTTAAAGCAATTTCTTTTGGCGTGATGTTTGATTGGACTGAATACCTTCAGCAAAAACTCCTCCAAATAAAAAAAATCTGCCCGATTATTATTGGTACAATATAGAACAAATGGCATTAATACCATAACTCTGCACACATCAAGAAGAGTGATTGAGGCACGACAGGTTGCTTAAGAAACATTGATTGTCACAAGATAGAATGCTCACTTACCACCACTCAATTTCAGGAATCATGTCTTTTGGTTTTTCCTTTGTAATAACTCTTTCTGACACCTCAATCAAATTAGGATTAATATCAGGTGCTGACTTTGCCTTTGCCAACTGTGCTTGCTTAGCCTTTTGTTCCTTTGCCCGCGCTTCTCCAAATTGACTCTAATCAAAGGAAGAACTATTATGTTAAAATCTGTAAGAAGTGGCACAAGATATCAGATGGATGAAACAAATAAGCACCTTTAACTTCATGATCTCCGCTTCTCTCGACCATTTGCCTTCTTCAACAAATTGAAAACTCATTCTCTTTGGTCTTAGAAGTTTGGTTTTATCGATACCCATCCTTTCATCAAAATGAGGATTCGATTCAGGATCAATATCCAGATCAGGTTTTAGAATTTGAAAGGCATCCTTCTTTTGTTTGTTGATGTTAACCTGAGAAAAATCATGGCAGTGAAGATAAGAGCACCACAAATAGAAATCCAGACAGTAATTGCTAGAGATATAAGCCAAGAGCATCAGTCTACCTTGAGAGTGCTGAGGTTGCTTGGTTTTGAAATATTCACTAAATTTCCATGTTCATCTATCTCTCTGCCAAGTGCATCCAGACGCAAGACTGGGGCCTTGGTAGGCTTTTGTGGCAGAGAAAGATCAGCTGCCACTTGACCTGGAAATAAATTGATGAGAGGAGCAAACTGTGGATCCTGGCGAAATCCCATCTTTGCTGCAAGCTCCTGCGCTCGCTTTACAGCTTCATAGTTGGGTGCACTTAACAAACCAGAAGCAGTTGGTACACCACTGGCAGGAGGGTTCACAGAGGATGCAGCATCAGCAGCAGGCAAGGATAATGAACTGGACGTGAAACCAGCTGATAAAGGCTTAGCAGAAGCCAAAGGAGAGGCATCCGTCCCCTCCTTTGGCACCTGGGCACCATCTGATACTGACTTTGCACTTTTGTTTAGCTGCAGAAGACATTCACAATTCACAAGCACAAAGCCATAGAATTAATAAAGGAGCTTAACTACAAAACCGGAAGAAAACCCAAAGCTATCTCTACTAGAGAACCTACCAAAGGAATTTTCTTCAGCTTCTCTGACAATTCCTTCTGCATTTGTAAAGCTTTCTTAGCTTTTGCTAAAGCATCAAGGGATAAACTTCCACTTTTTCCAGCTGCTGAAGATGTCCAATCTGTACTAGTTTTTCCAGGAACCTCATGAGATCCGGTAATACTAACTCCCTTATTTTCATTTGTGGTAGAAATTGAAGATACCTTGGTAGGGAAGGGATGAGTAGAGGTTAGAGTGGAGCTAGGCAGAGTCCTTGATGTCATGGTGGGCGGTTCAGGAGCCACACCCTGATTTCGAAAAAAAAGTTAGGTCAATAGAGAAGACCAGCGCAGTTTCCTCTTGCAAAAGGGCGAAAGATAAACGAACATGCAGCAAAGAAAGAAGGAACACGCAAAGAAGATTACTATATAAGCACTGTAAGAAACCTGTCTAACAAGAAAGTATACCATGGATAACCAGAATCTTCAATGAAATAAATAATATAGCATACTGAAGTAAGTCAAGCAATACAAGTCACTAATCATCCAACTTCGTGGGAAGACATGTTAAATATGTGTCTGTGGCTATGATAAAAAGGGAACGACTAGGATAACAAGCAAAAGTCAAATTGCAAACAAGTCTTGTATCGGCATCATCGCCGGCAGGCATTGGTGCCAGTCCCTCAAACCAGCAAATGAATTTTTTACTAACAGGCACAGTTATCGGTCTCTAGATCATTTAACCAATGCGCTCTAAAACATGCCGCAAAATCGCCACATGGAAAAACTAGATCTCATGCTCAGAATCATGCCTAAGCACTAAATTAGCGAAACTTCTAGTAAATGAAATCTGAAATGAAAGAGAAACAAAACACCTCATTTGAATCTGCGTAGTAAAAGCAGCGACCTAAGGGAACAAGAGGATACTTACATTTGCAGTGAATACACCGCCGTTGGCAGTGCCGTCACCCTCACCATCACCGACTTCCTTCACCTTAACCTCATTCACATTAACAGTAACACTCGAATTCACATTCAGGCGGTTTCCGTCCTCTAAACGCTCCTGATCCACCTTATCCCCGAACTTCCTCCGCTCTCTCCTCTCCTCCCTCCGATCACCATTCGCATCCTCGAACCGCCTCCTCTGCTTTTTCTCTGCCTCGGAAACCCTATCCACCGCATCCTCTCCATCAATCCCGCCGTCCTCGCTCCTCTCCCTCTCCTTCCTCTTGTGCCTCCTCTCCACCGAACCCTCCCTCGCGCGCGAAGAATACTCGTCGTGGGACCTCTCGCGCCTCGCTTCCCCGTACCTGGCCCTATCCCGACTGCCTTCCCTCTCCCTCCTCGGCTCGTAATCCCTCTCCCGCTTACTCTCCCTATCCCTGCTGCCCTCCCTCTCGTCCCGCAGGTCGCGCGACCTCTCGCGACGGAAGCCGCCGCCGCCGTCGCCGCCGCGATCGTCGTCGTCGCCGCCGCCGCGCGAGTCGTGGGACCTCTCGCGGTCGCGAGAGCTCTCCCGATCTCCGCGCTTGGACCTGCGGTGGAGGCGGTGGTGGTGATCGGAGTCGCGGTGCTTGTCGTCGCGCGAGGAGCGCTTCTCGTCGGATTCTCGGCTCCGGTGCTTGTGGTCTCGCTCCTCCCTGGCGCGGTGGCTCGATCTCTCCATTCTAGGGTTTCGCGAGAGCGGCTATCCTCGCTTCGCTTCGCACTCTTTCTCTCTCTCCCGTGCGTGTTCTACCTGGCGGTGCTACTCCTTGGATTTGTGATGGATCCGGAGGCGATCTGGGACGGGGGATGATGGACTTTATTTACATGGACGATTTGGGCCAGCGCTCTCAAAATGGGTTTAAAAATGGACATGGGATTGAGTTGTATTTACGCACTTATGAATAGATATAGAACAAAGAGCGCAAGTTAGAAAGAAAATTAAATATTATTAAAGTAATCCACCAATTTCTTCAAATCCCCTCCGGAATTTTTTTCCATTTATTTCCTCATATCCATTTACCAACATTGGATTCCTCCTATGGCCAACTCAAGCCTGACCTCCGTGCCTCCCCTCCCGACCACCACCGGCAAAGTTGATGGCACCGCGACCAGGCCGACCACTGTCGGAGCCATCCTCTCGGTCATCTTTGTGGTCGGCCTCGCCTTCCCGAGCATGACGTCTATTCCTCTGTTTTATGTCTTTTTGATGTCCGAGCACGACGGTCGTTGGCCATCGAGTTCTTGGCCTTGCCCATTTCAGCTGTGGATGAGACGATCGTGGCTAGATCGTGGCTCGAGATATGGAAGTTTGCCAGATGTGGAGGCACGATGGCATTCGGCAAGGCCAGATTTGGAGGTACGATATAGAGAATCGAGCTTTGCATTAGCAACAAGCTTGATAATAGCGTCGGCTGATAGCGGGCTTTAAAAGAGAGAGAGCTCGAAGTGGCGCGATGGCCATGATGAGGTGACGGACTCGAGGATAGAGGTTGCGGCGTCTGGGGCGATGAAGATGCCGAACTAGATTCTTGAGTTTGTGGTTTGCCGGTTGGAGCGGTGGTTGTGTTGGAGGAGGAAGTAGACCTGTACAAATGGGTCTTAAAACCCGTATATAATCCATTTAAAAAATAAATGGATCATAAATTGATCGTAAATGAGCCATACAACTTTGAAAAGCCTATGTTAAATGGGTCTTAAAGTTTTAAGCCTATCATAAATGGGTCTTAATGGGTTGAGTCTTAATGAGTTGAGTGTGAAACCCATATCCAATCCATCTATTAAGCCCACCATTTTTTATAAAAATATTTCTTTTAAATCGAAATTATTCTTTATATTTTTTTCACTTCTTATATTTATTTTTATTTTATTTTCTTTTCTTTCTTATTTCTTTATTTTCAGCTGGTGGTCGGCTACAGTGACTAGCCACTGGCCATAGGGGAGGAACGACCTTGCCAGAGGCCGACGAGCCCGAAGCCTCGCTGACCTGTGGCGAGACTCGAGTTCGTCGGCCTCGGGCGAGCTTAACCTTGCTGGATCTGGCGAGGTGGAGCCTCGCCTGAGGCTGGCGAGCTCGTCCTCGCATGTGGCTGCCCATCGCCCAAAAATAAAGGAAAATTAAAAAAAATTAAAATTTTAAAAAATAAGAAATAAAAATATTAAATTATTAAAATGAATACATGAATTTTCCCTCTCTTCCTCCAAGCAAGAGAGGGAAAAATCGAATCTTTAGTTTTTTTTTAATTTGATCCCAACACAATGTCCATGTGCCAAGTTATAATTAACAATGAGCAAATAAATGTGTGGCAATATGGATCATGTAATTGAAGATTTCGTGAAGGATTAATGGGCATTATATAATATAGGGAAAAGTTGTCGTTGAAATGATAAGGATGTCGGATTGTTCTAATCCTAATATAATAGGGGATCTGACTAGGTTGTGCGATAACTGTAGCTACTAAATCAACGAGTGTAAGCTATTGTATTACTCTCTATTAAAAGATAATGAAGCATCCCCAAACGCAACAAGATGAATTTGGGATTTATCACCGTGAAGGTAAGTTTGCGATGAATTATTCTCTTGGTCGTCTAAACCACATTAACCATTGGGTGTTCCTCTTCTTTTCTTTTATCTATCTTCTATACATGAACATCATTAAAACATGGTATTGGAGCGAAATGCGATTCTAAGGTTGGCTCCATTGTCTATTGGCGATTGAGAATCCGTGTTCTTCATTATTGTCTCAATAGTGCACTGCTAGTAGCTCGTTGTGAATTTGGCGAGCTCGTCCCTTACTTGTGACTGATCGTCGTCATGGCTGGCCACCGGCTAAGGAAGAAGGAAAATGAAAAGGAAGGAAAAGAAAAATAAATAAAAAAAGAAAAAATTTAAAAAAATCAAAATTTAAAAATATTTTTATAAGAATGAATGTTTTATTAACTAAAAACCCGAGCCCGAGCGCCAAGGACCTGCACTTGGCCTTTGTGAACTCGAGCCTGAGTGCTGGGGACCACAGCTCAAGCATCGGGGACTTAAGCATGGCATTTATGGACCCAGGCTTAGGTGCTTGGATATCGGGCACGGGCACAAGGCCTTCGGGCCTAGCCTCGATGGACCTGAGCGCGGATGCCGGGGTTTCAAGCTCGGTCTATGAACGCTGCGGACCCGATATTTAGTCATATTTTTGAGTTTTTGTGATCAAACGCAGAGTTTTAAGTCCAAGCGCCGATACCTAGTCATATTTTGGAAAATATTTTCTGGTTTTTCACAAAGGAGATCATTTTCCTAAATTTAAGCATAGGTTTTCCGTTGATTATGAAAACAATTTTCGTTGACTCGTTTTCCTAAGCGAATCAAACGCCGAAAAATGAGGTAAATGTTTTTTTGAAAATATTTTTTGCGAAATAATTGGAGCTATAATTCGTGAAACAAAGGAATGGGAGGGAGTCCTATCCAATCACACAAAACCATCACATTGAATTATAAAAAAGTGTTGCCTACAAATTCTCGAAGTCCTAGAAGATATTTGGAATCACGGAAGTTATCCTACAAGATAAATTACCGCTTTCAATTACTTCTTGTAAGGTAAATTACTCGGTCTTACGAGATGTTATCATTTTTCAAGATGAATTACTCGCTTTGAGGATTATAAGTCGTAAACATTTACTACCAAGAAAAATTATTAAGTTGCATTTCACGATAAGATGACTATTACCACCCGAAGATTCTCCCGATTTCTCGGGTTTTTGAAAGCTGGAGACTTTAACCATCGGATTTCGTGAGGACTTGGAACAAAAATTGTCCTTCTATTGGGAAAATGAAGTCCGAGGGGATGTTGGAAATTGGATTTTTTGGTCGGATAGAATAAAGTCGGATCAGATATGGATCGGATAGGATAATGATAGGATTTATAATATCTTATATCGTGTTTGGCAGATATCGGATAAAACACGGATATAAATGCGCCCAAATCAAATCTCAATTTTTTCGCTCCTCCCTCCTCTCTAAACCTAATCTTCTCCCTTTTCGTGATTCTTACCAAAAAAAAATTGATTGTGTTTTTTTATCACTTTCTCAAACCTTGTCCCTTTGCTGAACTTTCACTCTATGCTAAACTGGGGCGATGTGTGTTTCTTAGCCAGGCGGTCGCCGTCAAGGCCATCGGCTGCGGCACAAAGGCCATAACCGAGGCAAGGCCAAGCCTCAGGTGACCTCCAAGCGTTGGCCATGAACTCTAGTGTCAACGAACGCAAGCTCGCGGTTGCAACCAACCGAGCGAGAGTCCTACCCTCAGGCGAACCTAGCTCTTGGGTCCTTGAGGCTAGCAACCTTGTATTCGAGGTCGCTAGTCTCAGATCCGAGATCTAGAGCGTCGAATTACGTCAAAGTTTAGATAGAGAGAGGACGAGAAAGAAGGGGGATGATGGCTAGGCGGCGAACGATGGCACGGGCTGGTCTTTGACTGTGGAGCTTGACGTTATGATTAGACTGCCATGGACGGAATCGTCGCTTGATGGGTTCTCGCTCTTTTTCTCCTCCACGGATGGATCTCTAGCGATTTCAGCAAAAGGTGCCTTCTCCTCCTTTATCATCTCTCCATTTTCTTTTCTTTTCGTTTTTTATAATTCTTATCATATCGATATATCCCATATTGGAAGTGAGATTTTTTTATCCAAATTATATTCGGAGAAATTGAAAATTCAAGTTATATAATTTTATATACTATCTGGAGTTATATCTGATGTACCAAACGTAACCTGGAAGTTCATCCGAAAAAAGCGAAAGATGGAGATTTTTATGCCCAGTATTGTTGCCTTGAGAACTTGTGGCATGTCCCCTACGGGGGATGCTACCGTTATAAGGAGATTCCATGCTCAGTTGGACAAAAGCTTGGGGTGCTCGAGCGGACGATTTCACCCCCTAGAGAAAGGTCACGTGACGTCACGTGCCTGGCGCTGAGCCGGGAAATTCGGCGGAAGTCGACGTCGGGGGGACATTGAAATCGATTTGGCGAGTTGAGGGGGGAAAATCGAAAAAATCTGAGAAATCAGGGGGGCACTTTGCAACGAGTCCCAAAAACCTGGGGCGGGCAGCGTAATTTGGTCAGAAATGATGGGCAGCCTAACGTGGTGGCGAGTCCCCCCCAGCGACGAGAGAGACGACACGCCTGCTGGTGAAGAGACTAGTTGGTGGCGTGGTGCAGATCGAAACGACGTCGTTCGCCCTCCTCCATCTCCGTCGTCTCGATCCTGCTGGGCCTTGACTGCTTCGTCGTCGTCTTCTTCTTCGTCTTCCACACCCAGACCTGCTCAACATTTTCCCCCTTCCTCATCTCGTCGCAGCACGCTACTGATCGACCTTACTCCTCCGAGGTAGCCGGAGCCTCTCTTCTTCACTCTCCTCCGCCGTTCTCTCTCATCGCCGCGCTCGAAGGAAAAAGAGGCGACGATGTCGTGGTTCAGGTCGGCCGTGAGCAAAGCGGTGGAGGTCGGGAACAAGAACAACATCACCCGCGCCGTCAGGAACTACGCCGACTCCGTGGTCCACCACGCCGGCCAGGCCGTCTCCGAAGGCGCCAAGATCCTGCAGGATCGCATGGTATTGTATTGTGTTGTGTTGTCCTCGAGCTCTTGCGCGAGCGTGCTTGTTTTGGAAAATTTCAATTTGATCTGATTTCGTCGGGCAAGCTAAATTTAGCTGCCGTTTCCTTCCGTTCGGTTAGTTACGATCGCGCAGCCGCATGCGCGCTTTAACTTTCCGGTTTCGCGATTATTGTGTTCGAGGAAATCGTTTGGTGCGTATCAATGTGCTTGTCTTCTCGACCTCTATAGCAGGTTTTTGCCTGATTCGAAGAGG